TAAAAAATAAATATATATTTATCCCAAATTATGAAGCTTAAGAGCTTATAAAACTCAATATCAGCAGGAGCAAATGGTCTGCCAAATTGCACGGGTCAATAAAGCACAAAATCATATATAAGTTCATGTACATTCGAAAATTCGGTTTACACTGAAGATAAGCTAAATATGAGTTCTGACAAAAACATTTTAAAATTCACGCTACAACACTTTTTCATATTCGTATTTCTCATATATTATAAGTCATAGTGGGGCATTAAACAAGAATAAAATAGGATAAATCATCTCAACCACTTAAAACAGCAGCTTTACCAATCTTTTGAGGATATTCTTCTGGTGACAAGTATTCATAATCAACACCTAAAGCGTTTGCAACTTTAGCACCTAGTTCTTTATCAACTAAACCCCAATACTGTGGAACTTGTTTTTTAACTTGTGGGTTGGAGATATTTGAAGCAACACCAACAATGTTATTCACAAATTTAGAGCGATCTTTTTCTGAAAACACTTTAGTATATAAGGCTCTTGGTTGTTCAAGATCTAATTCTGATAAACCTTGTAATTGATAATAAGATTGTTTACCCCACAAAATCTTTTCATGTTCTTGAATCTTTGCAACTCTCTCTTGTTTCTTTAATGCTTCAACTTCAGCTTCTTTTGAAACAACACCATAATAGCCATTAGCAGCTTGACCTTTTGAGTCTAAAGTTTTAACACGATCACCAAGAGCAATGTAATTTGGTTTTGAACCTTGAGTTATAACGGCACCTGGGCCTGCTCTTTGGAAATTACCAGCCAAATAAGGACAGCCAGAACCTTTTTCAAATGGTTTACCACGATTGATTGGTAATTGTTCATAGTTTGGACCTAATCTATAACGTTGAGTATCTGGATATGACCAAATTCTTGATTGTAACACAGGATCATTTGAAGGTTCAATACCTGGGATAAATGTTCTTGATGGTGAAAAGGCAATTTGTTCAATTTCTTCAAAATAATTGGTAACATTCTTGTTTAAGACAATACGACCAAATTTTCTTAATGGGAATTCTTTATGTGACCAAATTTTGGTTAAATCATTAATTGAATAACGGAATTTTTCAGCTTGTTCAGGTGTCATTGTTTGAACATAACATGTATAAGTTGGATAATCACCATTCTTGATTTGTTCAAATAATCTCTTTTGATGGTCATCTGGAGAAGCACCATTCAATTCAGCAGCTTCATCATCTGAATTAGTTTCAAATCCACGATCAGCTAAAACATGAATTTGAACATATGTGATTTCATCTTTATCATTAATAAATTTGAAAGTATGACCTGAATAACCATGCATAGCACCCCAGTCTTTAGGAGTACCACGTTCACCAAACAAATAAGTAACTTGATGTAAAGATTCAGGATTTTGAACCCAATAATCCCAAACCATAGTGGAATCAGTATTTTGATCCAAGTTTGAATCTGGATATCTCTTTTGAGTATGAATGAAATGTTCAAATTTATTTGGATCTCTTATGAAAAACACAGGTGTATTGTTGAAAACCCAATCATGTGCACCCCATTCAGTATGGAATTTAATTGAGAACCCTCTTGGATCTCTTTGAGTATCGGCAGAACCTAATTCACCACGAACACCACTGAAACGAACAGTCAATGGAGTTTTGTAACCAGGTTTTTGATATGGCAGAGCAGTTGTTAAGTCTGATAATGAATCAGTCAATTCAAAATAACCATGTGCACCACCACCTTTAGCATGAACAATACGTTCTGGAATACGTTCTCTGTGGAAATGTGCCAAATTTTCAGTTAGATGATTATCTTGTAATAATAATGGACCATCTGGACCAGCCAATTGGGCACCATAAGGATGATTTGGGTAGAACCAACCATTTGCAGTTGTGTAAACTGTTGGAGTTTCTGAAGTTGGATTATTTTCAACGTCTGGAGCAGGCATTGTGAAATGTTTGATGATTTAAATCCATTATTACAGTTCGTCAACTAGGTCTTCATCACTAGTTTATATAGTTTTCTGAAAGAGGAGCAATCATAGACATGGTAATTGTAATAGCCTGACCAATTCGTGCGTTTTGATTTGTTGGGATTTAATTTAAGTAGCAATGCTTTGAGTTCGCATTGTGCTTGTTTGTGTGTGTGTCCTGATGGATTTGAAATAACGGTTGCGATGCCTCATTTTTTTTTAGTTTGCTATGATGATGGAACGAGCTAGAACCAAAATTACATACTTTGAAATTAATAAAACAAAAGATGCATTTGATTGTAAACACACGAGATCTTTGTAATTTTAGACCGATAGGGGGTAATTGGGTTTAGTATAAGATCTGGCTGGCATTTTGTTGATCAATTGATTTGGAGAAAGTAAGACACCAACATGAGTTTTAGTGCTTACTCCACACGGGAAAAGATCTAGACGGTGAATAAGCCTACCTTCTGGATCATGAGATTAGTAAAATCAATAGTCAGTGTGACCATTGGCTGGAGCCCACCTGTCTTGTATATGAGCCGTCTCTTTATTAATCATCGTTGGGCTAGCTTAAGTCTTGATGTAAACCTAATTGTCATCGGCCTATACGAAAAAAAAGCCCGTGCATTTTCCATTTTTCAGCGTGTGTGAACCATGAAAAATTGATCACGTGACATATCACATGATAGATCACATGACAGGGGGTTTGGATTAATTTCAGATTCCTAAAACGTTAAGTACTAAATTAGGAAATGGTTATGAAGAAATGCTCGACATTCAGAAGCCGTTTCTAAATTCTTACAACCAACAAACGTCATCAAAGCCGTTAAGAATAACACCGGTACAGAATAGACAGTTCAAGCACAGAAACAAAAACCTAATACCCATTCCTTTTATATCCATCTCATTAACTATTCTTTGGCTCATAAATACTACTCAAATTGGCAATTTCCATCCTTCATTTTGAATTTTTCCGAGAAATTGTGTCACCTAACGGACCCTAAAAACCACCAAGGTACTTGAAAAAAAAATCCGTCTGCTATAACCATCACGGTGTTAAAAAAAAAAGGATATGTTGCAACCATTTTCTGACCATGTTCTGTTGGCTCTGCTGATGCTAGTGTGTTAAATTTTGCTTCAAGTTAGTTGCTGAATACAATTGTTAAGGTGTATTTATTCTTTCCACTATCGTGCTATTTCAGGTTATATCAAAGTTTTCATTTGTTCAAACTATTGTGTCATCAAAGTTAATAGTCATTTTCTTTCAAGTTTAAAAAACCGTTTTAAACAATAGGACCTTCCAAGAATCATCAAGAGATCTTTCACATACACAATAAGCTTTTAATCAATAGAATTAGGGCATCGTTTTTTCCTGCAGCATTATATTTTTGATCAGATTTTACGGACCATATAAAGCTTGACGATTTCGGTTGCATTTCATTTACATTACTGTTCATTTTATCATTGGTCGTTTCTGCATTTTTTGCTACATTTGCAAATAATCTACTCTTCTGGTTATTGCATATCACCGTTTTTTTACGTGATTCCTACACTGAAAATCAAATCTGAAACTGATTTTCTTTTTAATTTTGAGAAAGCCTCAAGGTTAAACTACATTTGGCTGCTTGAAATCCTCAGTTGAAGTTTTTGACTGAAAACTTTTAACTCATCTTTGAATCATATTTAAGAAAGGGTCTTTAACCAATTTGTGAACCCTTTTCTATTCATTTACATTTTTATTTATACAATACAACACTACTACAAAACATCATGAGTGCTGAACTATTACGTTTATTTATCAGAGACGATGATGATGATGAACCATTACCATCTTGTTCTTCAGAGAATGAATATGATGGTCGTGATAATTTAAGAATCTTGGCTGTTTTCATGATTTTAATTTCATCTGCAATTGGTACATTTTTCCCAATTTTATCTTCTAAATACTCATTCATCAGATTACCAGATTGGTGTTGGTTCATTGCCAAGTTCTTTGGTTCAGGGGTCATTGTTGCAACTGGGTTTATCCATTTATTAGAACCTGCATCTGATGCTTTAGGTAACAAATGTCTTGGTGGTACTTTTGCTAATTATCCATGGGCTTTTGGTATTTGTTTAATGTCACTTTTCGCCTTATTTCTTTCTGAAATTGTTGCTCATCATTTTGTTGCCAAAGCTGCTGGTGAAAGTGGTGCTCAATCCCATTCACATTTTGGTAACTTGAACCATAAAGAAGCTGACGATGAATCAAAAGATGATGAATATGAACAAGAATCTAAAACTTCACCAGTTGTTGCTACTAAAAAATCTTCAAACATCCCAGGTGCTAACCATTATTCTCATGATTTAGAACATCAAGATCCAGAATTAGTTGGTACACCTGCTGCTAATAAAGCTCATGAACAATACTTAAACCAAATCTTATCTGTTTTTGTCTTGGAATTTGGTGTCATCTTCCACTCTGTCTTTATTGGGTTATCATTAGCTGTTGCAGGTGATGAATTTAACACTTTATTCATTGTTTTAGTTTTCCATCAAATGTTTGAAGGTTTAGGTTTAGGTACTAGAATTGCAGACACTCCATGGGATGAAACAAGAAGATGGACTCCATGGATTTTGGCTCTAGCATATTCAATCACTACTCCTATTGCTGTTGCCATTGGTATTGGTGTAAGACATTCATTCACTCCAGAAGGTAGAACTGCATTGATTGCGAATGGTTGTTTTGATGCCATTTCAGCAGGTATTTTGATCTACACTGGTATTGTTGAATTAATGGCTCATGAATTCTTGTACTCTAATCAATTCAAAGGTGAAAAAGGTTTACAAAAAATGTTGTTGGCTTACTTTGTCATGTGTTGGGGTGCTGGTTTAATGGCTCTATTAGGTAAATGGGCTTGAACTGTTTCATTATGTAATTACATTTGTCTTTCTTTAACATTTAATCATAAAATAATTAATTAATTAGATCATAGAGCACTTGTAGTATAAAACATTGATATTGATTTCCTTAAAAGTCCGACTCGAATGGCTTATATGAACTCAGAGATCGCGAAAATTGTTTTCGCGGAAGCATTTTCTTCAAAAGTACCAGTAAACAAATGCCATTGCCCACTCTTACCGCGTGAATGAGAAATAAGTCAAACACAACAGCGCTGCTATATCACCAAGAGACCAACCAGAGACATGGACGCGTCTTCACAATTTGCGTCCGTCTCAATCACGAGGACAAAGGACTTCAGTTGGGTCTTTTTTGCGGATTGGTTCCTCACCTATTTCCTTGCAATAGGAATCATATTCTACTTTAGTAGATTTATTGGTGTTTTCGTATCATATGCTCTGAGAGTTCTCCTATGGAAGACTAAAAAGATTAAAATAGATGTCCAATCAATCAAGTTATCGTTCCTCGGAGGAAGATTATTCTTTAGAAACTTTACGATGATAGATAGAGATCAAACGATATGTGCATTACAAGGTTCTATAACATGGAGATATTGGATACCCAGAGTGAGGAAAACAGAACTAGAACTACAGAATGGAGACCCAGATGGGAATATTGAATTGAATTCCAAACTGCCCTGTCGGATAATAATAGAAGTGGATGGGTTAGAGGTCTTTGTTTACAATAGGACAGTTTCTTACGAGAATATAATGTCTCAGCTATCAGCTCAAAAGAATACCCGTGAAAACAAAGAAGATGATAAGGCCAACTATGACGTTTTCTCAAATTCCACTAGTGAAAGTACTATACGGCCTGATGAAAGAGAAACTGCAAGCCCGAGCTCCTTTTTAATGAAGATCTTACCAATTAAATTGAAAGTTAACAAAGGTGCTATTGTTGCTGGTAATAAAACGACACAGGCAATATTGGTGGTGTCTTATGCTACAGGTGATGGTATCATTGATCTTTTGAAGGCTGATAATCCATTAGATGAATTTCGTCAGTCTTTTCAGATTGATTTTGAGAGGTTACAAGTTGCTTTGAAACCAAATATTTCTTACCAAGGTGAAAAAAGTGAAAGCTCTGGCTTGTTTTTCCAAAAGCCTAGCAAGAAAAAATACGCAAACAGATGGATGTTGTACAGGTCATTGATCAACCTTTGGAATATTGTCATTCATAAACATAAAGAAAAAGGACAACAGGCTGAATGGAGAGGTTTAGCTCAATACATTGATGCTGATACTGAATCAATCAATAATGTAAAAGAAAGAGAGCATGAATATGGTAAATATACCAATATTTTGGATTCAGATTTTTGCAGTGTCGAGTATTATTATGATTTGCCTGGTCCGGTACCAGTGGATGCACCACCAACAAACCCCCTTGATGGATTAGATATTGGTAATGGTGGCTCTTCTCCAAAATTTGGGATGAATGTGAAATTATCTAATTCCACAATTTTTTATGGTCCTTGGGCTGAGCGTCAAAGACATTCATTACATCAAATGTTATTTCCTACTTTATGCAGAGATGGTGTACCACAGGGAAAGCTGAAACCAGGAAAGCTTAGAATCTATACACAATATCAACTATTTGTTGAAATCATGGATGAAGCAATTATTAGAGTTCCAATTCGCGAATTCAGTAAGAATGAGGAATTTGCTAAGATTGCCAAAGAAGCACCAGATTTGAAGAGACCGTTCGGCTGGATTGAATTGAAAATGGATAAAGGCTCAATAATTAATGTCAAGACTGGTCTGATTGCTTCAAATAGTGGTTATGATAACAGAATGACCATGACACTGCAAAATTTGGAAGTTAGATCTAGTGTCAATCATGATATTATGATGAGGTGTAAAGAACATGTGATTACTGCTGATATTGGATACCCATTGAGATGGAATGGACATACAATCTGGACTTTTTTGAATGAATCCAAGAATGTTGACACCTTTTTCTTGAGAGAACACATTACTTTGTTATCTGACATGTTTACAGATTTTGCTTCAGGTCCTGCAACCCCATATGAGTTATTCCGTCCATTCACTTATGTCCTTGACTGGAAAGTATCCAAATATGCAATTTATATGAATGTTAATGACGCAAACATCATTAATAACCCGTTGGATTTCAATGACAATATTTATCTTTCATTTCAAGGTGACACTTTGGATATCAATGTACATATCCCACTGGAAGCTGTTTTGAGGAAGGTAAACACAATTTCTTATACTTTAAGTACACCTCAGCTGTCAATGATGCTTGATACTCCCCCATGGCATACATTGAATAATTTCTTGGAGCATAAAGAAGTTGGAAGATCGAAAGATTTTAAAATCGAAGGTTCTTACACCTATCACTCAGAAGTTGGGTTAGACTTGGTTGACACAATCATAATTGGTTGCAAGGGAAAATACATGGTCTTGAAATGCTATGGATTTGTTGTCAAGTACATTATTAGCATAAAGGAAAACTATTTTGGTGATTTTACAACATTCAAAACATTGGAGGAATACACTCAGTTATTCAATGAAGGCAACGAAAATGACAATTCACAGCAAGAATCTACAATAGACCAAGAAGCTGAAAGAAAAAGAGCTTTTAAAAGGATTGAAAATGAAAAAGATGTTCATTTTTCCTTTGACGTCGAAGAAGGGCGCTTGGTGTTGCCATCAAATATTTATGACTGTTCGTCCAACATGTCTTTGTTTTTCAGTACTTTAAATATGGACTTAAGGTTTACAAACTATTATATGGATTTTGAAGCGGATATCACACCAGCTAAAGGTATTTATGTGGACAAGTGTGGCCCTCAATCGGTTTTGGATTTTAGAGGCTATGAATCTTTGGAAAGACATGATTTGTTTATTGATGGGTTAGCTATTCATGGTCATAGAATGTTTGGTTTGCCACCTGACGAATTGAAATACTTTTGTAAATGGGATCTGGCCCCAGGTGAAGTTGACTTTACTGGCCGTGCCGAAGCTTTAGAAGGTTTGATATCATCCGTTATTAAGCTCGGGTTTGGTTACAAAAATCTTGAGAATAATTTGTTAATTGATGAGCCTGAGATTCATGATGTTACTTCTGTTTCTTTAGTGTTACCTAAAGTGCACATAAAGCTTGATGACCCTCAAATAGATTCAACTGTGGTTTTGGAACTCTCAAAAATCAGCTTTTTCTTTATTGATGTTAGCAATCCAAGATATACAGAAAGGGCTTCAGCGGTTGTCGAAAACATATTACTGAATGTGCAATCCAAAAAAAACTGGAAAGATTGAGTTTGAACTCCAAACTTCAGTCAAATTTACAAACTTTTGCCAAAAGAATGATTTTGCTATTGAGCGTGCCAAACAAGATGATCACGTCCTACAGCATGATGGACCATTCCACAGAGTTCCATTTTTCTTAAGGGAAGAATTGAGAAACGCTGAATACAATGGATTATATGGTGCGATTGTTCCAAGTTTTTCGATACCGGATGGCTCACCACCAATAACATCAGATACAATTGATATGGTATTTGATGATCTTGGACTTGATTCAGATCCGATCACAGATGACAGTTCTTCAGAAGCATCATCAATGAAGTCACAGGATACTAGCATGGATTTTTTCCAGGATTTCAAGTCTGATTTCTTAAAATCGCCAGGAGGAAAACCTCAAAAGAACAACAGGAAGAAGAATTACTTCAAGACGGTTGCCGGCTCGTACATCAATCCTACTGGAAACTATCGTGACCAAGATTTCACTCCATCTTACACAGCAGATCCCAATTATGAGTACGATAATTTCATTTTGAATTTTGGGGATATTGATGTTACTGCTGCACCAAACTCTGTTTCGGATCTTTTGAAATTTGCTGACCAATATTTGACTAGATCTATGATAGCTGTTCTTGATGATCTTCATATTGCTGTTTTGAAAAAGTTGCACTTGTTGAGGAATATGAAGCCTGCTGTTAAAAATATTAGACTGGTTACACCAAAAGTTAGCTTGAACTTTGGAGACTTTGCATGGGATCCCAAATCTGAACCATCGTTCAATCTAGATCATCTGGGTGTTGTTTTGGAGAATCCTTCATTGGCTTGTTCGTTCACTAAAACGACGGAAAATACAGAAGAAGCTGTTATTGCATTACATATCTTGAATACAGTGGTTGGATTATACGAAGCGAAAGATATGTCTCCTTTCAAGTTGACTATGGAAGATTTGGAAATTTGGCTCAACAAAACTACAAAGAAAACAGAATCCGCTTCATTGAGAAAATTTGATGTTGAATTACAATCAGATAAGGTCGAGTGGCTGAAGGCTTTCATAGAGAACCTTATCAACAGTGGATCTAGTTTATTGACCGAAGCTTTGAGAATCAAAGATAATGTTAAAAAATCTGAGATTGAGTTGCTATATCAGATTAGTTTGGCAAGTACAATTTTCAAGGTTGAACATGACCCAGCTGTGATCACTAGACCTGCATATATCATTAGGCTTTCTAGACAGCATATCAGGGCAAATGATAGTTGGAAAATTATTACACGTCTAAGACATATCTATGAGAACTTACCAGAGCAATGGATAAATGAGCATCAGCAGATATTTTTACAGAAAAACTTTCAAGCTCCTGATACTGCTGAGAATGACGTGGTTGATGTGTTTTCCAAGTGGAGAAGCTGGGAATTTGATGATATGGAGAGAACGTATATCTTCCGTTATGTGTTCTCAAAGATTTTACATGAGGCTCTGATGAATTCAATTTTTGAGTGCTCAGTTGAAGATGCTATGGTGAAGTTATCTGCCCATGACTGTGATCATGATTTTATTGCTCTAGATTTCTTGGAGGTTTCAGGGACGAAATCGTTTGTTGAGGCTCTAAATTCTTCATTAAGTGGGTATGACAACTCAAACTCTACCAGTGTGAGAGTTGCTCTCATAAGAGGAAAACTCAGTCCTTTGACTCAAGTGCTGAAAAGCTTCAAAGACATGAAAATGAATTTTACAAAACCATCTGATGATTCACCAGCATCTGTATCAGACTCAGAGACAAAGGATAATTTCGGAAAGAAAGTTGCTCAGTATGCTTTAATTGTTGATAGTTATGACTTCAAAATAGATTTATACACCATCAGTGCTGGAATATCTGGTTCAGAGGTTGCTTTAACTGCTTTGCATAGCTTGAATGACAAAAAGCAAGATATCACAACTACCTTTGATTCGAAGCGGTTTACACTGGAGGTGAGAACAGATAAAGCCCCAAGTATTACGTATACTATTTCCAACTTTGGATTCAATGTTTCTTCTGCTAATGATTTTAAAGCGGGACCAAAAGTTTTAGATGTTCACGCGGCCTCAGCAAGCTTTGTTATGCAACAAGGTACTGATCATTATACTACTCTTTTATGCAACGTGAACGATGATCTACATAAACTCAAGCTGGCTTTTGTTTATGAAGGTTCTTCGAAGCGTGAAGTTCTTCAAAGTTCCTCAAAAAGCACATTATGGCAAGAAATTAATTCTGCAACTGCCAGGCTCAAAGTCAAGAAGTTGTCTTGGAATATGTCAGTTGTTGATCCATTATCAATAGTAGGATCGATGGAGAATTATGAAGTGATGGTTTCCCTTGCTAATTTTAAAGTTGTCAATGCTCTGGATTTATCCTCTTTTACAATGTCCATTAAAAGCAAAGAACTTGAAATCTTGAAGTTGAGCTCAAAAAGCTTGAGCTTAGTCTCTAGGGCAGTTTTTGAATCTAAAAAGGTGATGGAGATTTTGGTTCACTCAGGCTCAACTGTTTTGCTCATACCTGATATTCTACCTCTTGCTAAACATGTGAATCAGACCATCAGTCAAGCAAAATCATCTGTTTCGAGATTGAAAAACGTATTACAAATGCTCAAAGACTCGAACAAGTCTAATGATCTCAACACATCTACTGTACCAACCAATGTGAATATCGAACCAATTGATATGCTGAAAAAGATTTCGTTTGTGAGTGACACATTTTTAGTTGCTGTCAAAGTGGCCAACTCAACCTATGGTATTGATCTGAAAGGTATTAGCTGTTCGTTTCAAGATTTTGACTCATTTGATGTTGGTCCAATGAAAGTGAAGCCTTTCGGTAGCTTTGAGGTTGAAAGTACAAAGCTTGTGATTAAAGATAGACAAATTGCTAGTCACATTTCAACAATCTTTGATGTCAACTTTGGACTAAAAGTTTTCAATTCTTATCAAGATGATGCTGTTTTGCAGACTTTACAAATTGAGTCTGCTTATTGTCGTTTGATGCTACACCCAAGGACGATTGTGAAGATGATTGAGTTTGGGCACGATGTGTCTTATTTGTTTGGTCTAGTAGATTTGAGCCCTTCCAAGCCAAAGCAGCCAAGTACTGATAAAATCAAGTTCATCAGTTACTTTCACTCAATCCATATGTTATTCTACAACTTTTGTGTTGGGTTTATGTTTGAAGAGCCTTCAGATGACTATGCGGGTATAATAGCTGGATGTGAGAAGGTTTTCGTGATCTCAGAAGAAAGCTATGGGAAGTTATCTTTGATCCATGCTTACTTTTCAATTGCAAATGGGCAAAGCTCCTCAGACTTTTATAGTTCAGTCAATGAACTTGAAAGTCCCAACAGAGCATTTCTACCAAATATGCAGGTGATGTACGCAGTGAAAAAGGCGAACAACAAGAAGGACTTCATGATAAGAGTTACAGGTGAGGAACTAGATGTTAAGTTTGTCTCTTCGTCCATTGTTTTGATTGAACAGACTTTGAAATCAGTGGGGACAATTGAAAGCTTAAAGAAGAAGATCAGAAAATATCCAAAGAAACCACCATCTACAGTCCCTCAGGAAGGGTATAAGCTACCATCAGATGTGACTTCAATAACCTGCTTCATGAACTTTGCTGGTGGTCTAGTCAAACTATACAGATCAGATGATTTTGAGCTACTTGAAGATCCGTACTCTCCTTCATTTGAGTTGAGAACCCCTGCTGTGAAGATAGCTGCTGAGTATTCCAAAACATCAGGTTTGAAAGATCACCATGTTAACTTTGAGGTTTTCACATCTTCTTCCAATAATACTCTGTACTCCACTTGTGTTCCAGTTCTAATGGATATCTGGCATTCAGTTAAAAGTTTGGGTGGAAGCTCCAAATCTTCATCATCTGTCCAAGTGAAGAAGGATGAAGCAAGCTCTATTCCAAAAGATACAGAATTTTTGAAGGTTTTAACAAACTTCCATGTGAATCTTGCCATTCATATTGACAAGCAAGAATTGAGCTTGAGTTGTGAGCCTTCTGCCAAGGTTCAAGCTGTTGTGGGTATTGAAAGTATTGATATTAGACTTGGTACGAATGATGAGGATGTGACCCAACCATTATCAGGTATATTATCCATTGAGAAACTCGGTGCCTCCTTACAACATATTTACTCGAGAGAAATCAGTGGATCCGTCGAAGTTGACCAATTGATCATAACATTTTTATTAACTGGGCCAGAAAAATTGAAGGTTTATGCTGCTGGTAAGATTGAGAACGTCGCATCATATGTTAATCTGAAACAGCTTCAAGATCTTGATTTGTTCAAAGATTTATGGTTTCCAAATGAGAATCATCCACACTCATCAAGCAGTAGTTTGAGATCTGTTGTTTCGATAGCAAATAGTGCACATGACGAAAACCTTGTTTTGAGATTTCAAAATGTCTCATCATCTAGAGCAGTTCCTTGGAACTTTGATTTTATGATTTTGAACGTCAATTTAGAAGTTGATTTGGGTCAATCATTAGGTATTTTAACCTTGGAGCTAGATAGATTTTGGGCTGCATCTAGAAAAAAGACTAACTGGGAACAAAACATGGCTATTGGATTTGACACAATCTCATTGAAATCTAAAGGTAGATTGAGTGGACACTTGAGTGTGAAAAATATTAGAGTCCATTCTGTTATTCAGTGGTCATTGGTTGGTGATTCTTTTGATATCCCATTAGTTCTGTTGTCGTTTGGTCTCCAATCAATTGAGGCTAAGGCATCGTTTGACTACAATGTGTTCCTCATTGCTAGAATTTTGAATTCATATATCACAGTCTATAACCAGATCGACAAAGAGAAAGTATTACAGGATAAGTTAGTTGCCAGTACCATTTGTCAATCAATTGAAATTTTCACCACTGCTTTGGCTGCTTCTAATATTTTAGATATCTACAACACCATATCCCGTATTCGTCAGGATAACAAAAGATCATATAGGGAAGATCTTAAGACTTCCAAAGCTGATTCAGGAGATCACAAAAAGTCATTAGATATTTTGAATGTCATTGCTACACTAAGAACAGAATTGGAAGTGAAGGTGGGTAAATTTCTACTACAAGTATATCCTGGGTCATTGTTGGATTCTCAAGTTTTGATCATAGATGTTGGTGGACTGACTGCCCATTTTGAGCAAAAGTTGGTTGAAGATATGATTGGCACAGACTTGAAGCTCAAACTTCACAATACATCAGTTGCGTTATCAAGTTTTAGAAAACAGCTACCTGAAGAATTATTGACAGAAATGAGCGTTGAGAAATATATCATTCATGCCGCAACGGCTAAAGGAGGTAGTATTTTCATTTTCCCATCATTGGAGAGTGCAATGCAAACATGGCAAGCACCTAAAAGTAATATTATCAAGTATAAATTCAAGAGTCAATTTGGAGGTAAAGTTGAAGTTCGTTGGAATTTGGGTTCAGTGAATTTTATTAGGGAGATGTGGGCTACACATGCGAGAGCGTTTTCATCTCGTTTACAAAAACCTGTTGATGTTGATAACCCAAATGTTCCTATTTATGAAGATGTTAATATTGAAGAGAAATTGAAAGATGTTGAATTGGAAGGGAAATATGTCTATATTGCGATTGAAGCACCAATAATTGATGCCCCTCAATTGAGAGACCTTGGTGATGCTACACCTCCGCTGGAATGGTTTGGTTTGCATAGACAAAGATTCCCTGGAATAACACACCAGTTTGTTATTGTTGGTTTACAAAAGCTTGTTCATGAGGTTGAACAGCAATATGGAAGAGTATTAGGTAAAGCATAGTACGCAATATCGTTTTATAAGTGGGTTTTTAATTAATTTTATTTAGTTGGGGTTGGAATTATTTATTTCGGGTAATATAGGTTTATTTTTAGAGGAAAGTAATAACGTAGATTAAATAAGCTAATTTGTATTGAAATAACAGCCATGTACGCAAGTCACGAGTATAGCTTATAACTTCCATCTTCATTAACGAGTTTGTTTTCAATGACACACTTTTCCAAGTAATTTTCAAGTTCTTGAATAGTTGCGTTATATTTTAGAACTGACATCGACAAAAATGATTGTATTCTTTCTGAAGAAAGGGATCCTAAATTACTGAGCATTCCAACTATAAATGGCCAGTGTGTTTCAAAGTTTTGAGCTGAATTTCTGGAAGATGTTTGGTTCATTTGAAGATGCTGTGGTATTTGACTATCTTCTTGTACCTCTAAAACTTTATAAGTGTCCAGTTCTTTTTTGAGAACGCCATTATGGACCCAAAAGTTCAAACAGTCCTTCACTCTTTCACCCTCCATTTCCAAACTTTCTGAAATTTGTTGCCACTTCAAAGAATCCACTCCATCAAATGAATATATTACAGCTGCTTTATCAGGGGTTACTTCAAAGTCTAGTGATCTATCTTTCAATTCAAGTTGGATATCAACCACACCAGCATTGATCCAACTCATTTTCCGCCCATTCTTTAAACGTGAATATTCAGCCAAATAAAGCTCAATTTGTTCTTGAATATCTGCAGGTAGTTTAAACTCTTCAGAAGGGAGTTCCGGCCAAAACATATATGAAAGTATTGAAAATTGTAATCCTTTCAAAATCTTTTGGTTTTGCTCATGTATTTTGAAGTTTGCAATTTTGCTGTCAGAAATATCTCTAACCATAACATCTAAATTGGTAAATTCACCCTCTCCAAATTTTGCTTTTAGTAATTGCAACTTTAACAAAATCTCTGAAATGTCGTACTTCTTCATAGCCAATAATGATTTGGAGAAAACTTCTGAAAATTCACTAATGAAGACTTCTTTGGTATCAAAAATAGAGATTAAAGATTCTATTATGTCTTGTTTTTTGAAATCAGGTAGGGCATCAATTGGATCCGGTGACCATGACAATGTTAACTCGTCAACAGTTTGCTCAGTTACTGAAGTAAGCTCCTCGGATAATCTTGATAGCTTGCTCTTTTCATCGGGCTTCAAGAGCGCATTAACAATTGTTGGGATGGTGTCTTCTCTTTCCTTAAGGTATCTTCTAATAGGTCTTGATGCATTGTCCAACAAGACTCCTCTTGGATCAATTAGCAAGAATGACTTGATTGTATTTGTATAAGATACGATAATATCTTCTGTATTTATACCAGCATGCAATAATCTTTTGTTACAACTCTGTGTAAATGAATTTACCAAATGGACTCTTTGAGATGGATCGATACATTGTCGCAAATCTTGTAATGCACAAATAGAATGTGGGAAATTGGAGACTATGTCAAAAATTTCATTAATTGTAAGCTTTGATAGTTCCTTTTTGCTTAATTCATTATGGTCAATTTGATTCAAGAAGCTTTGATTCCAAATACCAGAAAATGATTTGATTTGATCTATTATTGCTTGATCATATTCAAGTCTTGTGAAATCATCAATATCTAGTCCAATGAATTCCAAAAATTCATCATGACCCAACATACTCCTCGTTATCTTCAACTTCAACAAAGCATCTAAAGTTCTTTCCAATTGGTTCAGCTCGTGATCATCTAGCTGTAAGTATTGAGTGGGAAATAAAAAATATGTTCTCGTTCTCTCTAGTTGGTGAGTATTATCAACTTGGAGTGAAAGCACCTGAGTTTTCATCTGGTCCATATACTGGTGTAGCATGGCTGAGAAGCTTGTAGAGCTCATGACGTTCTTTAGCGCTGTCTTTATCCTTTGGGATGGTTCTCTGTGACCGTGGTTCAGCAACCAATTGGAGGCCAGATCAAAGTCATTGTCAGTTGGAACTTCTGGAGCAGGGAACACCTTGAGGAAATGGTCTTTAGTGAGCAGCATTCTTCAGCTTTAATTCTCTTCTTTCCAGTTGCAAATGTTAAAGAAACTTGTTGATCTTGTGAAATCAAAACAAAGACAAAAAGTCGCGAAATTTAAAATACCAAAAAAATGGTGATGAAGAGAGTTGAAGCCTTGAATTTACGTTCCAGAGAGGCAAAAGCATTTGAACAATGTCGAGAAATGTGAGTAGTTGGATTAAAAAATAGCTGATGTATTTGTATTAACGTACTTTTCTTCTTCAAGCAAAAGAGACAATTAAGAGATCAGTTCATAGATTTTACACACACAACATCAGCAATAGCTGAACAATTCCTCAAGTCAACAAACTATGATCTTGAATTGGCCATCAATGAATACTATCTATCCTACCAACCATCGACTGAGCGCAAAGATAACAAGAAGCTAGCTGCTATTTTTGATAAATACAAAGACCCTGATTCTGATATAATAGGCATTGATGGGACTATAAAGTACATTGAAGATTTAGGGTATGAACCAGAAGATAAAGTCGCTTTAGCGCTAGCTGAATTCTTAGAATCACCTTCTGCTGGTGTTTTCGAAAGAAAGAGCTTCATTTTGAAATGGCAAACCACACAGTAAGTGACTTTACAATCAATAGTTGTTGCGTTCTTCAAACTAACCACAAAACCAGTTCAGAGACGCTAGCTGATATGAAAAAACATGTGCAGTATCTGGAAAGGCAAATGAGCACCAACGTTGATTATTTGAAAAGAATCTATGAGTTCACATTTAAATTTTCTTTAGAGGAAGGACAAAGAACTTTACGTATGTTTACAGCTTTTTTGTTGTTTTTCCTTGAGCGTTACTAACTAGATCTCAGCATTGGAGACTGCTACTGAATATTGGAGACTATTATTAGGTCCATTGTATGGTGATAAAATCGAAAAATGGATTGCGTTTTTGAATCAAGAATGGAAACAAGCTGTTAGTAAAGATACATGGAACATGTTTTTCATTTTCCTTCAAGACTATGAGAAAGATCCAGAACTTTCCGAGTATGATGAAACCGCAGCATGGCCCAGTATTATCGACGATTTCGTCGAGTACATCAAGGAAGGGAAAACAGAATAAATAATTGGATAAATGTGTGCTTTTAAGCTGCAACTGATGTAATACGTCTACATTATTCGCGAATGCATTCTACGATTTTCTCGAGAGGGTGACATATGAATTTTGGCGCGCCCTTGTGAGAATTAAAAAGTCAACACTGGAACATAAAAGATCACAGACAACTAAAACTAAACCAAATCATCTAAATCTCATCGTCTGGGAACGGAATTGAAGTGGTTTCGGGAATCTAAAGCATCAGGGAGTGTCTAGCTTGAAGTTATATTACCTCACTCATCGTCGAACTTAAAAAGAGTAACGTTGAAACAATGAATCAGCAACCAAATCAACAACAACAACAACCCCAACAACAAGGTCAACAGGGCCAAGTTCAGAATAGAACTATGAATATTCAACCTGCTCAAATTCAACAGTTGGCCAAACAGTGTAACTACGAATTCACAGAAGCTAAGAGATTAGGTTTGAACTCAGAAGCTGGTCAGGAACATTTGAAAAGAGCTCAAAGAATTAAACAAGTTTTAGTTAGTTATCAACAACAACAGAGAAATGCTTCATTGCCAAAACAATCACCAGTCGCTCAATCACCACAAGTGGCTCCTCAATCCCAACCTCAAGCTCAAGTTCAACAAAGTCAGTCACAACCAACACAATCACCTCAAATATCACAACAATCACCTCAATTAAATCAAAATCAAATAAACCAAATAAGTTTCAGTCAACAATCACCCCTTACACAACAACAAACACTCCCACAGCAAGCCAATGGAGTCAACTCATCTGGTGCTACAGCTTCACCAAGTCCAATGCCTCAAGCAATTGGAACTCCTGCTGCTACTGGTGGTGCATCTACACCGAATGCTCAAGCAGCACCGAAGACCGCATTCCAACAACTTCAAAGATTAAAACATGTGCTGAATGAATTTCAAAAACAATTGAAAAATATTGAAGAGGCCAAAAAGAATAATATGCTACCTCCAGAAGCCTTAAATAAATTACTACAACAGGAACAAGTGCTTAGAGAACGACACAATAGTTATAAGAATGCTGCTTTGAATATCTCACAACAACTTCAAAGACAACAACAACAAATGCAACAACAGCAACAACAAAACTTTCAACAACAGTCCAGATCACAAAGTGCCAATCAACTTCCTCAAGAACCATCATCATCTCAGGGACAAAGCCCTGTTGTGATGAACCAACAAGCACAATTAAGCCCAGGTATTCAAAGAAGTACATCTGCAGCCTCAATACAAAGACCACAAGGTCAAATTGTTCCAAATCAAACAAATAACTTCCAATTTCAACAACAACAACAACAATCACCTCAAGTTACACAACAACAACTTCCTCAACAACAAGCTCAAAGACAAGCTCAAACAGCTGGTAATCAAATCCCAAATCAACAACAAAGGCAAATACCACCACAACAAATTCCTCAACAGGGAACTATTGGAACTCCACAGAAACAGCAACAACAAATTCAAGGACAAGTTCCAAATCAAACACAAGCACAACAAGCACAGGCTAGAAGCAACCTTCAATCACGTACTGGTACACCTCAACCTCAAGTTGGAGCCGTTGCAGGTCGTTCAGCTTCACCTAACACCCCAGTCACAAATGTTAATGCTGCTGCGAAACCAACAGGAACCAACGGTAATATCATCAATCCAGCTCAAGCAGCCAATGTCTTCAAAAGTTCAGTTTCTTCAATCGCAATTCCAAACCAAATCAATGTTAAACCTCCTGTTGCTGTTTCAATCAATCAGAATCGTCCAAGTTTGACTGGGGGACATGGTCTTTCAGCTCCAGCTTTGACTACACCGGCATTAATGAAGTTACCACCATATGAGATGCAAAGCGATAGAGTCTTGTCAAAACGTAAATTAAGTGAATTGGTTAAAACCGTTGGTGCAGATGAAGGTGATGGTGAAACTACAATTGATGGTGATGTTGAAGAATTATTATTAGATTTGGCCGATGAATTTGTTACAAATGTTACTGCATTCGCTTGTCGTTTGGCCAAACATAGAAAATCTGATAATTTGGATGTTAAAGATGTTCAGTTAAACCTTGAAAAGAATTGGAACATTCGTATTCCAGGTTATTCTTCAGATGAGATTAGAAGTGTTAGAAAATGGGCACCAAGCAATGCACACAATCAAAGAATCTCGGGTATTGAAATCTCAAAATCAGTTGAACAAAACAAATGAAGTTGCTTGATTGTTTTCCTCTTTTTTATTTCTCTTTTGTATTGGTTTTTCTTTAATGATCAGAATGTCTATGTTATTTTTTTTGAACAGTAGTTTATATTTTTCGCCGGAGCCACATTTTATTATGTAATCTCATCGCAGAAAAAAAAATTTCAAAATTATGTAGAGAAGACCTATTAATTCCAAATACTCTTACAAACAGCTTTTTGGAACCAGCAATACCATTTGAAAAGTTTCAAGAATGGTCAAATCATATCAGCGTTATGAACAAAAGAGTTGCTTTGGTGTGATTTCCTCAAAGTCAAACATCATATGGATTCCACCTTCAAATAAAACAAGCGCTGGTCAAGCTATTACTGCAGGTTTAGAAGAAATTTTAATCTGGGATATCAAGACTGGTGAATTAGTCAAGAAACTTACAGATGGGCTACCAATTGGTGCATTTGATTCAAAATTAACCAAACCATCTGAAGTTACTTCTGTTGAATTACATCAAGACACAAATCTTTTAGCAGCAGGTTACGAGGATGGATCAATCAAGATTTGGGATTTGATTTCTGGTACAGTTTTAATCAACTTCCAAGGTCATAAATCAGCAATCACAATCTTAAGTTTTGATAAAGAAGGTACCAGATTAATATCAGGTTCAAGAGACTCAAATATTATCTTTTGGGATCTTGTTGGTGAAACTGGTTTATTCAAGCTACGCAGTCACAAAGATCAAATCACTGGATTATGGTTTAATGAAGATTGGTTGATTAGTACTTCGAAAGATGGTTTAATTAAACTTTGGGATTTACAAACACAACAATGTATTGAAACACATGTTGCTCATACTGGTGAATGTTGGAATCTTGCTCTTATGGATGATATTTTGATCACCACTGGTGCTGAAAATCAAGCAAAAGTTTGGAAAATAGATTCCGAAGAAGAAAATAACAAGCTTACCGAGCGTGGTGTCTTTGAAAAGCAAAGTAAGGCGAGAGGATTAGAAGTATCATTCGCTAAAGTTGGTTCAAATAGATTTTTCTACATTCAAAATGCTGACAAAACTATTGAACTCTTCAGAATCAGAACAACAGAGGAAATTGCAAAGGCAACTAAGAAGAGAGAAAAGAGATTGAAAGAGAAGGGGTATGATGAAGAGGAAATTGAAAATGCTATCAGAGAATCAGATGTGAATATGCTAATACAACCATTCACTGTCCTCAGATCAATTTTCAAAATCAAGAACGCAACATGGGCATTGACTAATAGCACAAAGCTCGAACTTCTGTTGTCATCTTCAAATAACACAATAGAGTACTATACAATTGCATATACAAATAAGGAAGTTACCGCACCTTCTAAAACATTCACCGTTGACTTGCAGGGCCACAGAACTGATATTAGAGCCATGGATATCAGTGACAATGATAAATTATTAGCCACTGCTTCGAATGGGTTGTTGAAAATATGGAACACGAGAACTAATAATTGTATCAGAACTTTTGAAAGTGGTTATGCTTTAGCAACCAAATTCTTACCAGGTGGTTCATTAATCGTTGTCGGTACAAGAGCTGGTGAACTTGAACTCTATGATTTAGCAACATCAACATTATTAGAAACTACTCAAGCTCACGATGGTGCCATATGGTCATTAGATATAACACCAGACGGGAAATCTTTGGTTACTGGTTCTGCTGATAAAACCATCAAATTTTGGGATTTCAAAATTGAACAAGAACTTGTCCCAGGAACTGAAAGAATGGCAGCAAAGATGAAAATTTTCCACAACAAGACTTTAGAATTAACTGATGATATATTATCCCTCAAGATCTCACCAGATACCAAATATCTTGCAGTTTCATTGTTGGATAATACTGTGAAAGTTTTCTTTTTTGATACTTTGAAATTCTACTTGAGTTTATATGGTCATAAGCTTCCAGTTTTGTCTATTGATATTTCACATGACTCAAAATTAATAATCACATCGTCTGCTGATAAAAATATCAAAATTTGGGGGTTGGATTTTGGTGATTGTCATAAATCCATCTTTGGACATCAAGACTCTATCATGAATGTTAGATTTTTACCGGAGTCTCATAACTTCTTTAGTGGTGGTAAAGATGGATTATTGAAATACTGGGATGGTGATAAATTTGAATGCATTCAAAAATTAAGTGCCCATCAATCAGAAATCTGGAGTATTGCTATATCTACGGATGGTTCATTCGTGGTTTCAACTTCTCATGATCACAGTATCAGAATTTGGGAGGAGACTGATGATCAAGTATTCATTGAAGAAGAAAAAGAAAAAGAAATGGATGAACTTTATGAAGGTACATTGTTGGCTTCACTTGAAGGAGAGGATGAGCCAAAGAAGGACGATGACGAAGAAGAAGATAAAGATGAAGCCACTGGTGTTAATCAGCAAACATTAGAAACCTTAAAAGCTGGTGAAGTACTACTTGAAGCTTTGGAAATCGGTGGTAAAGATATGGAGGACGAAGAAGAATACCAAACGGCTTATAAGAAATGGCTAAAGACTAAAACTGGTGAACAACCTATCAAACCTTCAAAACATATTTTAATACAGTCAAAGAATGTTTCCGGATCTGAATATGTGTTAGATCAACTTTTAGCCATCAAACCAGCCCAGCTTGAAGATGCCTTACTTGTGTTACCATTTTCATTTGTTTTGAAGTTTTTCAAAGTCATTGAAAGATGGACAAGATCAAACAAAGTGCTAAGACAACATACTTCAATCATCTGCAAAGTCTTATTCTTCTTAATCAAATCTAATCTCTATGAACTGAACAGCATGAAAGATGAGAGTATTAAAAAGTTAATAACAAGTGTGAGATCTCAACTCAGAGCTGAATTGAAGCAAAGTACTAATGAATTAGGTTTCAACATTCAAGGTTTGAAAGTTTTGCAAACTCAATGGAATTTGACCCATAACGCTGAATTTATAGATGAATATGAAAACAGAGAACAAGTTGAAAAGCAATCCAAGAAAAGAGTTTATCAAACACTACAATAGTTGAATCAATAGAAGCAAAACTTGATATTTGAAACGCCTATGTAGTGTACTCAAAACTACCGCTTACATCCGTATTCGCGAAAATCAAAAATCATACATTAAGAACATCGACGTCCACCCATTAAAAACCCTCTAAAATACATTCAATCACGGTCAATAAGATCACGATTTTGAAGCGTGATACTTTTAGTCATATTGTTGACTTTGTAGATACCCACCAACTGTTGTGCAAGTTCAAACATATTATTTCTTAACGAGATAACGATGAATTGTGCGTTCTTTGTACGTTCTTTGATATAATTTGCAACAATTGAAACATTTCTGAAATCCAAGGCAGCATCAATTTCATCCATAACATACAATGGCGTAGGTTTATAACGATGTAATGCAAAGACCAACGCCAAAGAACTTAATGTTTTTTCACCACCTGATAGATTTGAAATGTTCTTCCAACTCTTTTTTGGAGGCATCACACTGAACAAGATACCTTCTGAAAATGGGTCCAAACTATCTACCAATTCCAATTCTGCATTACCACCCATTGTAATCATCTGATACATTTCCTTTAAAGTGGCAGAAATGATGTTAAATCCTTCCATAAATTCATCCAATCTTTTCTTCTTCAAATCCTCACTCATCTTTTTAATTTCATCTCTCTTGTTTACAGCATCATTTAAATCAGTCTTACGCGACGAATATTCAGCAGCTCTTTTACCGTATTCTTCCAATATATCAACGTTAATTTTGGCATTTGTAATAAATTCATCCAATTCTGCAGTTTCACTCTCAATATTTTCTATATCGAGTGCTTTTATTTCATCTGGTGATAATTCTGACAAAACAGGAGTTGCAAATTTAGCACGTTCTTCATCATCTGTAATAAATGCAACCAACTCAGTTACATCTCGTGCTTCCAAAGATTTAAGTTCAGCCAAGTACTCGTTCAAATGTCTTGACTCTTGTTTAATTATACCTTGGTGTCTTTCAATCTTATTCTCGAGCTCGATAGCAGCAGATCTGTACTGATTGATCTTTTCCAATTTTTCATCCAACTGCTCTTTCAAGGATTCAGCTTTGGAGGAATTGTCATCTTTAGAGTCTAACAATTTATTTAGTTCAGTTTCCAAATTCTCAAATGAAGCAACTTTCTCTTGATATGCTTGTTCAATTTTCACTAGCTCATTATCATAGCCTTGAATCTCAGACTCTTTTTCGGTCTTGGACTTTTGGTATCTTTTCAGCTCATTCTGCAGCTTCTTGAGTGAAACTTTATTGTTGTTTATCTTTTCAAGTGTGAGTTCCATTGTTTGGTTCAAACCATCAACTTTGGATTTTTGCAAGCGTAATTTGACACCACCAACTTGCATAATCTTTTCTTGAAGTTCATTGATTTTTGATTGCAAGTCTTTTGTTTGCTCGGTTAGTTGTTCATACTCATTTTTGAGAACCACGACTTGTTTTTCAGCTTCTTGTATATCTTTATTATTGGAATTTGCAGCTTCGTTGGCCTGGATTGATTCCGTAAGTTGAGCTTGAGAGTTTTTCAACTCATTGGATAATGATTCAATTTCAAAAGTCAGTTTGGATATTTGAGTTTCGATCTCAGGTTTTCTTTCCTTCATCTCTTTCAAAGCATCTGTCATTTCATAATAGGTATTTTGTGCAATTTCAAAGTTCTTTTCCTTTTCCGCTAGCTCTTGTTCTAACTTAATGACATCTCTTTCAGAAACTGAATTCGCAGAAGCTGCAGATTTCATACCACCTCTACTAACAACATTACCACCACCACTCAAAGTACCGGACTTATCAATCAATTTACCGTCGAGCGTAACAACCCTGTAACGTTTGGCACCATACGCAACAGCATTAGCTTCTCTCATATCGGAAGCGACTAAAGTATCTTGTAAAACACTGTAGAATGCAGGAGCAAATTTTGGGTCCTTAGGTTTGACTAAGTCAAATAATCTCGGGACATTGTTCGGTGTATGAATTGGGTTCAAGTTGAAATTTCTCAATTTGTTCAACAAAATGAAACGAGCATAACCAAGGTTGTTTTTTCTCAAGTGTTCAATACATTGTTGACCGACTTCAACTGTTTCAACAACCATGTCATCTAATTGACCACAGGCAGTTGAAATGGCCACGTCATATTTATCATCAATATAACCCAAATCACCTAATCTTCCATGGAAGCCTTGAATACGACCAGAGTCTTGTAATCTCATCAAACCTGCAAGAACCTTACTTTTGTTTTCGATGTTTGACAATGAACCACGAGCTTCTAAAGTTCGTTGACGATGGTTTGATAAAACTCCATTCATTTCATTCAATTTTGCAGACGCATGAGAGCATTCTTGTTCACCAAGTTCAATTTGCTTAGTGGTATGAACGAGTTCCCTTTTCAGAGTTGTCAACTTCTTTTCATTTTCATTTCCATCGTTCATAATCCTTTGAATAGATTGCTTCAAACCGTTAACTTCAGCATCTAATTGAGATCTTTTCTCTTTCAATATTGAAACTTGACTCTCAGCAACTTGAATCTGTGATCTTTTTTGATCAAGCTGTTCATTCCATGGTTGTAGTTGTTTTTCATAAACTTCGATTTCTTCATTGAAGCCTTTGGTTTTATCTGTAAGTTCAAGACGGATCTTATCCAAAATAGCCTTCTCTTGAACCATCGACTCCTTGACCTCTGCTAATTCTTTGTCGAATGATTCATTTTCCTCAGAATAAGTTTGAAGTTTTGATTCAGCTTCACTCAAGGCATGAACAGCGGTTGATAGCAGCTTTTCAGCTTTCTTCTTCTTGTTCTCCAAACTCTTCTTTTTTTCTTCAACAGCGACCTTTTCTCTATCACCTTTCTTTTGCACATCTTCCAATTTCTTGATATTAAGGGTAATATCCTCAAGCAAGGCGGTCAATTTATTGTAGTCTTTCTCTAGGGATTTGACTTCTTTTTCAAAATCGGTTGACTCCGTCTTTTCATTTTTCAACTTGGTTTGCAGTTCTTTCAAAACTCCATTGTTGGTGTTTATAGACTCTTGACTTTTATGCATTCTAAATTGGAATAATAAAGATTTTTTCTCAACCAAAGTTTTCTCTTTGTACAAAAACTCTAAAGCTTCATCCTTTTTGGATTCTAATGATGATTTTTCCTTTTCAACAAGACTAAATCTGTTTTCTTTTTCTTGACAAACTTCATTTAGATCTTCAATTTGTTTAAATGAATCTTCAATCGTGCCTTTATAATCTGAGGTACCAATGATATCTTCTAGGTATTCCAAAAGACCATCATCATTTTCCTTTTCAGCCTTTGGTTTCATTTGTGCAATACTTTCAACTTCACCTTGCAAGATCAAGAATCTCTTATGATCAAGATCAATACCTTTATCCTTCAATAGTTTGGTAACTTCAGAATAATTACTTCTTTTCTTGTTGATATAATATTCAGAGCCATTATTTTTGAACGCACTTCTGGACACCACCAATTCACTACCTGGAACGATTGTTGTGGTATCATCTAGATTATCAGTGACATGGTGGAAGTGAACATCGACGGAACATGATTGTAAGTTTGGAGCAGCTTCAGAGTTATGGATCAATTCTGATAATTTCCCTTGTCTCATTTTGTTTGCCCTGAACCCAAAGACGAAAAGTAATGAATCAATAACATTTGATTTACCACTACCATTAGGACCCACGACTGCAGAAAATGATGAATGGAAAGGGCCAATGACTTGAGTCCCAGCATAAGATTTAAAGTTGTTGAGTACTAATTTTTGGATAACTAATCTTGTTATTGGTTCCCTTGGTTTATCTTGTGAGTACTGCGTTGCTGCCTTGGAGGATTTGATTGGTGATAATTGAATAATATCTGGACCGTTAAATGCAGTTTTTTGTTTTGGTGATTGCGGAGGTGGTAACGTTGAAGGAGGGTCAAGTTTAACATTGTTTGTGAGTTTCAAGCTATCAACATTTTGATCAATTGGTGCCAATGAAGAGCGACGTTCTGGCTTCGGAGAACTCTTTGTTGGGGAGGACTGAAGTTCGTTCTCTTTATCGCTCATCATCGAGACGTCACCAGCATCATTGACAGCGTCAGCGTAATCTTCTTCATCATCAGAGACTGCTACTCTAATAGCTCGTCTCTTTGCCTGCTGAACTGGCGAACTCATCGTATGAACCTGGTTCTTTCTTGTATGTTGAAGCTTCAAAGTGTTTCGATCAAAGACGCGTATATGAAATCAAAACATAAACAAAAAAATAAACAAACCCAAGATCTCAATCCGCGAACTTTACCCTGACTTGAGTCACGTGTGTGAATTTTCGAATTCGCGACACCGCGAACTGCAAATGTGTATAAGCTCTGAAAAATCAAAGCAGAACAACAAATTTCGAACAATTCCTTGAGATTGACTGGCATCCTTGAAATGTCGTCTACAGTCATTCTAGATAATGGATCTTTCAACATTAAGGTCGGATACAACACAGCAGATGTCAAAGACATAAAGAAAGTTCAAAATACAATTTGCAGAACTAAAGACAAGAAATTATTAATCTCCAATCAAATACACAATGTTAATGATATCAGTGGGATAACTTTCAAAAGACCAATTGAAAAAGGGAATTTAGTTAGTTGGGAAGTTGAAAAACAAATCTGGGATTATGCGTTCACTTCAAGAGATGTTGACTTAGACGTTGACCCCAGTGATACCCATTTGATATTAGGTGAAACTCCATTTACATTACCACAATTGTCAATTAATACAGATCAGATAATATTTGAAGAGTATGGATTCCAGTCTTTATACAGAAACCCTATGGCTGGCTTCATACCGTGGAATTATGGAAAGAATGAAACTTTATATGAACCCAAAATAGAGAATGATATATCGGGTATTAAAAATTATGCTGATTTCCAATTAGTTATAGATTCAGGATTTAATGCAACTTGGATAATACCAATAATTAGAGGTGTTGTTTACTGGAGAGGTGTGAGGAAGTTTGAGATAGGGGGTAGATTTCTCTCGGGGGTTCTTCGAGAATATGTTTCATTTAGACACTATAACGTTACTGATGAAACTATTTTGGTCAATAACATCAAAGAAAAATCCTGTTTTGTTAGTTTGGATTATAATGAATCACTAAAGATGATTAAGCAAAACAAAAATAATAAAGACCACATTATCGAATATGTTTTACCAGATTTCAATACAACAACTCAAGGGTATGTCCTTACACCAGAATTGAAACAAAAATACAAACCACAAGAACAACAAATTTTGAGACTATATGATGAAAGGTTCTCAGTGCCTGAAACGATATTCCATCCTGAGATTGTCAATGTTAACAATAAACCAGGCTTAGTGGAGACGATAATGGATAGTATTTATACGTTACCAGAATTGATTAGACCATTGATTGTCTCAAATATTATCGTCATTGGTGGGAATTTCGAGATGGAAAACTTTGAGAAAAGGTTATCAAATGAATTGAAAATTGTTTTACCTGTTGAATGGGATGTTAGAATTGGTAAACCATCAAATCCTACAACTTATGGTTGGGAATCTGCCAAAGTTTTCAGTGAGAATGAATCATATAGAAATGTAAGAGTCTCTAAACAAGATTATGAAGAGCACGGTTCACAGTGGTGTCAACAAAGGTTTGGATTTCAATTATGAATCCTACAAGGGAATAAACGATCATGACAGTTCATATAATTAATTATCGTAACAAATGCTTATCTATAATATAAACTCTAAAAAAACAACCATAATATCAAAAACAAAACACATAAATCAACTTATTAATACATATCTTCAAAAAATCAAATACCAAAAACAGAACCAATACCACCAATTATGAAAACCGTCACACCAATGAAAACACCCCAAACAAATACTAGATTCCCCATAGTTTTTTTCTCGCAACTCATTATTAAACAAATGGCTAAAATTCCCAAAAACAAACTAATCAACATAGTTATGGTCAAAACACCCACAAGTACTGGGCTCAAACTCACATCATCATAAGAATTATATATGGAGGCAGTTATACCTAATGAAACTGCAGTGAGGAGCAACGCAAATAATGCGGATAATAGAGATAATGAGGATAAGAAAGTTGATTGTTGATGAGATTTGATTTGTTCATTTAATGACTCCACATCGGATTCTAAAGAACCATACCCATTATGATGTTGTTGAGAAAGGGATTGATTCATTGGTTGGGACTCTTCATCAGTTATCAACCATGGAGTTTTCTGTAATAGGAAATCATGGAAATTATTAGACATTTTGTAAAACCAATCAATTGATGCATTGTTTAAAAAATGGTGGTCATCTGAAGAATCAACATCAACCATGAATGCATTATCGTTTTCAAAATCTGAACCATTATCAAATTCATTCCAATAACGGAATTGCACTGTGGATTCACCAGAGACTGATGGGTTATGGATTGATGAACCGTTATCTGAGTTCCCAGCTGTTGTTGGGCTGGTTAGCTTTGAGGTGTGAGATTTAGATCTCTTGATCTTTGGTGGGAGTTTTCTGATATCAATGTTTGATTCGAATAATTGGGCCCATTGAGGTTTGAATGATAATTTGTTAAATTTGTATAATGAAAAAGTTAATGCATTGAAAGATTTATCAATGTTGTAAACTAAATGAGAATCCAATAATTTTTGTAAAAAACTTGGGACATTTGGTGAATTCCAACGAACTTCTAAGATTGCATAAGGTAATGAGCTTGCATCTGATTCATTTTGTTGAGTCCATGCATTAGTGGATAAATCACTTTCACTTAGTTTAACATTTGATTTTAAAGTGATCCATGATTTAAACTTTGAGTCTTGAGATAAATTAGTTTGCAAGTTTGTAAATCTTGATTTATTTAATTTAACTTTAACCAAAGGTTTAACATTTTTGGAATATATCCATTCAATTGAAATTTTCTCCAAGGAGCTTAAAGGCAAAATTTCAGATTCATGACGTTGATAAAAATCTTGATAAGTTTCACCATCTAAACAACTCTGTAATAAATCTTGTAAGAATTGAGAATCATGTAGCAACACACATGAAGTTTTTCTTAATCCACCAATAGCAGTCATTGAAATAGTTCTATTTGTATTTTTTAAATCAGTTAAAAACATGCCTGGTTCTGTTTCATTTTTGATTGAAATGAAATTCTTTGGATCTTCCAAGATCAATGAACTTGAACCATGATCAACCAATTCGTCACTTTCATTCAAATAAATTGAGTTACTTTTATAAATCTGAGTGTTTCTTTCATCATCGTCCTCTTCATCTTGTTCTTCTCCTTCTTCAATAGGTTGAGTTTTTTGTCTCTTTGTAGATGGTAAATCTTCATTTGAAGCAGATTTCCCAATAATTTGCCTTAGACTTAGAGTTGATGTCTGTTTCTTTAGTTCAATATTTTGTCTAGTGGAACTCACTGTTTGGTCAACAAAATAAAAATTAGCCAACAAGAATATCTTTAATTCTTCCAAGTTATCATAATGAACCAAGTATTTCTCCACAAAGTTACCTTCTTTGATAGCTTCATAATCAAAAAATTCATTAATGTTTAAAGTTAAAGATGGATCAATGTATGAAGAACGGCGTCTATGGGCATTGGCAGGTAATGGTTGTTGTTGTTGCTGTGGCGGCTGAGTTGGTAATGAAGAAGTTGGTGAAACTGCCTCCATATTTGATCTAATCAAGTCATAAATCAATGCTAGTTCCAAATAAAACCCAGTAAGATCCAAATGGATGAATGAATCATCATTCTTGATCATATATTTGTTGATTTTCATGTTTAAATCACCGCCATCTTTTGAATATTTTGTATATTTTTTCAACAACTTCCTTAGACCAGTTTTTTGAACCATGATGAATCTTGAAAGTTTTTGTAAATCTGATGAGATTGAAGATAAATAATCTTCAGCATTGAAATGAATATGTCCATCATTATGACTTTTTGGGTTTTCTTGTTGTTCAATCAAGTTTTCGATATATATTATTCTTCTTTTAACTTCACCAATCTTGGAGTTCAGGAATAGATTTACCATATCAATTTGTTCAATAAAGTCATTATGTAAGTCATTAACCAGTTTTTGATTATTTGGAGTTTCTGTTGTTACTCTAATCTTAAATTTCAAGTGGTTATAATCAATATTGTAGCTCTTCCATTCTGGAACGGATTTGGATTTGATTTGAGCCCCAAATTTCATCCTACCCGCTAGTGAGCACTTCTGGATATCTTTAGCTGGTTGTTAAGTGTTTCTTCAATGGATTTCTCTTGCCCCCTTCTTGTCAAGTTAGAATGAGTACTAAAGGGTTTTTTTCCTAAGCAAAAACAATTTTTGATAAAGGAACGTGGATTTAACAAATCTATCAATTCTCGCTTAATAAAAGATTATAGACCTAGTTGATAACGATTGTGTTGAGTGAGTGATATAAGAGATGGTATTAGCTTGGATTCCCAAGGAGACTGGGTCCTTTTATAAGATGATTCTGTGTTTTGATACAACCAGTTTCAGCGCATCGCTTTCGCAAATTGTGCAGAGGCTGCTGCTGCATGGAGATACACTTTACTGTTAAACACTCCGGGAGCCCTGTGTAAAATAAGGTCAAGAGACCAAGAAGTTGGGCTATAGCCCTGATAAAGAGCGTGTAATGTTATTATTAATGAACTACGAGAAGACCATGAGCTATTGGTTGTTGTGAACAGTTGTTGTATTCCTCAGCAGAGCTATTGAGGCATTCTTTGATTGTCAATTTGAAGCACCAACTAAAAACCTTCAAGAAGATCAAAGCACTTGCCAAATCGCCTTGTAATATAAGTTCCAACCACGGTTCAGGCTTCAATCAAGCTCAGTCCAGCTCTAGAACAGGTATCCAACGGCTAGTGAAGAAGCTATGTATGGCCGTTAGCCAGTTATATTCCGCTTCTAAAGCTCCCAAAAGTATCGCCAAAGCTCTGTTCTCTTTCACTGGATGAGTTTTGGCTGTTTCTCATCCCATATGCAGTTCCTTCCTATCGAAAAAAAAATTTTCGCAGCTACAGTATCAGCTCCAAATGTCAAAACATACTCACAGCACGACGGCTATTGTAATGGGTTTGAGAAAAAGTAAATTAGTTTATAGCTTTAATCGTTGTTCTTGTCCTTCTCTTTTCCTCGAGACCAATTCAGCTCCGAGATTTGTTGAATCTCTTGATGCCATTGTCTCCATCTCATCATTTCACAGTTCGTTGGCCTTTGATGAGCTCCACGTGGGACTGGTTTTCAGGTACTCGTGTGACAGATTACCACAAATGCTAAAATCCGTCAACCTGTTGAAGATTTTCAAATTTCAAGGTTTCGCGAATTGACTCTGTGAGCCTGTGGCGGGCTACTGCGACCGACCGTAGACTGCCCAATACGGAAATAAAAAGTGAGCAGAGCCATATATTATTCTATTATTTACTGCAGTAACTGTTTTTATATAAAGACTTGCAACAGCCATACCCCCATTTACCATCAGAATAATATGAACCCCAGACGCTGGTATGATTATTATGATACACATCCTCTGGATATTTGGATTTCGTGGAATCAACTTGTGCTTGTGGGTCTTCATCTTCCTCTTCTTCAGCTTCATCATTATTTGAAATTGACAAGCTTCCCCCATATCTATCTAGTATAGACTTCTTCAGTTTGTCCTTTTTTAATTTCTCCTCCTCACTCATCTTTTCAATTTTACGGTCAGCTAAAGTTGGATTAGCAACAAGATTATCATCAATAATACCTCGTTTTTTTTCATCCCATGCAAACTTTTTGGAGTTTTCAAACTCTTTAGCCTCACCAGTCAAATGTCTAACAAACAAATTACTATCATTATAATAACCAGTCTTATCATCTCTAATCATTCTACTCTTTGGATCATAACTAATATTTTCATTCCTCACATTAGTCAAATAAACAGCTTTATCCTCTCTTAACCGGATAATTTTTTCACCGTCCTGTTTAGCAGCATCTTTAAATTCAGGATCATCCAATAATCCTAATTCCTTCAATTCAATTTCCTCATCGGTATCATATTCCCTTTTCTCTTCTGGTTCTTTCTTTGCCTCCTTCTCTTTCCAATCTTTTAAATATTTCGTATAGTCATTAACATCATATCCATACCATCTATCCCTCTTCCCATCATAATCAACATCCTCATTTCTCTTCGAGACTTTCCCTGTCTGTTTAACATTGATTAAACCAGGACGTTCAAGACAATCCTTCTTATCATGATCACCCCCACAATTCTTACAGCGTCCTTTCTTCTTTATCCTATGGCGCTGTTGACTTGTAGGATCTATTTCTTCAGTGGGTATGAACTCGTCTTTGATACCCTGTCCTATCTTTGGTTCTGAATTTGGTTCTTGTGTTGAAGATGTTCTATGATGTGATAAATAATCCTCTGGATTGGTCTTTGGTTGATACCATGGAGCATCTTTGATATATTTGGGCACATATGGGTTTTCTTTTGACATTATAAAGTCCGAGCGGTATTGGTTAAATCAAATAAGGTGTAACTTGATAACTGATTTACTCTTTGAATTTTTGACACAGTTGACTTTTTTTAACGGTTCAACAAGATTTCGCGGAATTGGATTTTTTTTTGGTGATGGAGTGTCTCTAACAAGTCATCTCTAAAATTTTTTTTCTTTACGTGGAAAAACTTATCAATGGATCAAATAGTATAGATCAATTTGAAAGCAATACACCACAGATCAATCATGAGCAATAATATACAAACTTCATCATTTGTGAAGAAGCTAGCGGCAAATGGTATGTCTCAGTTCCCTCTCCATTTCATGTGAAGATGTCCACTAACTTTTCTCTCTAGACCGTCCAACTAGAACAAAAGCATTAGAAGCATTACAAAAGTTTTTATCACATCCACGTAAATTACCTTTATTAGAATATGAAAAATTATGGAAGGGTCTATACTACTCAATGTGGTTCAGTGATAGACCAAGACCTCAACAAAGATTAGCTAGAGATTTATCTTCATTATTTGATATAATTCCAAAACAAAATTGGAAATTATTTAATGAAAGTTGGTGGGTTATTATTTGTAAAGAGTGGCCTCATATTGATCATTGGAGATTAGATAAATTCTTAATGTTGGTTAGATTCAACCTTAATGCTATGTTTGCTAGATTAGAAAAAGAAGAATGGGATGATGAAATGGTTGAACAATTTTTACAAGTTTTGAAAAAAATTCCATTATCTGGTGATAAAAAAATACCTAATGGGATCCCATTCCATATTATTGATATCTATGTTGATGAATTGGAGAAAGTGGTTTTCAAAGACGTTGAGGAAAAAGATGAAGATGAAGAAGATGAAGATGACGAACAGGATGATATCAATAAAAGAAAACAAGATATAATAGATAGTACACCTGTTGGAGAATTGATTTCAGTGTTTGATGAATTGAGTAAAGAGGCTGCATACAAGACCCTAAGAGAAAAGATCAGAGATGAAGTGTTAAAAGATGACAGATTGAAACAATGGGGTGTTGTTGAAGTGGTTGAAGAGGAAAATGATGAAAGTGAAGAGGATACAGAAGATGATCAAAATGAAGATAGTGAAGATGAATGGAATGGGTTTGATTAAGTTATATAGATATATTTTGCATCAATAAAAGTCAATTACAGTTTGTTTTAGGAAAGGAAATTAATTAGATTAAAGCATATTCATAGCTCTTATTCTAGCTATAAACACAATTTTTGTCTAGATATCTTCATGTACCTTTTAGTATTTACTCTTCTTCGTTTTGTTGGGACTGTAGATAGCTTTTTGTTGCAGCTAACACTGCTAATCATTAAATGTAAAGAATAAACCAAATAACAATAGATCTTTCTTAAGCATGAGGTGGTGGTGGTGGTCTTTGACCTTGATATTGTGGTGGTCTTGGTGGACCTTGGGGTGGACCTTGCGCATACCCTTGTGGTGGTGGTGGACCTTGAGGATAACCTTGTGGTGGGTATCCAGGTCTTGGAGCACCAGTTGGAACTCCTGGTCTATAACCTGGTGGAGGAGGCCCTGGAGGCCCTGGAGGTCCTCTAAATCCTGGTCCTGCTTGTGGTCCTCCAGGTTGTTGTTGATATGGATATCCAGGTCTTTGTTGTGGTGGTGGTGGTCCTTGTCCATAATATCCTTGTGGTGGTGGTGGTCTACCAAATGGAGGTCCCTGTGGTCCTGGTGGTCCTCTTGGTGGGAACCCTGGTCCTGATGCTTGGGGAGTACCTGGTTGAGCTGGACGACGTGATAATCCACTTGGTGGTTGAAATTGAGTGAAAGGACCTCCTGTAGCTGGTGACTTAGCTCCTGGTGGTCCTTGTTGTTGTGGATATCCATGGAATTGATTACCTGGTGTTGATGGATGAGATCCTGGAAACCCTGGACGAGCTGCACCTGGTGGCATTTGTGGTTGCATAGGCGATGGACCTCCTTGTCTGTATGGGTTTGGAGAAGCAGCACCTGAAGATGATGGTCTTTGAGCTTGAGGTGGGATAGACCCACGATGTGGAGGTTGTGCTGGTGAAAATTGTTGAGATGGTGGAATACGTGGAGATCCTTGATTTAGACTCTGCACAGGAGTAGCCCTTGGAGTAGGTGGTTGTGAAGTACGTTTCCCACGAACGCCTAATGGATTTGAAGGTGGTACTTGAGAAGCTGGGGTTGCTGGAGCTTCCGCTGGTGATGGACCACTTCTTGAAGTAGCTGGAGCTTGATTTCTTGGGCCACGACTTGGTGGAGCATTTGAAGGGGGTCTTGTTGTATCTTGGGATTTTGGAGCACTTGGTGGCATATTATTCTTTGCATTTGGAGGAATCTTCATTTGATGATGTACTTCTGGGAGTGGAGTTGGAGCTGAAGCACTTGGTGGAACAGGTATTTGTTTTTGACCAGCATGAGGTGGTATTGGAACGTTATTTGAAGGTGGTACCTGAGGTTTTTGACCTTTCTCGAGAGATGCTGGTTGCTTTTCACCATCCTTCTTGACAGTGGACTCCTCAGTAACTTCAACAGATTCAATTTTAGCTTTAACTAAAATAAAAGGGCTTTTTGAAATTTTTGCAAACTTGGTGACGTATTTTGCAGTTAATCCTCTTTCCTTATTAGCTTTGTTATGTTTTTCAATAATGACTCTGAACAACACAGCTGAAATTGGAGTTGCAAACTCAATATAAGCATTACCACGCGATTTACCATTACTCTCCTGTGTGTCAAAAATAATCTTTCTAATGTTATCCAATAACTGTTGAGACTTTGTATTCAACTTTCTCTGAACGTACTTAGCAGTGAGTTTCTTGCTCTTTCTTCTTTCCTTTCTCTTCAGCTTCTTAAGCTCTTTTAATTTCTGTTCTTCAGGATCAGTCTCTTTGGCTTTTCCGTCTTTATCTGAGGTATCCTCTTCGTCATCCTTCTCATCTGATGAGCTTTCCTCAATATCATCATCCTCCTCCTGTTCAACAACTGCAACCTTTCCATCTTTGGACCCATTATCAGCAGCAGATATTTCAGTAGATTTAGACTCAACATTACTTTTATCAGCTTCTTGCTGTTCATCTGAATTCATTTCCACATCACCATCTTCTTTCGATTGTTCAGTTCCTTTCGGAACCTCTTTCTGCTGACCATTCTCTTTAGATTCAGAACCCTTCTTGAAAAGATCAGAAACCAAACTATTTGTAACATTTTCTGCCTTCTTCGAAACTGCATATTCAATAATCCATTCTCTGATGTCATCTTCCGTAATTTCTGGTCCCATATTCAAAACATAAACAGCTCTAGTACTAGCATCACTTGTGTTTAAAACTTTCAAAGCTTGAGGCTTGGTAGATCTTGAGGATTTAGTTCTTTGTTCAAACAACTTTCTTTGGTCAAATCCAGAGAACTTCTCACCATCTCTTTCTTTAAAAGCTTTTCTTTGATCAAAGGTCTTACCATTGACTTTGCTGGATCTTTTGTCGTCGAAATTTCTTCTTTCCGACCTTTGATTTTGTTGTTGAAACTTGCTTAATCTTTCATCTTGCAAAGGTTTAACAGTGAAATCATCAGGTCTACCACTTTTTGCTTTCTTCTTTTTTTGGGGGGTGGAATCATCTTCACGTCTTCTTTTACCCCCTGATTGAACAGATGGCGGAGGTGGTCCACTCGTTCCCACAACACCACCAAATTGACGAGCGTTTTTCAACGGAGCCATATTGGTACCAGTGATTTTCGTTGTTGAACCATCATGATCTTTGATAAAAGCTTCTGAAGTATCAGCGGATTTACCTTTACCACCTCTTCCTCCTCTACCTCCTGATTGAGATCCTCCCCTACCGCCGCCTCTACCTCCTCTTGGTGCTCCTCTGCTACTTCCTCTTGATGAGCTGTCTCCTCTACCACCTCTGCCTCCCCTTGACGAGCTTTCACCACCTCTACCACCTCGACCTCCCGAAAAACCTCCTCTACTATCACGGCTTGATGGTGGTCCTCCTGCAGATGGTCTACCGCCTGAAAAACTATCACTTCTTCCTCCTCTTCCTCCTCTTGGTGCACCTCCACCTCTTGGGCCACCTCTTGAAGAGCTTCTAGGATCTGACGAACCTCTGCTGCCACCACCCCTTGGGCCACCTCTAGAAGGCCTACCACCTGGGGGTCCATTGAATGAGCCACGTCTCCCAGACATTCAGGGTCAATTGATTTGATGTGAACTCGATTCTCTTGTAGTTGAACAAGGTGATAATTTTTTTCAAGAATGTGTGATATTCTATGAAAACAAACTGCTTGATCAATTGTCCAGTATGCACAGTATATTAATCTTTTGTTAAAAAATCTACCGCTGTGTCTAACAGGCTATCAATTCCTTGAATGAAACTCTGTTAATTGATTCAGAACAAGAAATGATTCTTCACTGGTGTTTAAATCAATGGATTCCCTGATAGGGTCAAACTGCGGGTAAAAAACGCCAAAACGAAAATGATCGCGAATTCATTTCACATCCAAACACCTAGATGGGATTACTGGTGAACACGTCGAAGAAAAGAACAATCGTTGAATGATAAAGATACAGAACCTCAACACTTCAACAAGTACAACAAATAAATAAATCAAGATGGCTGGTGACGGTTTAGAAAAATTCACTGAAGTTCCTGTTGAGTTCTTCAAAGATGGTTCAGCTTTTGTCCAAAAATGTACCAAGCCAGATAAAAAAGGTGAGTAAAGTGATAAATCATTGCAGTACCAACTAGATGGCCCTCAGAAAGGCGAGCAGCAACTCATCTTGTTAGATGTTACTGTCTGGGCAGTAAATCAGCATTGTCCTTAGCATGTTTGCCCCCTTCGTTGGTTCCACAGTTGTGTGTATCAATTTGGAAACATTACTAACAAGCATCCAGAATATATTAAAATCATCAGAGCTGTTGGTGTTGGTTTCATTATGATGGGTATCGTTGGTTACGCTATTAAACTTGTATGTGTTAACAAAGCTTCAAACTACGCTGAAGATTTTATACTAACTGCTTCTTTTAGATCCACATCCCAATCCGTTACTTGATTGTTTAATTGAAAGTCAATCAGCTTTACGATGATCGTTCTGTATTTTTTGATCAATCTTCAATCACAGTTAAACAGGTTTAATTCACTCAAATAGGTTTCAATGTACAATAATAATTGGTATAACTGTGTAATTGATTTGAAAGTTAAAATTTGGGTGTTGGGGACTGTTGACCCCTGGTTTCTCAACATTGAAAGCACAATTCCTTGAAGATACACAATCAGTGCATTTTCTAGATTGATTGGAGTATTTACCTCTCTACTCGAAGTCTTCAAATTCAAATATTGACGTTGTATCTGGCGATTGTAATTTCTTTACCACGATTTGGTCGTGTAATTATCAAATCTTTAAATTTTGTTGCAAAAAGGCAAAATTTGAAAGTAAAGATGACACTTTTACTGATTAACTTGAGAATCTACTTGTCTACCATAATTCAACCTAGCTTAAGATGAGCTTTTCATCGCTAATATCCCAAATTAAGCATAAAACAAAAGACTCTGAGGCTAAACCTTCATATTCCTATGACCCTAATGCTCAGAAACCAAAAGCACAAACCCCATCCTCAACTGGTCGCAGACTATTATCCAAATCCTCTTATGAACCACAATATACCAAAACAGTTGATCCAGCTGTGCAAAGATTGAAGGAGCTTCGAAGAATTGAAAATGCGAAGAAGGAAGCCCAAAATCCTAAACCAAAGACTCAACGACAAAGAACAAGTTCCTCAACAACAAGGGCAGCTCCTGTTAGACGAAGAAAAACTCCAGAAGTTTCAATCAAGGAGACAGTCTTACAAGAAAGACCAAGATCATCTTCTCCACAGAAAAGACTAACATTTGCAGAATTAATGAATCAAGCTCAAGAGAAGTCGAAAACTCTGAAAGATGGTAAAAAAGATGAATCTATACAACCAGCAACTCAACCAACCAAATATGTGTCAAAGACCCAACCAAAAACTATTCAACCTCGTTCTCAAAGATCATCATCAGCCCCATCATCACAAAACACAAGTGTACGGAAACCTACCTCAAGCCTTTCAAATTCAAGACCAAGCTCGAGACCACCTCAAGAACGCATCCCTTCAAGACCAAAAGAATTGGCCAAACCATCTGCAAAATTACAAGCTAAGCTAGATGCTAGAAAGAAAAATCAAAGAGCTGGCCAGCCAAGGTCCAGATCTAGATTTGAAGATGATGAATATGAGTCTGATTTTATTGAGGATGATGATGAAGAGGATCAATATGAAGAAGAAGCTGGCTATGATAGAGATGAGATTTGGAAAATGTTCAATAGGGGAAAAACTAGAGCCGACTATTACGATGATGACGACGATTTGTCTGATATGGAGGCTACTGGGTCTGAAGTCATGAATGAAGAAATGAGATCAGCAAAGAGAGCAAGATTAGAAGAAAAGGCAGAAGCAGAAAGGGAGAGAAGAAGATTAGAAGAAAAGAGAAGAAGATTAGGAAAGAAATAAGCATTTAATAGAGAGGTACTTTCCAGTATAGAAACCGTCATTGCATTTATTAATATAACTTCATTATTCTGTAAAATATTACATTTGTTCATTCTGTATCGTAGTCAAAATCATAATCTTCGTCTTGATTGGAGCCACCATTGGTTGATTGTGACAGTTTTTGGGATTCTTCCTGTTTCAACTGTTCGTTGAATTGTTTCTCAAGCTCTTCATCATACTCATCGGTTATTGCCTTTTGGACTGGGATCTCTTTAATATTTTCAATCGCACTTTCATATTCAGATTCATTTGAACCTATATCTTTTGCTGGTGGAGTAATTTCTTCCCCTTCAAAAAATTCTTTCTCTGGTGAGCTTGGATCAGCTTTCTCATTCAGTGGATGTTCTTGAGCTTCTGGGTCCAAATTCTCTGTGAGCTCATTAGCTTCTGAATAAGAGCTCTCTTTTTCATCCACAATCTCATCATTATCATCACTATCCTCACTTTCATCGTTCTGTAGCTGATCAAAGAATGCCTCATATTCATCAATGCCATCTGAATCATTTTCAAGGCCATCATTATCTTTATGGGGTACCTTATCCATGCTATCATTTAGTCTCCTCTTGTTAGCCGTATCCCGGCCAGAAGTATGGTAAAGTTCACCATCACTATCATCATGGCCATACTTTTCTTGATCATCCTCAACCAAGAAGCCACCACCATAATCTTTATGGATAGTTTTGTGGCCTCTAAACCCACCATTGCTAGCTGAAACATCACCTTCTTCTCCAAGAAACCCATTTTCTTCTTCTTCTTCGTTGATAAATCCACCACTTGCCTCTTCTTCATCTTCTTGAATGAATCCACCAGCCCCATAATCAGGTTCGGGACCACCACGTTCAATAATAAATCCTCCAGGTCCATACTCGGGCACCTCGACAACCTCATCCTGAGACATGTCATCATCACTTTCATCATTCTCCAAATACTCTTCGTACTCTCTTTCTAATTCAGCATATTCATCTTCACTTCCATCAGTATCTTCATCAACTTTACCATGTTGTGCATTAAGTCTCTGTTTGATTCTAAGTTTAGCCAATAACAAGCTCCATCCTTTAAGTGCCCGTATTTCTAACTCAGATCTTTGCTTTTCGATAGATTCCTCCTTCAATTGCTCCTGTACCGATTCAACAGCTTCCTTAAACTCTTCCGCAACAACAACCCCTTCAATCTTAGGAGTAGCACCACGTCTTTCAAATTTAAAGCCAACAACAGCAGGTGCATAATCAATTCCGATTAGTTTGGCAGCATCTGATGCAAAAGGTGTACTGATCAATACCGCTCCTTCAGGAACCATAGATGGTACATAAACATCAATGTTACCGTATGAATTTTTTGTTATTAATCCATCTTTCACAGGAGGTGGAACATAGACAGATGTTTGGAAAATAGCATAAAGCCTCTCATCTGGATCATCATCATCATCTTTCATTTGAGCAGGTGTCTTCTTTCTCACTAACATTGGTCTTTCCCCAGTTTTCAATATACGACCACGCTGAAACCATCCTCTTGGAGATCTCAAAGTCTGAACATTTTCTCTTCTATAAACTTTGATTGAATCATTCTTACCTTTAGTTCTAATCATACCACAATGCTCTTTTGGGTGAAGAATTTCATTGGCTCTCAAATGAGATTCTAAAACATAAAAAGGATGATTTTTAAAATCTTGGATGTTATCAGGCATTCCCTCTAGTGTTGCTTTCTTCTTGAAATATTCATCCTCATAATCATCAGATATGTTTCTTTCTCTTGCTGATAAGCTTTCCATGAAATCAGAATACCAGATTTCATCAGCTTCATCTTTTGTTATTCTTTTCTTTCTGGTTCTAGCATAATATTTTTCAGCATACCGTTTTGTAATATCCCTTACACCACCTTTTCGATCATACCCTAAAACATAAATCAAATTATTATATGGGTAATTGGCCGGTGGCTCTAGTTTGCTTTTGAGTTTAACATTCTCGATAATTTTGAATTGTATTGGATCAATGGTTATCCAGGTTTTAGAAGACGAGTCCCATGCTTCAGCCCAGAACACTGGATAATTCAATTCAACCTCGCCCAAAACTTTCTGATCAACAGACGTACTAACTTTCCCTTTTCTCAGCTCTAAAAGTTTATCTTGTGCAGATTTTGTATCAGTCTGACCCTTTGTATCCAATTCTTCAGGTTTCTTCTTGATTGCCATTGAAGTAAAGTCTGGTGGTTGGAGTGAAAACACCAACCGAGAAGGAACACCAGCTGCTCTCAACAGCGCAACAAAACCTTGAGCACCTATATCTCTATTTCCCCTACCTTTGATAATACATTTGCTGAATCTTGAAAACGGAACGCTTGTTTTTTCATACCCATACCAATCGTACCAATCATGTTTGAAAATTCCCTTATTTGAGGTGACCTTGTAATATTTGGTCCATCTGTCTAATAAATGGCGTAAGCCATCTAGAAATCTTCTTGTCCTTATATGTGGAGTTTTAACATCATTCTTTGAAGGATGTAGCTCATCATAAATAGAAGGTGATATAAGTTTCATAATTGAGTTGTGGATTGATTTGTCATTACACCAACGATTCCTTATAAACCCATGTATAGACATGATTGCAATGTAGTTTCTATGAAACTGTTTTCTAAATAACTTTTCTTCTCTATCAATAACATTCTTAGCCTTGGTCTTCCTCTTCTTTTTGGGATCTGGCTTATCCATTTGAAGTGAAATGTCACCCGCTAGATTGGAGCTTGGTCTTGGTGTAACAGAATCCATATCAACATCTTCAAATTCCACATCATCAAACTCGTCATCATCTTCTTCATCTTCGCCATCATCATCATCATCAACTGTAATCTCAGCATTGATATCAGAAGTTGAATTACACCCTGAGACATCTTTAGACGTAGTTGCCTTTATGTTTGGTTTGTCGTCATTATCTGAAAGATCAATAACCGGGATGGCGTTAAGCTCTTCCTTTCGACTTGGGACATCATCACTCGAATCATCAACAACAATAGCTTGATCATTTGAAAAGCCTTGTGTTTCAGTATCTTGTGATCCAGTATCTTCAGTCAAATCATCCTTTTTATCTCCTCTGTTTCTCTTTCTTCTCTTTAGAGGTCGCTGCTCCGATGGCGTAGAATCTGACTTCTTTATGGCATTTCTCATAAGACCAAGATATTCTCTTGGAACACCTGACATCCCACCACTATCAAACTTTCTGATCTAATAACGGAGGCCAGTCCACCTTTTTTGATTGATCTCTCAGAGTGCTTTGATTATATCTTGGAAAAGCTTAAAGTTGCTTAACCTTTTGACACATCCAAAATTCATTTTCTCATATCTTCGCGATTCGCGAATCTTTCATGGTTATGTACGCTGGCCTATTGTCGAGGATTTCCGCCCTATGAAAAACAACCCCAGAAAGATGTTGAGAACCTTGTGACTTTGAATCAATTCAACCAACTTCATTACACTCCAAACTACCTGGTGCTCTTCTAATTATCATTCAATCAAGAAATTTGACATTGGGAGTCTCAAAAATGTGGACTTTATGTCGACATCAAAGAGCTCCTTTGATCTCTATATCCCGACGGAGCTTCACATTGCACCACTTGAACAAGTCAGATCAAAGAAAAGTTATGTTGGAACAAGTCCCCTACTGTGACTATAGCATTTTGAAAAGGAAAAAGAACTTATTCAGTGAGGAGCTTCATCCATATTTGCGCAAAGTGACGACGGTTGGCGATTACATTCGAAATGTTAATGATTTCCACCATTCAAAGAAAGTAAGGACATTCACAAGATCTAAAAAGAACAAGTTTGAAGCTATTTTCTCCATTCTACTACATACATTACACTATGCATGTGCCAACACGTCTGCTGTGCCCAAGAGTTTTTTGAAGCTTTCACACAACTTGCCACAGGAGGTTGAATATATCCTGAAATCCACTAAATCTTCACAGTTCTTGAAACAGGCTCATGAATTGGATCCAAGTTTTCAAAAAGAAGTTGCTCAGTTAGTCAATTTGTATTCCTATGGTGATACTAAACTCTCATTTGATACCAGAAAGATTGATCAAAAATTATTGAAAAATATTGAAATATCATACGCTGCATTATTATTACAACTAGACAATAGACATGAAATTCAACATCTACTTCAATGGATTTCATCAATAATGGCACCAACTGTTACAAAATGCTGTCAATCCCTTACGGGTCTCTCCACATTTCCAAATGTTGTCATCAAGGATGTACTTCTTCGAGAACCAACTTCTGAGTATGAGTTTGATTTGATGTTTGATCTTTTCCAGCATTATGCTGAAGTTAATACTGTTTTCTCAGAAGTTTTGATCAAAAATATGATTCACTTTGCAAATAGGTATAAGTTTACAAAACTTGAAGAGCTTGTACAAATCATATTAACTAAAGGTGGCCAGTCTGATGATGCAATGTTAAACAGATTGGTTTGCTCATTGGCAGATCTCGGAGAGATGAAGAGCTCCAGAAATCATTATTTGAGTGTATTAAATGCACAAAGATTGATAATTGATAAAATCCTTGAAAGAAAGGGAGAAATTGCGCCATTGGGATATCTGGGTATTGCTCGTGGGTTGATCCCTCTATCTCCTCAAAGAGCTGGTAAATTCTTATTATTTGTGCTGGACCAAAAATTAACAACTGAGGAAAGCCAATTAGCTAGCATCATAAAATTGAAGCTAAGTCAGTCTCCAGATACATTGATTCGCACATTTGACTCAACAATGGGAGATGTTACACTAGAAAAATCTCCAGATCTTTGGAAAGAATTATTTATCAATCTTGAACATTTTAATTTACTCAATGAACAAAACTCGTTGGGTTTTCTGAAAAAAGTTGAAACTCCTCAGTTCTCAGATGCCAAGAATGAATTACTTTCCCATCTTGATTTGAACGATATATTAGAGAAGACCATAACCATGAATAACAGAAGTTTGGGTATTATTCTTGATAAATTATACAGGTCCAAAAAACATTTTCACGTTTTCGGTGAAGGATACAACTACGCAAGGCATATATTTCACAATATCTCATCTCCTTCAAGGTCAACAGTTGGTGTTGTGTTACTTGGTGAATCATTTGAAAATCCTTCTCATGCATATGATCTTTATCTAACCCTATTGGAGAAACATTGTGATAATATTCCAAATGAAAAATGTCTATTATCCTTATTGATACCACCATATTTGGATCCAACATTGAAATGGGGCAATCGTTATGCTTCTCAAATCGCAGTTCATGAGTTCAGGAAACATTGCAAAAGATCACTAGATGACGTTGAAGGTACAGTCATACCATCCAATTCATTGTGGAAGCCATATGTGAAGCTACTGGGTAGATGTAATTATCAAGATGAGTTGAGTGAAGTGATGAAGCTTTGGGAAGACTTGAATGTTATCCCTGAAAGAGAAACTTTAGCTATGTTATTAGCTTCACTCCCGATGGGTGTTGGTGAATCCAAGAGAAGCCATGCAATTAAATATCTTGTCCCTAATGAAGATTCAGGACAAATCCAAGACCTTTCTGAGACTCCAAATTGGGATTGGCCGGATGATCATGAGCTATACTTTCAACGAGAGAAGATTGTCCAAAGATTTTGACGTTTATTTATTATTTACTGCTTATTGTTATTTATTTTTGTTTGCAAAACAGATAATGTTTTGTTTGTTATTTATTCATTTTACAATTCAATCTATCGGCATATTTATTTATTTATTTACTATTATATTATGGAAGTCATTAGAGATATGTGTATAGAGTATCTATCATTATTTATCATGCATAATTATTATTGAGGACTTGGTCACTGAAGGTTTTGTATTTATCATCAATGCTCCTTGGTGGTTATTTCATGTTCCTTGTGCTCTTCTGTGCTTTCAACAGTTCTTGTTTCTTCATTATCAACAGCACTATGGGTATCTGCTCTGTGATCCAGAATCTCTGAGCTCACTTCGTGTGATCTCTTTTTCTCTAAAGATTCTTTATCACCTAACCCCAATTCGACATCATCATTTGACTCCAGATCGTCACTCTTTCTAAACCATTTGAATCTCAGGCACCATATGAAATGACTTGTGAAAATACCAACCTCTAAAGCCATACAAACACAGTAGAGAATGATACCCATGATATCCATTGAACCAACAACAACAGACAACATTGAAAAAAAAGCACCTGCACAATCAATACCAATAAACCAAAAATTGATACCCACAACTCTCCCTTTTCTTTTAGCTAATTCGAAATAAGGTGGTAGTAGACCAACTGCCAAAAGCACAGATGCTATTACACCAAAGATCAAAGTAGGCCAAGTGATACCACGATCATGTAAGGGTCTCAACCATAGGATAAATCCAACTTGACATCCAATAGCAAACAGTATGAATGAAGCAACCATCAGTGTTATCTTTTTTTTACTCAACTGAACTGGTGGATAATATAATGTTTGAATCCAGGCTATTGTGCAAAAGCAGAAAAACACTTCAGGTTGAACTTGAAGACTGACATTAGATCTTGTACTCATAAAATAAATTGAAAATGGGATACCACATGCAGCCCAAAGAAACATCATTAATGGTGGAAACCCTTCACAATTCTTCCTTCTGTAATTATAGTAGACTTGTGGTATTAGTTGAATACACCAGCACACTGTACCCAAAGTCCCTAGGACTGTAGCAGCTTTCTCGTTTCCCATTATAATTATCTAAACCTTCGCAGGAGCAACTTGTTATATATTATTGAAACAATCTTTACAAACTTATTATTGGAAAACTTGAGCCCTTTATATACTTGAATGAAAACCTTCACCAACAGCAAAGACTTTCCTGAAGTAACACACTGTGGGTTCAACCGTTTAATTCACCAGTTCTGTGAAAAGTAGACCTCATGAGTCAAAAAAGTGATTGAAAAAGGGTTTTCTATTATCAGCCATTTACGTTACACGCACTCCCGATCCAGCGCATTTAGCTTCCGTATCGGGAAAGTGGGAACTTAATTTAACCGTTGTGAATAATAGAGAAAAGCTTGAAAGTCTTGACAGATCCTCGAGAAGTTGAAATGTGAATAAATTGGATGAGCAATTATTAAAAAAGGCTGTTTACCCACGAGGATTGTCACACAACTTTATGCATCTTTAAAATGCGCTGGAACTTTCCAAATGTGACTTAAATGAGCTCTCCTTGCTGGAACTGGAGAATGAATAGTTCGAAGTTAACTGTGGGTTTTTTGAAGCTACATTGAGCAGTTTAGATATTAGAGAGCCTATCCAATATCAAATTAATCTTTTTTATTCTTGTGTCAATGAAGAAAATCGGTTCAAAGCTTAAAACTTCACCAAAGCAATGCGATTATGATTGACCTTCAAAACGTTTTCTATATGCAGTTTATATTTTGTGTCTATTCTTCAACCATGCAACAAATTCCTTTGTTTGATTTCTAGAACTTTGTTCACCAATCTTTCCAGGTAAAGATCCTTTCCTGTTTTATCCAAATCTTTCAAAGAATGATACAATTTTTCCAGGTATTCCCAATTCTCACCGCTTGGACCACTAGTTTCACTGATTATAGCAGCTGTCTTTTCAATGTCTTCAGGTCCAATAAAACTTTCATTCTCCACAGTGCCTATGTAGACAACACTCGTCAAAATATGTTTTCCAGATGATGGATCTAAGGGCAAATCTTCTATAGCTTTATTAAGCTCTTCTTCTTTGTGAATCTTTGGATCATTATGCAATTGGAATGGTATATTATGAATAGTATAGCCATCTTGTTCCCTAACATTCAGATACTCAGTGACTTCATCAGCAAATTCAGGTGGAATGTAATAAGCACAAGCCCAAACTTTCAAATCATCCTTCGTAAAACCAGGAGTCAACCCATCATGCTCTTCAACATCTTTGATAAACTCATCTTTCGAAATAATATCTGAGTACGGTACCAGCGTCACAACGCGTCCTTTCTTCTCTGGTGTGCCTCTGTGATCTGATGATGACTGCCAAAATCTTCGAACATAACCATGGATGATACCTGGGATGACAAATCTAGCATGAGGCGGAGGTTTAAAGATCAAGGAGCCATACCCAAGAACCCATAACGGCTTCTTCTCTATAGTCATCTTCTTTTTTTCTAGTGCAAAGCTGGATGAACGTACAAAATGACTTGAATAGATCTTGAATTTATATTTCAAAGATCTTTAACGTCATCTTCGGTAGAAATTTCAAATTTGAAAAGTGTACGACTTTCGCGAACATGAAAATTGTGTCACTTTGGTCAAAAAGAAATGATTCTACAGAATCGTTTTAGATTTCAATGATATTTTACTTTTTCTAAACCAGTGATATTACCTATGTATAATAACCCTATTAACTAAAATCACATGTAACGTCTCATAATCAACAAGACTTGAGAGACCCTGCTATTGTACGCCAACAGCTATTTTTCAAAAAAAAAATACAACTAGTGTACAAAATTAACCAACTTATTGTAAATCAATAAAAACAAAATGCCCCATAATAAATAACTCAACATGAAAACCAATGCAACGGGGCGTTCCATGATGTTGATTCTTAGAAACTGATCAAAGCAACTTAGCCTGGGTTCTCCTTTAGAGTACTCAACTCGACCAACACCTTTATCATCATCATTATTACCAAAACAGTTTGAAACGCCCTCTATAATTCAGTATTATCCAAGAAGAAATAGTTTCCTGATGATTTTTGTTCTTTATCCATTTGAGAATCCAATTTATTAATTCTTGGTCTGAAAGAATTTGGATCTCTTCTAAATGTAACATTCAAATTCTTCAAGAATCTATTACAACCTGTTAATAATGATTCTGGTTCTCTAGCATAAGCATTCTTGGATGGTTCACCTTCAAAGACGATAACTCTGTCAGCCAAATAAGTAGCCATGATGAAATCGTGCTCAACGATGAAAGCAGTCTTTTTAGCATGTAAAATAAATCTTCTGATAACTTTTGAACAAATAATACGTTGTTCAGAATCCAAATAAGCAGAAGGTTCATCAATCAAATAGATATCGGCTTGAGTACCAAGAGCTAAAGTAATAGCAACTCTTTGCAATTCACCACCTGATAAATGTTGAACTTCTTGATCAATAATATCATCAATTTTTAATGGTTTACAAACATCAGTTTGAAATTGTGGATGTAAGAATGAGGCTCTAATTCTCTTGAAAAATAATTGACGAACAGTACCTGGGAATTTTGGTGCAATTTTTTGGGGTTTCATGGAAATGTTTAATTTTGGAACTTCTAAATCATTATCAGCTGGAATGGCACCTGCTAACAATTTACAGAATGTGGTTTTACCAGTACCATTTTCACCCATCATAACTAAGATTTCAGAGTCACTGAAATCACCCTTTTCAATATGTAATTTGAAATCACCTTGAGTTCTATCCATTGATGGGTAAGAATAGTATCTTGAAGCATCTAATTGAATGGCATCTTGAGCATCAGCCAATCTAAATTGTAATGATTCAGTTCTAAATCTTAAATTTTCAGTGGCAATGTGACCTTCTAAGAACATATTAATACCTTCTCTAACAGAAGATGGTAAAGTAACAACACCATAAACTGATGGAACACCATATAAAATACAAACGAAATCTGAAAGATAATCCAAAACTGACAAATCATGTTCCACAACAATGACATAGGATTGAGCATGTAATAATGAACGAATGATTAAAGCAGCATTCAAACGTTGTTTAACATCCAAATAAGATGAAGGTTCATCAAACATATAAACATTAGCATCTTGAACACAAGTCATACCAATAGCAAATCTTTGTAATTCACCACCAGATAATGCATTAATATCTCTCTTCAAGATACCTCTTAATTCCAAAACATCACAAATTTCATTGATTGAATCTTTTCTTTCTAATCTAGCTTTTAATAATTGACCGACTTTAGTGTCTGGACCTTTAATAGCTCTTGGGATATTATCAACATATTGAGGTTTGATGATAGCTTTGATATCATCTTCCAAAACTTTAGTTAAATAATTTTGTAATTCTGAACCTCTGAAATGTTTTAAAATATCTTGCCAATCTGGTGGATCATCAAATCTACCTAAATTTGGTTTTTGTTTACCAGCTAAAATCTTCAAAGCAGTTGATTTACCGATACCATTAGTACCAACTAAACCTAAAACTTGACCAGGTCTTGGAGTTGGTAATCTATGTAATTTGAAAGAATTTGCAGAATAACGATGTGTAACTTCTTTTTCCAAATTTGTTGGTAAATTAATAATATTAATAGCACCAAATGGACATTTTTTAACACAAATACCACAACCAATACATAAAGTTTCTGAAATGAATGCAATTTTACTTGTTGGAGTAACTTCAATACATAATTTACCAGTTTTAACAACAGGACATGATTTTCTACATTCTTGACGACATTTTTTTGGTTTACACTTGTCATCAGAGACAATTGCAATACGGGTCAACTTGGAACTCATCTTGGCAGTGGGATACTTTGAAATGTGATTCTGCACCCAATATTAATTCCTTCAATGGTTGAACTTGTCCTGAGTTGAAGTTGTTGTTGTTGTTCTTCTCACGCAAAATTTTTTTTTCTGATTTTTTCACATACAAATTTTTTTATGTTTTTTTCAACAGCTAAAAAAAATCGCTGGCTGTTGCGCGAAACAGGAGATCATGTGACTGAAATGTGGTGTGTACCGACTTTTTGACAAATTCGAGACGTTTGATTGGCTGAGAAGACGGTGGTTTTAAGCTGTATGAAGGCAGATATAAGGAAGTAGGTGGATAAGATATGAGCTACTGGATATTCTGGAGCATATCATTTATTAAAATAATCAATATATGGGGTGCTATAACTGAAAATTTAAAAGGCTTTGTTACCCTAACAACGAAGCCATGTAGTTATTGGCACTATGAAGAGTGACAGGCGATGTTTTGAAAAGATCAAACCTCAAATCATAGATACTACTCCACGAAATGAACTTTTCACACTTCCATCCTGTAACTCTTGACTTGAGAACAACTTTTAAAGACCATTGGGTCTTTTGTACGATCTCTAGTGTTCTCTGTAGTTCAGACCGACATTTGTAGAATCTCCTGGAACCACATTATTGGAGTCTAATTTATTCAAAAGGAACGCAATTTACAAGCATCAAGCACTTGCATGAACTAATAAATTGGTTTAACTAACACACCAGCCATATATACCCCATTTATATCCCAATTCACTAACCCAATCCAAACCAAACGGGTAACAAATTACTGATCTCTCGATCTTCGCGAATGCGTTCTGCAATCAAACAACCACCAATTCGCGAAATCATCGCTACACAGAAAAAAAATTTTGGTTGGCGCCAGAGAAAAAAAATTTTTGAAAGTGAACGAAAAATTTTGCAAATTTAAAGAACAACTTGTGCTTTGAATTGTACTGAACAACCCATCCAACAGGTAAACACCAGTTTTAATATCAAAGAAAGATTGCCGCAAGAAGTCATCAATCAGGTTATTACACATCATCTTAACCTTGAACTTTTTCACTCCCCAATCTTCTAAAAGAATATAAAAACTACAAATTTTTAAAAAAATCCAAAAAAAAATAGAAAATCTTATAAAAAACCCATATTTTTAATATCAAGATGTCTACTACCGTCGATGCTGTTGATAAAACTGTCAACGAATTAGAAAACTTGAACATCAACAAGGAAGAATCACCAGTTGCTGCTGAATCATCAGCCACTCCAACTAGTGCTGAAGAATCCACTGAAGATCCATCATCAGGTTCTTCCCAAACTGTTGCTGAAACTACCGCCTCATTATATGTTGGTGAATTAGAACCATCTATCAACGAAGCTTTGTTATTCGAAGTCTTTTCACCAATTGGTCAAGTTTCTTCAATCCGTGTCTGTCGTGATGCTGTCACCAAAAGATCTTTAGGTTATGCTTATGTTAACTTCCATAACGTTAAAGATGGTGAAAAAGCCATTGATCAATTAAACTACACCCCAGTTAAAGGTCAACCAATCCGTATCATGTGGTCTCAACGTGATCCATCAAAACGTAAAAATGGTGAAGGTAACATTTTCATCAAAAATTTACACCCAGCTATTGATAACAAAGCTTTACATGATACTTTTTCAGCTTTCGGTAGAATTTTATCCTGTAAAGTTGCCACTGATAACTTTGGTAACTCTAAAGGTTTTGGTTTCGTTCATTTTGAATCCCAAGAATCTGCCAATGAAGCTATTGAAAGTGTTAACGGTATGTTATTAAACAATAACGAAGTTTTCGTTGGTCCTCATGTTCCAAGAAGAGATCGTCAATCTAAATATGAAGAAGCTATCAAGAGTTTCACCAATGTTTACGTTAAAAACATTGATTTAGAAGCTACTGATGATGAAATCAAAGATTTATTCACTCCATTTGGTGCTATCACTTCTATCTCTGTTGAAAAAGATCAAGAAGGTAAATCAAGAGGTTTCGGTTTCGTTAACTTTGAAGAACATGAAGCTGCTGTTAAAGCTATTGAAGCTTTAAACGATCAAGATTTCAAATCTAAAAAATTATACGTTGGTCGTGCTCAAAAAAAGAGTGAACGTTTAGAAGAATTGAAAAAACAATATGAAGCTGCTAGAATTGAAAAATTATCAAAATCTCAAGGTGTTAACTTATTCGTTAAAAACTTGGATGATTCAATTGATGATGAAAAATTACGTGAAGAATTCCAATCATTTGGTACTATTGCTTCAGTTAAAGTTATGACTGATGATACCGGTAAATCTAAAGGTTTCGGTTTCGTTTCATTCTCCTCTCCAGAAGAAGCTTCAAGAGCTATTAGTGAAATGAACCAACATATGTTGGCTGGTAAACCATTATATGTTGCTTTAGCTCAACGTAAAGATGTTAGACGTTCTCAATTAGAACAACAAATCCAAGCCAGAAACCAATTAAGAATGCAACAAGCTGCTGCTGCCGGTGGTTTACCAGGTCAATTCATTCCAACTCCATTCATGTATGGTCAACAACCAGGTTTCTTACCACCAGGTGCTAGAGGTCCAATTGGTGGTCCAACCCCACAATTTATGATGCAACCAAGACCAGGTCAAGGTATCCCACCACAACAAGCTGGTCAATGGGCTGGTGCTCGTCAATTACCAAATGGTCAACCAATGTATGGTGTTCCACAAAACTTTGAACAATTCCCACAAGGTAGAGGTCCAAACCGTGGTGGTTTCAGAGGTAACCAAAGACCAAGAAACCAAGGTCCAGAAGGTCAAGGTTCAAACGTTGGTCAATTAGCTCAAATCTTGCCAACTCTTCCAGAACCACAACAAAAGAGAGTTTTAGGTGAAGAATTATACGCTAGAATTGTCGCTACTGGTAAAGCTCAAGATCCAGAATCTGCTGGTAAAATCACTGGTATGATGTTGGATTTACCAAACCAAGAAATTTTATCTTTGTTAGAAAATGATGAATTATTCAAACAACATTTCGATGATGCTTCCCAAGCTTATGAAGAATTCAAACAAGCTGTTGGTGAACAACAAGCTGAAGATGGTGAAGAAGAAGCTGCTGCTGCTCCAGCTGCTGAATCCACTGAAGCTTAAATTATCTGAAAAGTTTTTGAAACTTAAAAAAGAAAATTTTCATAACCATATTTTTTTTTGTGAATAATATCAAACAAAAACTTATAAAGAAAATAACAGTGTTTTTAATATTTTGGGAAATCGGTATATTAGAATTAAGAAAAAAAAATGAGAAAAAAAAAATTTGGGTCATGTTAAGTGTTGTGTTTTTCAAAGTTACTTTGTTGTTTAGAGGATTTGAGGATTTCATATCTTCTTCGTTTTACTTTTTTTATCTTTTGTTTTTATAGGTCTTTTGATCAATGATACTTCTATTGAGATTAAGATCTATTTTTTATGTGTGTGCTTTTTAATTTGAGGAAATTAATAAACTAAAACTGTAGAGCAGTAACATATTGATCAGCTATTAGGGACGCTTAGATGTACATCATTTGGTGTAATCCAATAAATTAATTAAACTATGTGCAAATAAATATCATAACATAAATACTGGAAATGTAAACAAATCTCATTTCTCAATTGAGTTCCCTAAGTAGTTTCATTCATTAATTAACGTTCATGATGTTGGTTCTTGAACGATTTGTTCTCTTTCTTGGATATCCTTCATCAATTTATCCCTTTCCTCCTTCTCTTTCAGCACCTGTTCCTGTTTAGCAGCGACTTCTGGTTTCAATTTTAACGGTTGCATCTCAGCAAATCTGATATTGAACTTTTTAGCCTTCACTGAACCATCAGGATTTGTTTCTGGGGGTGTGAATTTGACAATCTCATAGTTGGACCCTAGGATGTAAGCACTCAACGCAAGCCCTAGAATACCACCAGTCATCCCAGCTCTTTGTCTCCCACTCATGGGCTTTGGTCCCTTCAAGTTCATTGTTGATATATATCTTTGGGCATAATAGTGGTTCAAGGTATCGATGAAGCTCGTCGTTTTTAGTTAAATTATCAGTATTTCGCGGTTGATTATGTCATACAAATAATGGAATCTTCAGATTCATCAATTAAACACAGCAAAGGCAAGATATAAGTCCATCTAATAATTTCTGAATTCCTTTGCTCTTCCATTCCTCACTGATTTCTCTTTATGGTATTAGAATTCAGTTCCATTAATTCAATTAAAACTTTTGAACTTGAAGCGACCAGTGATCGGTCCGCTTCGGAAATGTTCCAACTTGGCAGTCGGACCGATGACTTCTCGTTGGGGTTGTTGAAGCGATCTTGATTGTAGTCAACAAAAGGTATAAAAAGATTCATTTATCCTCTCTTTAGCTCAGCTACTGCAAAACTGACTTTATATCTAACCAATTGCATCAATTCGAACTCCAATATGCCTAATCCAAAGTTCAATTCCAGAAGATCAACCGTCTACTCCACAAAGGGAGTGGTATCCTCCTCTCAACCTTTAGCCAATGCAGCAGGTATCAAGATACTAGAAAAGGGCGGTAATTCAATTGATGCTGCTGTCGCTGTTGCCGCAGCTTTAACAGTCACTGAAACACCATCTACTGACTTGGGTGGTGATGCTTATGCTATCTTCTACAAGGCTGAAGATCAAAAAGTCTATGGTTTGAATGGTACTGGTAGATCAGCTTCAAAATTATCTGTTGATTACATCAAGGAGAATAAACCAGAAGATATTATCAACAATAGATTGAGCTCTGAATCTATTTTCACTGTTAACGTCCCAGGTGTTGTTGCAGGATGGTATGATGCGGTTGAAAAATGGGGGTCTGGTAAAGTTACATTTGCAGAAATTTTACAACCATCAATTGATTTATGTGAAAATGGGTATCCAATTTCTGAAATCAGTGCACATCTAGTCAATAATAGTGAAAAAAGATTGAAAAAAGTTAATGGTGAGAAATCTGAAGAATTTCAAAGTAAGCAATTAGGCTTATTTTTACCAAATGAAGGTTTAACTGGCCCAAACCAAGGACAATTGATTAAGAATCAATACAAGGCTGAAACATTCAAGCTGTTGGCTAAGCATGGTAAAGATGGGTTTTACAAAGGTGAAGTCGCTGAGTCTATTGTCAAGGAAGTTCAGTCTCGTGGTGGTCTAATCACTTTAGAAGATCTGGCGAATCATACTTCAACATTTGTTGATCCAATATCATATGAGTTTTTAGGTAAGAAACTATGGGAAATTCCACCAAATGGTTCCGGTATTATTGCATTATTATCTTTAGGTATGATCAAAACTCTAGCTGAAAAAGGTGATATCAACTTATCAGAATTGAAACATAATTCTGTGGAGTATCTACATTTAGTCATTGAGACATTGAAATTGAGTTTCAAAGATAGTGAAGAATATGTTAGTGATTCAGATCATTTACTCAAGAAATTCGGGATTGATCAAAATGAAACAATTGAACAATTGCTTTCACCAAAATATTTCGAAGAACGTTCAAAATCTTTCAAAACTGATTCTGTGTTGAACAATGAAGATTTACAAGTTGGTGAAATTCCAAATCGTATTTTCAAATCTGATACAGTTTATTTCACAGTCACTGATAGTGAAGGTAATGCTGCCTCATTTATCAATTCAGTGTTTATGAATTATGGTAGTGGTATTTTGGTTCCTGAAAGAGGTTTCTTTTTACAAAATAGAGGTGCCAACTTCAGTTTGAACTCTAATAGCAAAAATCTTCTTGAAGGTGGTAAAAGAAGTTATCACACAATCATTCCAGGTTTAATTACAACTCCATTGGGTGATGGTAAGGAGGAATTATATGCAAGTTATGGTATTATGGGTGGATATAATCAGCCTCAAGCTCATGTACAAGTTTACCTAAACTTGTTGTTATTTGGATTAGATCCACAAGAAGCTTTAGATGCACCAAGAATTACTCTATTGCCACACCCTGACCTTGGACACACTGATAAAGGACATGGTGCACATGGTCCAGTTAGTAGAGCTGTCACTGAGGTTAATTTAGAAGAAGGTATTGACCCTGAAGTTGTTGAAGGGTTGAGAAAATTGGGTCATCATGTCAAAGTCATTAAAGGCTATGAAAGAAAAGCATTTGGTAGAGGTCAAATTATCAGAAAAGAACCTGGTGAAGGTTTGATCTATTCAGCTGGTTCTGATCAACGTGCAGATGGTGCAGCTGTTCCATTACTATAAGGGGGGAAGAAAAAAGTTTCGTTTTAAACAATAATTAATAAATATACATGTATTTTTTCAAAAAGTTAAACCTTGCATAGTCTCATACCAACGCAGTAATACCTAGTCAACAACCAAAATCCAGCTGCAACGGCTTCGAATACTCCTGCAGTTATGATCAAATTGTTATACCCTGATCCATCGCCAATAATAGCACCGCCAATAGGTAAGGCAATTAAATTACCAAATGAAACTAAAAAGTAAACAGTTCCATACCTTTTACCAAAATCTTCTGTTCTACTAATTTGACCACAACAAACTGGGGTTAGTGATAATGTTGAGCTGGAAAAAAAACCATATAATCCTGCAAATGCATACATGGAACTCAAACTATGGCCAAAAGGTAACCAAACGACCAATATTAAAATAGCACAAACAAATACTGTCACAAGCATAATGTTTATTCTTCCCCAGTAATCACCCATATGGTTTGGCAAATAACGGCCTAAAACTCCAGTTGTATTACATACAATCAGCACCAAAAAAGCATCTGATTCTGAATACCCTTGGTATATTGTATAAGATGACATATAAGTAACAACCAAAATCAATGAAAACTCACATAAAAACACAGAAATAGTTAGGGCTAAGAATCTTGGTTCATGAACCAAGTCTTTTAAAACGAATGAATCTTTCAAAATTTGCTTTGGACTTTTAGCTTCATCGCTAGTTGGTCTTGTCAATCTATGCTTTACCAAGAGACAACCAGCTCCAAGGCATAAAATGCTGCAAAATGCTAAAATTCTCATTGACCAGGCGTATCCTATCTTTGGATATAAGCTCCGCAACATTAACGGCCATATAATTCCTCCAAGACTACCTCCAACTGAGCATATCCCCAACGCAGTAGCTCTTTTTTTGTTAAACCAATGTGCCACTGCACCCAATGAAGCACTCATAAGAAAACTTGAACCGACACCAACAATAACACCATAAGCCAAAACAAACTGATAAACTTTGCTACAATTTGCAGTCAAGAACAATCCAATAATAATCAATACTGACCCAATAAACATGGGTAATCTCGCTCCCTTATAATCAAAAATAGGTCCAGCATAAATCCCACCGCCAAAAGCAAAGAAGAAATAAACTGAAAAGATCCAACCAACACTACTTGCTGACGCATTTGCCAATTGATGTGTTGTTAGGTATGCCTGGATTGCTCCAATTGTGTTCATAAGACCAAACGTTATAATCAATGATAATAGGGCACCAAAAACAACAAGATAAGCTTCAGCACCACCATCAGGGAATGATATATCTTCATCAACTAATTCAATTTGAGGGTCATCATCACCGCCATCGTATATCTCTTGGGTCCTTTGAGTATGAGATTGTTGTTTTGTGATTCCAATTGCAGTACTGGTGCCTTCTTCAGCTGGAGTTTGATCATTTAGTTCTATTGAGTCATGACGATGTTTTGCAGGGTCTGGTATCAGGATGGATGGTCTTTCGAATCTATCAATAGTGATCATTATTTCGTGATTTGGCTAATAAGTGGTACGGATCAATCAATGATCTAATGTAAGCTAATAACGATACTATGTAAGACAGGATTAATGTATCAAGCCTTGATGATTGATGAATAGATGTTTTCGAGAGTTCATTTTTCAATTAATTTTCGATTTCTCGTTATCTCCATGCAGATTATACGAAGCTGCCGAACCAAATCAAATCGGCATCATTATAAAGGCGTTTAATAAGTAGTTTTAAAGGTAAAAAACTAAAACAAATACTTTTTATGGTATACAAATGGCAAATAATTAGTTTTACATTGTTTTAAGTATGAAAAAGGCAGTTTTGGCAGCAAAAAATTGGCAAAAAAATAGAACTCCTCATGGGGGGCTCGAACCCCCGACATTTCGGTTAACTTCCGCTAAGAAATGATTCTTCCCTAGTTTGACTGTAAAAGCCGAACGCTCTACCAACTGAGCTAACAAGGACGAGTTCTGAACGCAAAAATCCGTTGAAAAAAGCTGGCAGTTTAAATTGTTAAGGGCACACCAATGTTATAGATCAAATATTCTAGGGTTCAGAGCCTATAAAAGGCTAATAAACTCTTCAATATGTTTTTTTCTGTCTGCTTAATGGTCTGGTATAATCAATATTGTTTATAGCATGTAAAGGAGAAAACTAGGCGAATTTAACATCTCTATAAGTGAGCTGGAAATGGTTAACAAAGCAGAGTATTAAATTTACTGATTCTTAATTTTTTATCGATTATGATTCTTCAGCAAATATAAAAGGTGGCTAATTGTGGTTTTGGTGTTTGAATAATGATGAGCTCTGTTCGTTTGTGGCTCCTTTCTAACGTCTGAAAGCATATTGCAATTATACCGAGCTCCAGACTTTGATCTTTCCTCTTCCTTACTGAGACCAACTGATCTTTCCTATATTATACCCTAATTGATATAAAGCATTGATAATTAATTGATCTTTAGTTCAGACCATGTCATTTGCAATTATCTAGTCCATCAACACACAGGTTGGTGCTGTTTTGGTTTTGGTTTTTAGAAGCTTCAGTTATCTCATCTCATCTCCAAAATCAGAAATTTTCGGTAATTGCAGCACAAAAAAAAATTTATAAAAAATTTAAGGCAAAGAGGTATAAACTTTTACAAGTACTAGAAAGTTATCTATCACCTGTATAAAGACTTCTTTCCACTAACACCAAGATGCCTTCCAGAAACTCTATCAACAAGCCAAAAGATACCATGAATCAAGCTCGTAAGAGAGCTCAACTTGCAAAGAAAAGACAAGCAAGAGCTAGAAATGGGTTAACAGCCCCAGCTAGAAGTTCAGAATCTTCAACATCAGGTTTACCAAAATCTACTGCCGTTGCTTTATATACTGGTTCAAAACCAACAGGTAGTATAACCACATCAACTTTATCCAAGAAAAGATTACACAAAATTGAAAGAAATAAGAAATATGCAGCAAAGAGAAAAGAAATTGAAAATAAATTATTGATTGATGCTACTGCTCAAGCTGAAGAACAAATGGACGTTGATGATGATAATGAATCAGTTGCTTCATCCAAAAAACCAAGCAGCAAAATTGATAGTGTTAAAAATGCATTGTGGTCTGTGATTGAAGATCGTGCTTCAGAATCATTAACCGTTGACTCTACTGGTGAAGGTACAACTTTAGGTGGTCCAAGTTTCTCTTAAACAAGATGGGGAAAAAATTGTATATTAGATTTAAGTGGTTATTATAATTTGTCGTTTAGGTTGTGTGTTTTCTTTTTTCAAATATTTGGCATTACATCAATATTTTGTTCATTAAAAAAAAACAGATTCTGTAGCATTATCATTTATCTAATCCTCTAGCTTTTAATTGAACATCAACAGCATCTCTTAAAAACTTGATAGTTTCAGCTGGGTCTTCAGCAGTAAAGACAGAAGTACCAGCAACGATAACATTTGCACCGGCTTCTGCAGCAGCTGGAATAGTAGCTTTACCTAAACCACCATCAACTTGAATATCCAAATTTGGGAACTTTTCTCTAAGTGTTTGAACTTTTGGCATCATATCAGCCATGAATTTTTGACCACCAAAACCAGGTTCAACAGTCATAACTAAGGCCATATCTAAATATGGAGCTAATTCAAACAAAACATCAACAGGAGTACCTGGTTTGATAGCACAAGCAGCTCTAATACCATGACTTTTAATCAATTTAACTAGTCCTAATGGATCTTTTGTAGCTTCATAATGGAAAGTAAATTGATCAGCACCAACTTTAACAAATTCTTCAACCCATTTTTCAGGTTCAGCAACCATCATATGACAATCAAAGAAGGCTTTTGGCTTTGTAACACCATCACCCCTTGGTATGGTTTTTCTTAAACTATCAACAATTGGAGGACCTAATGTAATATTTGGAACAAAATGTCCATCCATAACATCTATATGTAGCCAGTCAGCTTTGGCACCTAATACTTTATGACATTCACATCCCAAGTTTGAAAAATCACTTGCTAAGATGGATGGGGCAATAATTGATTTGACCATTTTTACTTAATTTGGTTGATTGCTCAATTAATTGAATTGATGAGGTTCTTCCTTCTTTAAAGATGTTGGGAAAAGATTATAATCTCGGAGCACAAACCACCTTTTGATAAATCGATGATTTCCTTGCCCATTGATCCTTCATCGCGAAAATGTTTTTTTTCGGTACTGAACAGCTTAAAACCAACATTTAGTTTAAGAAAAAACGGCAAAATGTATTATAGACCCCTTTAAAACAACTTTAAAACATATTTCAACAAAAAATAAGTGCCAATAAGGTGTTTTAAGGGCAAAAAATAGCCAAAAATTGGTAAAAAAAATAAATCTCCCGGGGGCGAGTCGAACGCCCGATCTCAAGATGTCTTGTTATACCATTACAGTCTTGCGCCTTAAACCAACTTGGCTACCGAGAGGTGCTACAAAATATTAAATTTTTGATGCCGCTTAGAGGTGTCCGTCCGGCCTTTTGCGCCCAATTTTTATACCCATATAAAATGACCTTAACGTTAAAATTTCAAGAATTTAAAGTACTTTTATTTATTAGTTTCTCAAGGGCTTTCTAATGGTTCTATTTTTACTTGAATCAAAGATACTTTTCAGAAAAGTTTTAAAATTCAAGAAATTTTGTCAATGTACTAATTTTTTAAAGAAGTTTAAAAATCTCTAAAATATTTATGGATGGAAATTTTTTGCTTAAAATTAACCAAAAATATGTTAGATAGACTTAGATCAATCGTAAATAACATTTCATCTGATTTTAATTGAGAAAAACTCTCTAGTTTCTGTTTTAAAGAGAAGTGTGCTGGTACCGAAGATTTTTTCGCCGGCCGGCGCTACGTCTAGAATTTGTAAGAATCAAGCTAAAGACGTTATAATAGAGAAGCCATAAATCATTTATATTAAAATATACTGTAGTGAAAGGTTGTCAAAACTCTTACTGTGTTTATTGGGTTTTGAAGCTGCTATGCCTGATCTCTAAATCAAGAGGTCAGCAAGAATTACGCAACTCTTTCTTTCAATTGTGACTCGAAAAACTCAAAGAAATGACCATTAAAAGGAGAGGTTCGGTTCGAAAATATGCTACAGTTTTCGAAATTAGGGTTAATGTTCATTGCAATAATAAAACCAATGTAATTTTGGGACTTAGCATATATTCTCTTGGTGACACGATGAATGAGTACAGAAGCACAAGAGTTTTAAAGAATTGAGTTTCAACAATAGAATAAGTGTGGTCTGGTACCATTATTAAAGTAACAGAAATAAGGATTTTTGGAGAAGCTGAACTTTTGAAGCCAATTCTTCAAGCTCTCTAACTTTTTAGTTAAAGTCAGTGAGCTCAAGATGTCTAAAATTTGTTCGTGCTTTAAGACGTTTCCGAAAATCTGTTCTGTGACACAAAATTTATTTAACCAGAGGCTCTATCTGATTCAAAAAGAGACCATCTCAATGAATGAGTTGTCACCTTGCCATCAATCCAGTCTATTCAGGATATTGATTTCACGTTTAAATCATCTTCTTGCTATTGAAAATTCACTGTATATCGTATTTGAAACCAGATTTGACGCACCCCATACAATCTGAATCTGCTCAACTCCCAACCGGAGAAGGAAGCATTAAACGAACCCACCAAATGAGTTCTACTGGATCATCGAGATCCATCAAGTCATGAAATTTAAGGAACTATCGTAGAGTTCTTCTTCCAAAATCTCTAGTCACCTCATATTTCATTTCTACTCCAGTGTTTTTGAACTCCAGAGTCCACATCAAGTGATGTAAACTTTGAGAATTGTCGTTTCTCGCGAAAATTTTCGAAAACAGTCCAACTTGCTTCTACGATGAAAAAAAGCTTCTATCAACAGGGGAACTTTATTTTCTTGATTTTGAACATTAATTTCATTTATAATCGACATAGAATTCTATATGAGCCCACACACTAGCTTCCACTTAAACAAGAACCTTCTTTTGGTGTTGTGATGTTGGCCAAATGTCGCTTATTTTTTTTTTTTTTTGATTTTTTTTCTCGAGATAAAAATTTGGCAAAATACGTAACCTGGAAAGAAACTCACTCATTCACGCTTCAACAACTGAAAACACACGCAATTGATCCATCCTAACCTATCCAGACACAATCTATTGACCCCATTTGCTCATATCCCATTGGTTTGGCTCACTCATTTAACACTTTACCTGGCTCAATCTATCCTCGAAAACCTAGAATTGCCCCTAAGGTTCACTTTTGCCCCGATTACATTTAGAATCAAACAACCCTTATTTCAACAGCCAAGTCACCAACAAAAAGCTTAAAAGCGTTACATCTCAACAAATACAAGGAGAGGGAGAACATTAAAAACTTTCACTACCTCAAAGCTCTTTTTTTTTGCAACTGCTAGTTGTTATTGTCCAATTCATCATAGCCTATCTCTGTGTTTGATTTGTCGACGAATTTGATCCAAGTGAAATTCAAACACTACCCAGCTCACAGTTATTACACAACGCACAAGACAAATATGTCGCTAAAGAAATGGCTAAGTGGTAGCTCATATAATGCTGATAAGGATCCTATTTTGTCATCATCCACAACTCCACCAAACGCCATACTAGCAAACAATAATGTATCTAAACAAGATCAAAACAATTCAAGTTCCTCATCAGTGTCTAGTCATCCGGAGAAACAACATGATGTTTATATCATCGAAGAAAATGAAGATGAGGATAAAGACTCTCAAGCTCAAATATTTGATATGAATGACATCAACCCAGATTTCCCATATGGTGATGGATCTGATAAGATTTTTGGTATGGAAAATTTTGGAAACACATGTTATTGTAACTCAATTGTTCAATGTCTTTACTATACAAAAGCTTTTAGATTGGAGATACTTTCAAATCCTAAAAGGGAACAAATCAATCAACCAAGAGTAAGGAAATCATCCATGCCTGGCTTAAAACCTCACATTGCAGTTACTGCCAATGCAAACAATAATGAAAATGAGCATAATAATAACAATAACAGCTCCAGCTATGAAATAAAGAACATAAGAATGTCATTTGGAAGAAGAAGTTCAAGTTTTTTCGGAAGAAATAAAAAGCAAAGTTTAACTGATGAAGAAGTTGAACATGCTAATGCCCAAGTACATGATCAACAACAACAGCAACAACAACAACCAAATGGACAACATGTAACAGTGACAACAATACCCAACATCAAATCAAACTCTAATAATGTTATTGTTGGTAAAGTTGATGATGTAAATGCAAATGTTGATGCGAGAAAAAGAGCTGCATTACAAAAAGGTCCAATAATAAACTTGGATCATTCATTAGTTGATTACAACATGAAGAATTCATTATACACTGCATTGAAAGACTTATTTGAAAGTATGATTGAACATGAATCTAAAACAGGTGTTGTTTCACCATCTCATTTAGTGGAAACTTTGAAGAAAGAGAATGAATTATTTAGAAGTACAATGCATCAAGATGCTCATGAATTTTTGAATTTTTTATTGAATGAAGTTATTGATACGATTAATAACTTGCATCATTGTCGGAAAAATGCACTACATGATTTATTTGAAGGATTATTAACAAATCAAACAAAATGTTTAACTTGTGAAAATGTCTCTAGTCGTGATGAAACTTTTTTGGATCTAAGTATTGATTTAACAGATAATGAAACTTTGGAAACTTGCTTAAAGCAATTTTCTGCAAGTGAAATGTTGAATGGTAGTAATAAATTCTATTGTGATAATTGTCATTCATTACAAGAGGCTGAGAAAAAAATGGGATTAAGAAAATTGCCTAAAATATTGGCTTTACATTTGAAAAGATTCAAATATAGTGAAGAACAACAACGGAATGTTAAATTGTTTCAAAAAATCAAATATCCATTATATTTTAAACTAGAGAGTGATATACCTGCTGAAAAGAAAGAGGATGGATTGAAATTTTATCAACTTTATGGAGTTGTTGTACATATTGGTGGTGGACCTCATCATGGTCATTATGTTGCTTTAGTGAAGACTATTCAACATGGTTGGTTATTATTTGATGATGAAACCGTGGAAAAGATTGATGAGAAATTTGTGCTTAGATTCACTGGTGATAGTCCTGATTTAGCTACAGCTTATGTTTTATTTTATCAAGAAATTTCAGAAGAGAAATATGAACAAGTTATTAATAAACCTGTTGAAGAGGATGTTAAAGTTTCCGAGAAGGATGAAATTCAAGAAAAGGTGATTAGAGTCAATTCAAATAATAATTCAATCAGCTCAAGTCAACCTTCAACTATATCATCAGATACCAACAAACCAATAAGACCACCTCCAGTGTCAGTAGTGGAACCTCAAGATAAGAACAGATTAAGAACTCCAAGTTTATCAAGCATTGCAAGATTGAAATCCAAATCTTCTCAAAATACAGTTACAACTACATCAACACCTGCTAGCTCAATATCAGCGCCTCAAGTTCCCCTGGCCAAAAATGTTAATGATGCCAATACATTAGATACACCAACACCAACACCTTCCAATCCACAGCCAATTACACCAACTAATAATAATCCACAATCAACATCAACATCATCTTCATTTTGGAGAAAGAAGGAAAAAGAATCAAAAGTGGGAAGTGTTGAAGATAAAGAGAAGGAGAAAAAGAAGAATAGAATGAGTATGAGTTTTGGGTTTAAAAAGAATAATAATTAGATTTTTTATTAACCAATAATACCTTTTAATGATTATATGGATGAATTTGTTTGTAGAGTACGAAACTAATTAGGTAATCGCCAAAGTAGCCAATCAAAATCAACGTTAGCGTCTTTATATGTACTACTTTCAACGGTTTCGCGAACCCTAAAACGCGTTTCTTTTGAGCATCGTCAATAATCGGGAACAAAAAACAATAGAAATTAAGTAATCGACTAAAAGTAAACTCTGTGTTTTGATTGGACGTTGTTGAGATGTATCAGAACTAAAGTATAAAGAAAGGTAATAGTTTTGCTATTGACACAAACTAGCTGTTGTTTAGCCGGTTCATGCCTATGGAAAGATGACAAAAGAAAAGAGAGGTGAATGGTTTCGAGGTTTAGAAATGATGGTTTTCGATGATATGATTCGATTAATAGCTGGTTGTTTGGTAATGTTGAACTTTACGGAAAGCGGTTTCACTTGAATGGACCCAGGCAGCACCAGGAGACCAATTTTTTGCTTCTCAGAGTGGTTTAAGAGCAATTTTTGTTATTGGTGAAACACATATAAGATTCTTGATTGGTTCAAAACGGGATTTGAGATGATCACTAATAATAATAAATCTCAAAAAGGTTGGCCAGTCATCCAAAGCCCATTCCTTTAATATATAAATGCACCTTCAGTCCCAATAAGCTGTGTGCCTATTCCGTCTATTTTCAAACCACAATATTACCAAAATGATTAAAACATATCAATATCGTTCAATTTTAAACTCTCGAAATGTTGGAATTAGAGTTCTGAGAACGTTATCACCATCCCCACAGTTGAAGGATTCAAACTCCAAAAGTATATTTGATATTGGAACAAAATTGATTGTTAATCCACCTCCTCAAATGGCAGACAACCAATATGTTACACATCCATTATTTCCTCATCCGAAATATTCAGATGAAGATTGTGAAGCTGTTCATTTTGTCCACAGGGAACCAAAGACAATAGGTGACAAGATTGCTGATCGTGGAGTGAAATTCTGCAGAGCATCCTTTGATTTTGTGACTGGTTATAAAAAACCAAAGGATGTTAATGGGATGTTGAAATCTTGGGAAGGTACTCGTTATGAAATGACTGAAGAGAAATGGTTAACAAGATGTATTTTCTTGGAAAGTGTTGCAGGTGTCCCTGGTATGGTTGCCGCTTTTATTCGCCATTTACATTCGTTAAGATTATTGAAAAGGGATAAGGCTTGGATTGAAACTTTGTTGGATGAAGCTTATAATGAAAGGATGCATTTGTTAACTTTTATAAAAATTGGTAATCCTTCTTGGTTCACAAGATTCATTATCTATATGGGTCAAGGTGTTTTCGCCAACTTATTTTTTTTGGTTTATCTAATCAAGCCAAGATATTGCCATAGATTTGTTGGTTATTTAGAGGAAGAAGCTGTTAGTACCTATACTCATTTGATCAAAGATATTGATTCCAAGAGATTACCTAAATTTGATGACGTTAATTTACCAGAAATATCTTGGTTATATTGGACTGATTTGAATGAAAAATCAACTTTTAGAGACTTGATTCAAAGAATAAGAGCTGATGAGTCTAAACACAGAGAAGTTAACCATACATTGGCCAACTTGGAACAAAAAAAGGATAGAAACCCATTTGCCTTGAAAGTTGAAGATGTTCCAAAAGAACAACAACCTGATGAATACAGTTTAAAGACTCCACATCCTGAAGGATGGAATCGTGAGCAGATGCGTTTATGATGTGATTAACGATTATTCATTTATTTATTTATTTATTTATTGTATATACTTATGATGCTATGATAGTTTAATGATACAGTTTATGATTATCACTTCAGTAGGGGACTCCGTGGTTGATCGGACCTTTAGACCAAATCAAGCTAACTTGACTTAGCACTTGATCTGAACTTAAATTCCATAGAAATCAATGGTTAAATCTCACCAAAATGAAGAACCACTTGAGCTTGATTTCATCATTTTCAGCTTATTGTTTTCGAAATTTTGTGTCGTTTTGTCGTGCTTTGAGCTCATTTTTAAACCACCGACGTTAAACACATTTTACCGATTTCCAGAAAAGGCCGATTTGTAATATAAAAGAGCCACATTATCACCTTAAAACAACTTTGCTTCATAAAACATTTTATTCACATCCTTCAATTATCATACAATTGATTCAAAATGAGCTTAAAATTCTTCACTTTAGCCAATGGTAACAAAATCCCAGCCATTTCCATCATTGGAACAGGTACTCAATGGTACAACGCTAGTAAAGATCCAACTATCAATGAAGCTTTGGTTAGTCAATTGAAACATGCCTTATCAATCCCAGGGATCGTTCATATCGATGCTGCTGAAAATTATAGTAGATATCCTGAATTAGCTAAAGCTTTGAAAGAAAGTAACAAACCAAGAGATCAAATTTGGATTACCGATAAATATTCAAAATTTGCAGAGACACCAATTGAACATTTAAACAGTTCTTTGAAGGCAATTGGTGTTGATTATGTTGATTTATATTTGATCCATGACCCATTCTATGAAAATAAGAAATATGATATTGTTCAAGCTTGGAGATATGCTGAACAATTATACAAAGAAGGTAAAGCTAAAAACATTGGTGTTTCAAATTTTGCAGTTGAAGATTTGAAGAAAATTTTGGAAGCTGCTGAAATTAAACCTCAAGTTAATCAAATTGAATACAATGCCTTCTTACAAAATCAAACTCCAGGTATCTATAAATTTGCTAAAGAGAATAATATCTTATTAGAAGCTTATGCCCCATTAGGTCCACTAAGTGAAAGAAAAGGTGAAACCGGTGAATTTTATGATTTCTTGGATGAATTAACCAAGAAATATGGTAAAGATCAAGGTCAAGTCTTATTAAGATGGGTTTATCAAACAGGTGTTTTACCAGTTACAACTTCTTCTAAACCCGAAAGAATTACTGGATCTTCACAAATTTGGGATTTTGAATTAACTGATGATGAAGTTTTTAAAATTTCAAAGTTAGGTGCTCAACATAAACCACTACGTCAATATTGGGTCCCACAATATGAGAAATATGATAAATGATTTTGATATGGAATTTTATACAGGTGGTGCGTTTGTGAATAAATATGAAATACTCTCACCATTATGTAAACGACGAATAGCTTCAGCTAAAGTTGGACTTATATCAATATGAGCCAATCTATCATTTTCAATAGTTAATGGAACAGTATTTGTACAAACAATTCTTGAAATTTTGGAATTTGCTAACTTTGATTCAGCATTCCCACTGAAAATACCATGAGTAACAATTGAAATAACTTCTTTAGCTTGATTTTGCAATAAAGTATCAGCAGCTTTAACTAAAGTACCACAAGTATCAGCCATATCATCAATCAAAACACAAATTTTATCTTTAACATCACCAACCAACACCATTCTTGAAACTTCATTTGCCTTTTGACGTTCTTTATGAATTAAAGCAAATTGTAAGTCTAATTTATCAGCGATTGAAGCAACACGTTTAGCACCACCAGCATCTGGTGAGACTAAAATAGCATTTTTATAATCTATTTCCTCTTTGATATATCTCAATACTGATGGTTCAGCATATAAATTATCAACTGGGATACGGAAAAACCCTTGGATTTGTGAAGCATGTAAATCCATTGTTATGACATGATGACAACCTGCAGTTTGAAGTAAATTTGCAATTAATTTAGCAGTGATTGGAGCACGAGATTTATCCTTTTTATCTTGTCTAGCGTATGGGAAATTTGGTATCACAGCAGTGATACGACGAGCTGATGCTGTTTTACAAGCATTAATCATTATAAGTAATTCCATCAAGAAATCATTAACTTCATCTTCTCCACAACCTGTTTGAATAATATAAACATCTTCATCTCGGACTGATTCACCAATAGTTACTGAAGTTTCTTGATTTGAGTATTGATAAACACCAATTTTACTCAAGGGCACACCAAGTCTAGAAGAGTAAAAGGTTAGCAAAAATCACACAACACTAGCATAGAAGAGGTGTTTAATTTCCTTACTTTTTTGATATCTTTTCAGCTAATTCAGGATGTGAATTTCCAGCCAATAATTTGATAGAATTTGGTGAAGTGGTCATTATTGTGATATATTTGGGGTATTTATGAGCTATTGAACTCGTCTAGAAGAAAGGGATAAGAACTGTTGACCTCAATCTCAGAGAACTTCATTTTGATTGAACCATTTTTTACTTCCCTACATCCAATTTTTTTTTCTTGATAAAAATTAAATCCGAGGTCTAACACGTGAGCTATCACGTGAAGGTAATAGAAATCCGAGGCTGAACATACATATTGAATTTACTATTGATGTTTTAATGGTGAATTCAAATCTTGAAGTTCAGAAAGAGAGTACACTGATAAGAATATTTGATCAAGTGGCCAATAAAGTGGATATCAATTATATTGACGGTTAAGCAGCTGGGGTAATATAATGGCTATCATATGACGGTGAACGTTGTAAATGGTAGCTGTGAGATTGATATTTCACCCCTGAGATTGACCAGCGGAGAGATACAAAGCAGTTGAGTTGCAAAGGTGGCTCTGAGTATTTGGTATTAATTGTTGACTAAAGACGGCTATTCATGTACCAGGTCAGAGGATGATTCTAATGGAATTATCAAATCTTTTGTTTTTTAAGCTGGTGTTTTCCAAGCGATGACATCTTTGAACCGGGGTTTAAGATCTAAAGCAAGAAGTTCACATCCTCACTAAATATAGCTGGGGACTCATTGAATTGTCAATATCGAGAATGTGAACTGTGTAGCTTTGTTTAATCAAGGTACAGATCGAAATCGACTATCTCAAGAACAGCCAAACCACCTGACCTCCAGCCTTCTGAATATCGACATGATCTCAATGATTTCAGGTCAAAGAAACGATGATATACCTCGCTAATTATACTCAGACATTAAACCCCTGGTGCAATACATTCTAGAGTTCAAGATTAAGTTCAAACTAAAATTTCAAGCTCTTCTTTGTCGGAATCGGAATCGCGCTTCCGAAATCAACTCTCGCGAAATGCATCTGCATATAAATTACTTGCAGCTTGAAAAGAGCCGTCGAGCAGACCTCAAAAGAGAGCTTAAAATAGACCTCAACAATAGATCGTAAGTTTGTGAGGCCTATTACGTAGTGGATTCGTTTAGCTGAAATTACTAATGGTTAATAGATTGTCAGATAAGCCAATAATGACTGAAATATCATATGCTTATGCCCAATGCCACCATATTTTCTTTGGATAAACTGGCGTCGACGCGTTCGTTAAAAGTGGAAAGCTAAAACCATGAGTTGTAGTCTGACCACCAATTGACAAACCTTCATCTTTCAAACCGGATTGGGATTACGGGGAATAAATTGATGAATCACTCGAGCTTTAAATTGTCTTGGTAGCTGGTTATCTAGTTGATTGATCTTTATGTCAACGTCATAGAGTTGAATTCTTGGTTCAGATCAAGCCTAATAATAAACTCTGATAGTCATCTTAACAATTAAATAAGTCACCACATGCGCTGGCTGCTCGACACCTTATTAATTTCAGACCAAAGAGCATTGTCCAACTCTCATTTCATTGGTTGATTGCTAGGATCAGTTCGCCACAAGGGATAAATTTTTTAACTCCACGTCCCGATAACTTCGACGTCGACGTGTTTTCGCGGGCTGATGAAGATCGCCTTTTGCAAAAACCATGTTCAAATTTCACAACCAACTGGAGGTTTCTTTGATTTACACAATCATATATGAACTAAAAGTCGCAACTACAAGTAATGAATATCAATTGAGCTCGTAGAATTAACGACTTGAATATCTCTGGAGATTCACATCACCATACACTCGATCAACACCGAACAAGCTGGATAACTAGGCCATCATTAGCCCAGCTTTCACACACCTACTTTGCCAACACACCAGGGCAGTAATCTCCAATTAATTAATGAACCTTCCATGCACGTAATTAAATTGATCCAGCGTAACTGGTGTTTACTTGTTTCCAGATCGGGCAATAAAGGCCAAATTGGGATCTTGGATTCTCGGAGCGGGCCACACAATCCGCGATGGCTTGGTCCCGTACTTCCCAATTCGGCATAGTAATAATATGCATGTAATTAAACGATGGCAGGTGGTTATTTTTAGCCCAAGGTGATTTGAGATTTTAGATCCAAAATCATCACCAATCCTCGATGAACCGTTGAGGGGGCTTTGTGTATAAATACAGGTGATATTCCCAATGATTTACATCTTTTCTTTTGGTAATCTCATCATCAAAGAAATCAAGTTTTCTAATCTCAATCAATTTATTATTCATCTACAATGCAATACAAATACTCTTTATTGACTGCTGCTTCCTTAGTTGGTTCATCAATTGCTGCTTACATTCCATCTGAACCATGGGCTACTTTAACTCCAAAAGAACCAGCTCCATCTGGTGCTGTTACTGATTACACCAAAACTTTTGGTATTGCTGTTGTTCCATTTGCTACTTCATCTGCTGCTCCAAAAGCTAAAAGAGATGTTGTTTCTCAAATTGGTGATGGTCAAATCCAAGCTACCACCGCTACTGCTAAACCATCAGCTCAAGTTGTTTCTCAAATAGGTGATGGTCAAATCCAAGCCACTACTTCAACTGCTCCAGCTCCAAAACCAACTGCTCAAGTTGTTTCTCAAATTGGTGATGGTCAAATTCAAGCCACTACTTCAACTGCTAAACCAACTGCTCAAGTTGTTTCTCAAATTGGTGATGGTCAAATTCAAGCTACCACTTCAACTGCTGCTCCAAAATCAACTGCTCAAGTTGTTTCACAAATCGGTGATGGTCAAATCCAAGCCACTACTTCAACTGCTCAAGTTGTCTCACAAATTGGTGATGGTCAAATCCAAGCTACTACTAAAACCACTGATGTTGCCTCCCAAATTGGTGATGGTCAAGTCCAAGCTACTTCAACTGCTTCATCAGCTAAAGCCACCGAAAGTTCATCAGGTAAAGATTCAGGTATTGACGTTCAATCAAGTTCTTGTTTAACTGATTCATCATTAGCTTTAACTTTGAAAGATTCCGTTTTAACAGATGCTCATGGCCGTATTGGTTCAATTGTTGCCAACAGACAATTCCAATTTGATGGTCCACCACCACAAGCCGGTGCCATCTACGCTGCTGGTTGGTCTATCACTGAAGATGGTAACTTAGCTATTGGTAACGTTTCCACTTTCTACCAATGTTTATCAGGTAACTTCTACAACTTATATGATGAATCATTAGGTGAACAATGTCATCCAATCCACTTAGAAATTGTTGACTTAGTCAAATGTTAAGCTAATTTCAAGCTAACTTGATTTCTAATGCCTTCTATTCTTTTATGATTTTTTATTTTCTTTTCACGTTTAATCTTTTTGGTTTTCTTTTCACGTTTTTTCAGGTTAATGGGACTTTCCTTTAATTTTTTTCATTGGTTTTCTTTTGCATTCTTTCAAAATTTGTTGCATATTATTTATATAGGTCAAAAATAAATACTTTCAAGTCATTTACAAATATAGTAGGTCATCTGATTCTTTTAAATATTAATCATATTTCAATGATATCTGCATCTCTTTGAAGGTAAATTTGCTTATTATTTATACTAGTAGTCAATGTTATATTATTGTACAATATGAAACTATATTGTTGAACTGATATGCGTTCGACGTTGATGAAGCTGATAGGATCGATGTATACCAATTATATTTGAATTTCATGGCAGCTAGGAACTAATTTACAGCATTCCAAAGTCCTTTAAACAACTGAATCATGTGTCAAAATCACTTTTCAAATAATAGAATATCCTTTAACGACCTTTGTTTTAAATAAACTCTCTTTAAATGGCCAAGATCTCAATTTTGTCGTAGATAATGGTTAAATGTCGAGTGTCCATAACAAAATATCGCGAATGCGTTTTGTAAAAATAAAAAATCGCCAAACTCAACAAAAAAGACACAAATCAGATTTCCTTCAATTAAAGAGGAATAACAACGACCCATTTATTCATTACACTACATTCACTCAAACTAGCTTAAAACCACAATACCAAATACCCAATACATTATCCAAAAAACAAAACCATGGCCACAAAACAAGCTCATAAAAGACTCACAAAAGAATACAAATCAATGGTGGAAAACCCACCTCCATTTATCATAGCACATCCTTCGGAACGTAATATTTTAGAATGGCACTATCTAATTTCAGGCCCACCAGATACACCATATGCTGGTGGTCAATATCATGGTACCCTAATGTTCACTTCAGAATACCCTTTCAAACCACCTGCGATTAAGATGATCACGCCCAGTGGTCGTTTCCAACCAAATACTAGATTATGTCTAAGTATGAGTGATTATCATCCAGATTTGTGGAATCCTGCTTGGAGTGTTGCCACTATCTTGACAGGGTTGTTAAGTTTCATGACTGGTGATGAGGATACTACAGGTAGTATAAGAACTAGGGATGAATCCAAAAAGAAGTTTGCAAAAGCTAGTTTAACTTTTAACTTAAATAGTGAAAGATTCTTGAGGGAGTTTAGTGATTTAGTTGATGAAACTAGAACAAAGATTGATGAATGGGATAAAAATGAAGCAAAAATTGAAGATGAAAAGAAGAGAAAGTTAGCAAATGATAATAAACCTGAGGAAATTGTTGATCCAAGTACATTAGATCCAGAAGATAGAATAAGATATGAACAGGCTAGAAATAGGGCCGTTGAAGGTCAGAAATCTAACTTTGTGTATTATGTTTTGGCTATTGCAGTGGCTCTGGGTTTGTTTCGTTATATAAATTAGGGATGGATATGATAATTATGATGTGTACATTTTATAGATATTGTTTTATGGAGTGATATGAGCATAAACTTTGACTTGTAGTTTGTCTACGCTTTTCCCCCTTTCCATTACATTAACATTTAATTAAAATCTAAAACACACAAAACACCTTAAAAATCTTCAATATTCAAAACAACTTTACCATGAGCATGACCTTTTTTCAACTTGGCTTCAGCTTTTGAATATTGTCTCCAATCATAAACAGAATCAATAATATTATCAATTTCCCCAGATTCCAACATATCAACACCAACTTGTAACCATTCATCATTAGGTTTTGGATTGAAATGGAATGGAATATAACTCAAACTCCAAATTGAACCAAACATTGTACGAGCATTCATTGCAGGATTATTCCAAGAATTATAAACATCTTTTCTATAATCAGATTTATAATCACCAACTGTCGTTATATATGAACCACCTTTTGTTAAATAATCATTAACCTTCTCCATCAATGTATAACCACCAACACAATCAATTATGACATCGATTTTCTTGGCTGGTATATCACGAGATTCAAATTGAGTTCCATCAGAGTCATAATCTCTATAGACACCCGTTGTGGTTAATAATTGTAAAACTTTTGGCAAATCTGAATTAACAGTATAGTTTATAGCCAATTTAGCACCAACAGATTTAGTTAATTTGATTGCAGAACCTGAACATATCACAACGATATTATCCAATTTATAATAATGCTTCAATAGCTGAATACACATCAAACCAACACTTGAAGCACCACCATTAATTAAAACTATTGAATCTTTTGAGATTTTTTTCTCAACTTGTTTCAAAATTTGCCATGCAGAACCAAAAGTATATAGCCAACTTCCACTTTTTTCCCATGATAACTGTTTTGGTTTCTTAACAATAGGATCAACACTTGGATCAATTTTAACATCTGAAGAAACAGTTCCAAGAGAATTCGGATGGAAATAAATCCCACAAACTTCATCACCCTCTTTCCATGTTGTCTTGTACTTATCACCAACTGCGGCTATAACACCTGAATATTCACGACCAATACCTCTTTCATAGTTAAAATTTGAAGAATAAGCATTACGAATTTTCAAATCAACAGGATTTAACCCCACGGATTTGATTTGAACAACAACATTGTTTGATTTGATTGGTGTTTTGTATTTGATATCATAGGTGAATGTAGGTTCCTTGTTTTTGGAAAAATAAACCAATTGCTTTGTTGGAATGTATTGAACATGTCTTAAAGGTCTACCAACTCTTTTCAAATGGGATGGTGGAGGTGGAGAGATTGGACGAGGTGCTGGGGTATCTGGTAGATAGGTTGAAATTTTCAGTTGTTGAGGATCAGCTTGTTCTTCAGACATTGTGTTAAATCTTTTTCAGGATAAACAAGATGAGATGGGTTTAGGATAGAAAGGCTACATTGTTTTTATTTTATACCCATGATGATTTAAAGTCGGCAAATCAGTAAACGGTCAAGTTTTTGATACGGCCAGAAAAAACCTCTACAATAAAATTTATATGGCTCGGGAATTTACGCATTTTAATGATAAAGGTCTCGTTAAAAGCGAGAAGCGATAAGGAGATGATATTGTAGATGAGTTGGTTGGTGGATGGATTTGTATGGTGTAGCCGTTTGTGAGCTTTGAAGTCCAAAAAGAGCTGTTTAATTTGGGAGAATATTCGATATGCTACAGTGCAAAGTAATACTAATACAATCCATTTTTTAATTATACCCAAAACCTTTTAAACCTAAATACAAATACAAAATTATTCACTTGGTACGTGAAATGATAATATGATACAGTAGCATTCCTATCCTCAGAAGCTATTAATGCAGATTTCCTTTTTCTGTAGTGACAAGTACACACACTATTTTTTACACCGGACTTGTTATGATATCTTCTTCTTTCTCTCATGCTAATTGATACTTTTAAGCAGCAATAGGTTCAGCCATCACACTATCATCCTTCATCTCTTGGTAATATTCCTCCAGATCTTCTGGTTCAAATATAACTTGGATCATTAGTGAACAACTTGGACAAACTGCAACATCTTCACCATCTTGTAAATCATCAATAAATATTTGAAATCTATCACCACAAGGACAAGGATATGTGAATAGTTGGGTGACAGGGTCAAATGTCATGTCCTCTATTTCAATTTGGTCGTAGTAAGACATTGTGATACTTCTGTTGAACTGTCTTTAGTTGAAACCACTTGATGGTGTTAGTTAAAGGTCTTTTGATCTCTTTGCCATTAACCAAAAAGAAACTTTTGAAAAAAAAATTATCAAGCCCTAAAAACGTCATCTTCATATGTCAGGTGACTCCCATTAGGTCTAAATGACTTTCGCTTTTTTTCTTACACCCCAACACCACTTCACAAACCCACTCAACTTTTTTGCATCTTTCGCGACTCCCTGCCTAGAGGCTAGCGCCCTGCCTGGGTTCCCAGACAGAGTCTCTGCCTAGCGCGAACGCCCCCTCCAGCACCAGAGACGTGGCCGTGACAAAAGAAAGAAAAAAGTCGTCGAGGGTTGGTGTCTGGCAGTTGGGAAGACTCTTTTATGAAAAATTAAAAACCACAATCTTTCTTCTTAACATTAGAGATAGTGTATCAACATCAAGGATCAATACCTTTTAGTAAGTCATAATACTAGAAAGAGATCAAGTGGGAAGAAAGAAAGAAAATACAAAGAAGAAGAGAATAAGGAATATATATATTTGAGGAAACAAGACTGGCAATATCCATCTTCAACAATTTTTTAATTCATCAAGAAAACTTCTTTTCAATAACTACACTGAATCTCAAATCAATAAGAATCAATAATACTAACTACATCTATCAGGTAATATTTCAAAATGGGTATTTCAAGAGATTCTCGTCACAAAAGGGCCGCTACTGGTGCCAAACGTGCTCAATTCAGAAAGAAGAGAAAGTTTGAATTAGGTCGTCAAGGTGCTAACACCAAAATTGGTACTAAACGTATCCATTCAGTCAGAACCAGAGGTGGTAACCAAAAATTCAGAGCTTTAAGAGTTGAAACTGGTAACTTTTCATGGGCCTCAGAAGGTGTTGCTAGAAAAACCAGAATTGTTGGTGTTGTTTACCATCCATCTAACAATGAATTGGTTAGAACCAACACTTTAACCAAATCAGCTATTGTCCAAATCGATGCTGCTCCATTCAAACAATGGTATGAAACTCACTACGGTGCTTCATTAGGTAAAAAGAAGGGTCAAGCTAAAGCTGCTGATGAAGAAGAAGTTAAAAAATCCAGAAAATTAGAAAGAAAATTAGCTTCAAGATCTCAACAAGCTAAAATCGAACATGCTGTTGATGCTCAATTCGGTGCTGGTAGATTATACGCTGCTATTTCTTCAAGACCAGGTCAATCAGGTAGAGCTGATGGTTACATTTTGGAAGGTGAAGAATTAGCTTTCTACTTAAGAAGATTATCTGCTAAGAAATAGATTGTTTAATAGTTTCCCACTCATGTATCATCAAATTTAAAATTTTTACGGTTTAATAAAAATTGGAGTTTGTAGTTTTTGAAATTGAATGAACTGTGTAGAGTACTGAAGTATATATTTACGTTAAGACCTCTGCGGTGAGAATAAAAAATGGACAACTACAGAACGAAAGCCATCTTAGGTACCTAGTACTAGGTGTACAACAATTTTGAGGCTTATTTGCTATTACTTTTTACTCAATTAGCTTCCAATATTCATAACTTTCAGGTTTGAAGTTCAAATTTATAGAATGATGCGATACATAGGCTACAAGAATCAAGTTTTTTGGGACAAATTCTATATTATTAGATATATAGTAAATGATACTAGAATATTAGTTAGAACACAATCATCTTGAAACGTTAAACTCTAAATATCAAAAATTGATTTGTATAAAGAAACAGTCAGTAAAGGCAATTATTTATCCGCACTTCTCACCCTCGTAAGAATGAGATTAGTACAGGTCTGTGTAATTTTTTTTCATCATGAAAATTTCTTATACTCTTTCAATTGTGTAATATTTCGAGGGATTGGTAAAAAATCACATACTTTTTCCTTATTGTTTGTTGTACTTTACAAATATCAAAAGGTTTAAAAGTTGATGAAGTTTTCCATTTTTTTTATGGACGTTGAACCAGAAAAAGTTCGCGAATTAAGAGTTTTACCCGACCGGTTAGGGTTTTTAGTGGGTGGTGTTGGGATGTTGGATTGTTATAGGTAAACTTAAACCTTTTATCTTGATTTATGGCTTTTTATTAGCAGTCAATTGGTTTAAATAGTGTGGATATTGAATAATTTAGCAATTTTCTACATCTAAGTTTCAATTATTAAACATTAGTTATTAAAAAGAGGGTCATATAAACAGGTATAGACATGAATAAAGAAACATTTTGAATCTTGGTCAAAATCAATTAGTATTAGCTTCAGAAATTTTTTCATCTTGATCATTTGATTCTTGATCTTGAACTGATTCTTCAACATCATGTTCAACGTTTTTCAAAGCATCTGGTTTATAGAATCTTAAATCAATTCTACCAAGAATGTATAACAAGTTGACAATAGTTTCTAAAGCACCAAACATAACATACATAACAACTGGTTTAAAGATCCATGATTGTTCGTATTTGTATTGGTCAATGAAAGTGGAAACACAACGGAAGATATCACCAATGAAAACTAAAAGGGTTGAAATAGCAATGATAATAATTGAATTGTTTTGTTTTAAAGTTTTAGTTTCGGTAACTTCTTCAGAATGGGTGGTATCATAATGGTATTCAGAAGAATGAATAACTCTAATAGCATGTTTTTTGGAACTTGGAACAGATCTAGCTTCTTTAGCAGCTTGACCTTTTGGAACAAAATAAGTTAATCCAAATGATTTAATCCAATATGGTTGATAAGTAAGAATTTCACCATCAGATTTAGTTGGTTTAACAATGTATGAGGCACCAATTAAGATGACAGCTAATAATGAATAAATCAAGATTAAAATTGAAGAAGCTTGAATAACTTGTTTAGTCATTTTGAAATGATGATCATTTAAGAAATAATTAACTTGAACACAAGCAGCAATAATAGTCATAACAACAACAGCAATAACAACAGAGTAAATCAAGTACATTAAAGTCATAAAGATTTTTCTTGAACCATGAACAGGATGTCTCCATGTGAAATATCTTTGAGCTAAAATCAAATTCAAACCCGGTAAGAAAGCAGTTGGTAAAACAATGAAAATCATAGAAACTAAACCAGTGGTAATTCTAGTAACATCTTTTGACCAAACAATTCTCAACAAGAAACCTAAAGCACGAACCAAAGAGTAAATTGTCAAACCTAAACTGATGTAAAATTTATGACCTAATGAAAAATTCTTGATGAAGATACCTAAATGTAATAAAGTGAAAATGAAGAAAATAGCCATAAAGATTGAAGATGGTGCGATATCTTTAGTAGTTGGATAATCACCAAATTCAGCAGGTTGATAAGCTTCAACCAAATTTAATAAACGTGATGGGATACCAACACTAACACCTAATCCACCAGTGAATCCATTCATCATATCTTTAGCAATTGTTAACAATTTCTTGGAACCAGTACCTAAGGCAGCACCACCAGATAAGATTTTGAAAACACCTAATAATTGAGATGTAGTAAAGACGTTATTAATTTTATTCAAGAATAAACCTAATAAAGTTTTACCATGACCCATATATTGGCCTGCTAAAGCTGGACTAGATGCGTTTGAAGCAGCGTTGAATAAAGAAGAAGTGACATTTTGGAAGTTGTTTAAAATGGTGACTAATTGAACTGGTGATAATGAAGTTAATAACCCATCAACAGTAGATGAATTTGATTGTAATAAACCTTCAATTTGTGTAACGTTTAAAGATGACAAAACTTTTGGAATATCAACTTGAGAAATGTTTAAACCTGATTTTTCAAAAGTGGTCAAAGTTGAAATGATTTGAGTAGAATTCATTGGCTTCAATAATGAAGCAATTGTTTGAGCATCCATTTTGTATTGACAGCTGGTTCTATTGTTCAACAACACCAAGCCAAAAAAAGCATTAAAATCAGGGCCCACTCATCATTATATACACACCTTCAACAGTTTAAATGGACTGCAGAAGTCGTAAGCATAAATGCATGAAAGGTTTCAATCTGTTTGTGTGTATGAATTCCTATGATTTCTTTCAGCAGCTCAACAATTTTCAAAAGGTACATATGATTTCCCAAATACAGAAAAAGCACATTTGGAAAGCCGGATTGAAGTGGTGCATCAGAATAAAAGAATAGTTCATCTTCTGATGAGTGAAGTTTATTCATAATTGAACCTATAACAACCTGTCAAATAGATGACAATAGGATTGACCGTCAATACTGAGCACCAAGCACTGATTGCACCCATTCAAACCAAGCACTCTCCATAATCATCAAGCCCAGTCATTTCACAGGCAGCTCAAGTCCGTGAAAGTTGACTGTTTTCAATCAGAAACGGCTTTTCCCTAAACATAAACACACGGATTAAATTTTTTTTTTTTCTTTTTGGTTTCTTTGACTGGTGAAAAAAAAATTTAGTATGTGCCATACGACAAATTTCCTAAAACTGACCAATCAGTAATTGCATCAAATTTGGTGGTTTCCCTGGGAAATTGACGTTCTTGGAAGTGAGATCAAGCAGGAGGAAGGAAAGTGTGTGAGCTTGGGTTTGGGTGTTGAGAATTTGTTGGGTAAAATTGAGTTTATGGTTAATTAGTCCTTGATGCTTCATTCTCTGTAATTAGGGCTTTCAAGGGCATACTTTGGATGTACAGTCTGTGGTGGTTGATGTTGTATGGCCTAAACTTGGAGACCTAATAGTATTGGAAATGATTCATAAGGAACTGGTTGGATCTTGAGTCTTGACTCATTTGGACTTGTATCTATGTTGTTGTATTTTGGTGGTCTACTCTTCATAACTAGATTCTAGTGTTCATATGCTTCACCCCCCTTGGAAAGATTAATCTGGTATCTCATGACATTTAAAGCTCTTTCTCATATGATGGATCAAGAAGTTTAAGTCAAATTCTGAGATGTTTACAATTATTTATATTGTGTTGAATCAAGTTTTTTTTGTTGAATTTCAAGCTTCATTTCCGATTAAGAGCGCCAACAATTAAATGGTTGCTCACTGCCACAATCGATAATTGGAAAAAACGGTGTCAAACAGAACAATTGGCAAGGTGGAATATTATAAAGGGAAGTGTGATGATATCATCGATTGAGAAGAAGTTTCTGGAGAGTTGTAAAAGTTATTACTGAACTACGTACAAATTGAAACCATTAATCACTTATAAAATATGAATATCAGCTGAAGACACAACATTAGAATACATCAAATACAATTTATGTGTATGAAGAATCTTTAGCCCTCCCACCCTCTTGCCTGGTCATGTTATATGTTATTACTCGTTGTCCAGTGAAAAGAGTTTCACTTCCTTCGAGTATCCAATTCCACAATATTATATACAACACAACAGTGAAATTATGATAGAATTTGATATAAAAGACTGGTTAATGACTGATGGATATGTATCTGAACTAGGAAATGAAACTATTTATAAGTCAATAAATATATGGTTCCCAGTCTCCTGCTTTCCAGGCCTTGACATCTGATATAATCTTTCTCAAGCTCTGCAAAAGCATTTGGTATTTCTGATACTCACCACCAAATCAATTCATTCCCAAACCTTCACACTCACACCACACTCACCCTTGAATTACCCTTTCCCACCTATTCCAAACCTCTTTAATTCAATTCATCAACATTTACTATTAGAAACCCGATGAATATTGACAGCTCTGTAATCCATTTCGCGAATCTCGACAACTCATCAATTCGAATCAATTCGGAGTGTAACTCAACTTCACAACTATTCTAAAAACAACAGCAACGATGAAACTGAGAAGAACAACTTTATTACCACTAGCATCAATCATATCCCTATCCTTAGCCCACGGTGGGAGTTCCCATGGCTCTGCAAACACAGACCTCAAGGAGAAGCCACCACAGGGTCTATCCTGGGAAGAATGGCACATGAAGGCCGAGCATGGGTTGGATGAATACGATCCAGAGAGTTTTTTCACGTTGCATGATTCGAAGAATAAGAAGTATTTGGATTCAGATGATATTTTGAACGCGTATGGGTTGCATAGGGATGAAGTTGTTGGGAAAGGTGATGGGTTGGGTAGTCATGATGATTCAGAGAGTATTAGTGCTGAGACTAAGAGGGAGATTGTTAGTAAGATTTTGAAATTGTTGGATAGTGATAGTGATGAGAAGGTTACGCTGGATGAGTATTTGAAGTTTGCTGAGAAAGGTGGGAAGTTCCCAGATTTAGGTGTTGGAGTTGGACATCATGGAGATTTTGAACATGAGTACGAGGTGCATCATTGGAATAAGTATCATAAGGATCAAGATCCAGATATTAAAATCATTCATAAGGAGGATATTGAGCATGAGTTATTGCATCATGAACATGAGATTGAACATGAGGTTGATCCTAATGCTGCCAAAATGAGTGATGAAGAATTAGAAAGTCGCATCATTTTACAAAATATTCCACCAAAGTATAGATCATGATAAGTTGTTTAATGTATTAATGTTTTCAATGAATTTTGTAAACTCGATAAATCATACACATTTATATTTTCATTCAATTTTTTATCCTTTGGTACTGAAATACATTTAATCCCTAGATATGAAATTTTCTCCACATCAACAGGAATTTCTGAATCCTCCATATAGATTAAATGAGTAACAACTTCATCATAAGTCAATAAGACTCTATCATCATCAATACTATATTTAACAGCCCCACATAAAGTTTCAATGAAATTCAGGGCACTTAAACGAAATGTTTCACGATCATAATCTCCATTCAATAACAAGATCTTATTTGCAGAGCTTTTCTTTATTGCCATTCCTATTCCCTTTAGGATTATAACAGGGATTGTACTTGTCATTAATGAACCGACTGAATAGATTAATGTTTGGGAGTCATGAATACTATGAATAGTTCTTGAATTTGCCTGTGGATGGATTTCTTCACCATATGGATTTATATAAAAAATCTTGTCAATTGGAGATTTCAATGGTTGGTTTTCATTTTTGGAGAAATGTAATTGAGATATATTCAAATCTGGATGTTGATAAGGTATATCTTCATGAATTATAACTGGATCATAAATTTTATGGATTGAAGTGGAGGAACTTAATATTGTGGAGATTGGTTCATTTGGATGAGATATTTGAGATTGACCAGTGATTATATCTCCATTATGCAATTTAGCAGAGATGTGATAAGTATAATTTGTGTTTAAGCATGGCAATATTTTAATATTTGGTGAAATTCTTGTCATTCTTAATATTAATTCAATTGCACTATCTAGTGAACCAACAAATAATCTAATCCCAGTGAGTAATAAATTCCCAATACTAGCCATTTCATATTTAAAATTTGTTGATGGATTTCTTGATTTTTTCAATAATTCCATATGAACATGGATTAAAAAAGATCTAACCATTTCTTTACATTGAATTTCTAACCCATTCCAAATTTCATGTTGACCTTCCACGATTGAAGTCCATTCTAATTTTGCCTCATCACCATCTTCAGATAATCTATAACTTAGCAAGTTTTTGAAACCCTCATCAGGAATCAACCTTGTTATTCTGGAACGTAAGTCACCAATAGCTGGACCTCCTAGGACTCTAAGGATCTCTGAAGTTGAACCACCATTATCAGATATTGGCAAGATGTAGGTGATGTTTGGGGAAAGGGATTGGAACAGGTTGACTAGGGAGTTGGAAGCAGTACCACCAGAAATGACCACGAGTTGGTTGTTCATTGTGTAGTGTATTAATAGAGTGTAAATGGTTGTGATTTGATGTAATTTGATGTAATTTGTATTATGAACAGCTCATTGACATTTTCAGAATCTGTCTTTTTCCTATGGTGAGAAACTCGGTGCAATAGAAATTACAAACAACACTAGACTTATAAAAATGAATAGAATAAAGAAATATTAATTAAAGAAAGTGATATTAAATGAATTAACTAACGAATTACTTATTACCTTTTAACTATTATAACTACAATTAAGAACTGTATCACCTTCACTAAACTCCTTCGGATCTCACCCCCAATACGGCATCTCTCCCGACCACTGTGGATCTGATTCAATCCAATTCACAGAACATCAAAAGCTCTTCTTGTGGCTGCTTCAATCAACTAATCAACTCACCTTAGAAACCACACTCTGCAATACAACCATTGTCTCTTCACATGACTGCCTATACTGAAAACATTTTCACTCCATCGGTATTATAAAAATCACCATCAATCAGTCATTCATCATCATCAACATTCCCTAGTACATCATAATCATCAAATATGCCCAACCCTAAAGAATCATTCAGAACCCAAATGAAAGGGTTCCCCTGGTCCCAAATCTTTGTCATCGCATGTGTTCGATTCGCTGAACCCATCGCATTCACTTCATTGTTCCCATATGTCTATTTCATGGTTAAAGATTTTGGAATCTCACAGAATGAAGCTGAAGTTTCAAAATATTCAGGTTATTTATCTTCAATATTTGCATTTTGTCAAGTCCTCACAAGTTTCAACTGGGGGAAATTCGCAGATAAGAATGGTCGTAAACCAACTTTAATCATTGGCTTGACAGGTTCGATTGCAAGTTTGTTATTATTGGGTTTTGCTAAGAATTATTATTATGCCCTAGCGGCTAGATCACTTATGGGGTTATTGAATGGGAATGTTGCAGTTATTAGAACAATGATTGGTGAAGTCGCGACGGAGAGGAAACACCAAGCTTTGGCGTTCTCTACAATGCCGTTAATTTTCCAAATTGGTTGTGTTGTGGGTCCTTTAATTGGTGGGTTTTTAAGTGGTGATTCCTCAAGGTTTAAATTTTTGAAACCATTAGTTAAGAAATATCCATATGCATTACCAAATTTGTTTGTTTCTGGGTTGCTATTGGTTAGTATGATCACTGCAATTTTCTTCCTTGAAGAGACTCATTATAAACATAAATATAGATATGATCCATTTGTGGAGTTTGGTGATGCTATAAAGAGACATGTCTTCAAGATTGAACCAAAGAAAAGAGCATGGCACAAGAATCAAATCAGAGAGACTCCCCCATCACCTGCAGAGATTGATGAAGAGACTGCATTATTAGATGATGAAGGTGATGATGAACAATCAATTACATCAGTAGGTCATCTGTTGACAAGAAGGGAAAGTGTTGCATTGATAAGAACTTATTCATTACATGAAGTGAAAGATGAAGATGAAATCAACTATAAAGAATTATTAACTCCACATATCTTTTATGCAGTGGTTTGTAACTTCATAATGAGTTTACATATTGTGGTTCATGATGAGTTCTTACCAATTTTCCTAGCTTATGATATTGCTAAATCTAAAACTGGTGAATTGATTTCCAAATTCCCCTTCAAGATAGTTGGTGGGTTAAATTATTCATCTGAAGATACTGGTCAATTATTATCATCAACAGGTATACTTGGTGTTGTCTTTGTACTGTTCGTCTTCCCATATGTTGATAGAAATTATGATTGTTTAACAACTTATAAAAACTTCATCAAGATTTTCCCAATTGTTTATTTCCTAGTCCCATACCTTGTGCTTTTCGGTGATTTTAAAACATTGAGTAAAATTGCAGCTTATACTTTAACTTGTTTGAAAACTTTAGGTACTTCAATTTCATTCCCACAAATTTTATTAATTGTTCATAATTCATCACCTCCAAAACATAGAGCAATGATTAATGGTGCCACGATATCTGTTAGTGCATTGGCAAGATGTTCAGGCCCTTTAATCTGGGGGTTTATAATGTCATGGGGTCAAAAATTTCAAATTGCTTGGATAGGTTGGTGGTTATTAAGTTTATTAGCATTATTGGCAATTTATCAAAGTAGATACTTAAAAGATTCAACAGAGGAGGAAGGGATTGAAGAGGAATAGCATAAAGGTACAATTAATCAATTCATTCATGTAGAAAATCTTTAAACGGCCTTGTATATTTCGGGTATATTAATCTATTACAACCAGTGGAATTAGAGGAAATCCCAATTAATGATATATTGATCAAATTTAACAAACAAAAACAAAAAAAAAAGCAGCCTCACTCATCTAGGAAAAATAATAATAAACAAAAAATTCTTTAATTTTAATACTCTTGTTGTGAAAAGATGATGATGCAAATAATTATTATTTTAATCATTAATGGAATAAGAAAAAACGAACATTGGTGAAAAAAAAGTGATGGTGGTGATGAAATACGCTAGATAAACATTCTTGGGAAGCAACTTAGAAAGTTTGTAAAGCTCTTCTTCTTTTTTTCAAAGCATTGGCAACAACAACACCAAAAACGGCACAACCTAGAACTTGTTAGTACTCGAGGTATAAAACATCATCAAGAGCCATAACTCGAACTCTCAGTGCTTCAACAATACTCACCAATCAAGAAGATCAAGACGAAGACTAAAATAACACCAGCTGGAAGCATTTTATTGTATATGAGATGTAAAAGTGTAGTAAAAGTGTTAATACGCTCTTCCAATTGCAAAGAAAAACATTTCGTCGAGAAAACCAGGGGAGAAAAGGTCTTTATATAAATTTGATAAAGTTTGCAACGAGACCGACACACATTGCCCAATGCGGTAATGCCACTGCTGGATGTGGTGGGCTGCCATCCCAATGGGGTAATGTGTGACGGTTTACGGCAGAAACGGTATTTGCAACTGATAACGACAAGAATGAGCTACTTTCTTATAACTCGGGATTCGTTGAGGGTTATATCCGATGGAATAGAGGGAGTTTGGGAAGAGTTATAGTTGGTGATTTGAAATTGTAGATGTCAATTACATAGTCTATATTCAATAGTCAATTCATCAATTCCTTTCCTTGTTTTTTTGAGTGTATTTTATCCTCATTTTTTTTAAATTTTTTCGTTCGAGGTTTTTTTTCCCATCGACGAATTGAATTTTGAACCGATCCATTTTTTTTTTTTCAAACCAAAGTTTTGCGAAATTTTTGCGAAATTATTAAATCATTTTCGGGAAAAATAAACAAAAACTCGAACCGGAAACGGAAAAGTTTAATCTGTTTTGGGAAGAATTTGGGGAAGGGGACACATCATGATACACTCTGGGTTTTACGTAATTTGATAATTATTTTGTATAAAAATCATCAATTGTAATCTTTTATTTAATTTATATGTTGTTCTTTGAAGAGTTTGGAGTTGTTTCAATCAGGTGTGTGGGTTTTAAATGATGATGTTGGATATTGAAGGATAAAGTTAGAGAATCTTTATTTGAACTACCGAAAAACCAAATACAGTTCAGGGAATCAAGGAAATGGTTAATTACTAGATATTTGTATCATCAATGTTGTCATCTTTAAAGTTATACAAGTATCAATGGTGGAGGACTTGGGTGTATTGGATGTGAACTAGTTGCAACTTGAAAGAACAACTCTTGCTATGTTAAATGGTTTTATACAAGTCAATTATTTCATATGTACTGATCACAAACTTTGTTGGAAATCCATCGAGTAAGTATCTCTTATTCTCAATTAAGATGTTATTAAATTATTGGTGACCTCCTCTTGGAAACTGAGAAGCACTACTGAACTGGTAATGATAGGAATTTAAAATGTTTATTGTTGGGCTTGAAGTGATTTGAGGAATTAATATTACATTCTTGAGTTTTGCTGTTGAAAAGGTTGGTGGCACATGATGTGCTTGATTCAGAAGAATCAACAGCTCACACCTAATTCATACAATACTTTCTAGCCTAGAGTGAACCCAGTAATAGCTAATATTTTTCATGATGATGGCTTGTAAGTTGTCATGAGTTGAACGCAGACTGGGGTACATAATCAAACTCCAATATACACCAACACCAGCGACTCTTCCTCTTATATCCTTATGATAGTAGTACATTAACATCTCGTCAACACTAATTAATTCAATTGTCCATAAGTTTATGAACTCCATAAGTGATAGGATTTGCACACGTGACTATCACGTGCTCTACAAACTCTGTATTTACCTTTTCCCTAATTTAGCACCAGTTGCTATGGGAACTCAAATATTTCCACCGCGAAATTCACAAAGCAAAATAAAATCCAAAACACACAAAAACGAAAACAACAACAACAACAACAACAACAACTACAATTCAATTCCTGTAGTGACAAACCAACAACAAACCAAAAGAGAAAACAGGTTGGAAACAGACAAGAATATTTCATCAAGATGAGTTTGAAGCAATTGACCAAAGGTGCATTAGTTGAAATGTGTCGCGACCTTTCAATTAGGTGAGTATTTTGATATTTTGTGGTTTTAAGAAACAAATAAACTAACTCTTAGTAGTGATGAAGGTACTAAACCAATTCTTGAAGAGAAATTGGCTCAACATTTTGATAACCATCCTGAATTGGAAGAAGATGATACTTATAGAAAATACTATCTATTTAGAAAAAGATCATCTCCAAGTAAAGTTACTCAATCAATTGGCAATGAAATAACTTCATCTCCAAGTTATAAAGTTTTAAAACCATTAAATGATAAATTGAAGTCTTCTCCTAATAAATTGTTGAGTATTAGTAAAGGTTTTAAAAACAAATCAAGTCCTTATAAATCTGCTCAAGATGAAGAAGATGAGGATGAAGAAGATGATGATGAAGAAGAAGAAGAAGAGGAAGAAGACGATGATGATATCGAAATTTTATCAAGATCTTCAGGTAAAGATGGTGAATTGTTGGAAGATGATGAAGAACATGAAGATGCTGATTATCATCCAAAATTTGAATTTTTAACTAAAATTCAAGATTGGTTTATTGGTAAATATGAAGATTTATATGATTATGCTGAAGAACAAAAGGATGAATTTGTTTATACTGCTAAAAAACTCAACACTGATGCTAAAAAAAAATTAAGTACTACTGATGCAGTTAATGGATTAGGTCAATTGCTAGAAGTTGGGTTATTAATTAACAATCAAGTTCCTTTAATTTCAATTAAAGATGCTCCTTTCTTGAGTCAAGAAATTATCTCCAAATATAAATTTATTGATCCAACTTTTAAAATTTGGGATATTAGTTCATTAATACAGTTTAAATTTATTTTAATTTTATTAACTTGGTTTGGATTATCAATTGGGTTACCATTATTATTTTCATATTATTTTAATTTTATTGGTAAAAAGCAAAGAAAGACTAAATTTGATCCCTTAATTTTCAATGTTTCTAAATTGTTATTAGCTTATCTTTTCATCCCAAAAAATGTTTCATTCCAAGATATTAAAGATGATGCAGCAGCTTGGGCAAGTGAACATGGTTTAATTGAACATGCTTCAATTTTGCAAATTATTAATGCTCATTTGGTTCACAATACAATCACATTAAGTTTAGTGTTGGGTAATATTCCATTCATTATTTCTGGTGTTGGTATTTTAGTTGCACTTTACGTTGCAAGTATCTAAACTGGAATGAATACATTGTGAATGAAAGTTCATGTGACTTTCCAAAAATGAAAACGAAACAATTTTTTTATCTTCAAGACAATTAAATTTATATTATCAAGACTTTTTTTTTTCATTATTCTTATTCTTATTACCAATACTTTTTGTCCTTTTTTTTACAAATACTTGATGGATTCCATTCTTTATGTGTGTTTTATACTCTACTTCTTTTTTTTATATTGTTAGATGTGTGTATTATTATATCAAATATAATTTCAATGTTATGTGAAGGACATGACATGTCGAGTGTAGCTCTCTACGTCGTGGATCATATTATCGACCACAACTGGATCAAAGTACGACGTCGTAGTTCAATTAAATTAACTCCAAGCGTTATTAAAGTCGTTAACTCATTATATTAACGGGTATATATAGCTAGTGACGTTCATTGATAATATTGAAAAGTTGACCACCATATTTGATAGGTATGTACCATGTACTATATAATTCAATGGTTTGACACATCATCAATATTGATAATTGTATAGATCCAATCGATGATCATGGCATTCAAAACTACTTAAGTGTCATTGATAACTTACTCCATTTCTCATATCCAGCTGAATGATCTGGTGTTAGTTGGTCTATAGTTACTAGTTACTAGTGATAAGTAACAGCTCAATGTGTCACTAATGTGATCGACAAGCTCATCGACTTCAATCAATCACAGCCAACAGAAATTTTTTAATAGGATCAGTAATATCTACAATAAATCAAACTTCACTTCTTTAAAAACTAAAATAAAATGAATCTTTTTTTTGTATTAATACTTATTAATAAAAAAACTAGAGAAGAAGATGGGCAAAAATAAATGTGATGATAATAATATAAATAAACAAATTTGATTTTGTTTTCCATTTCCCCCAACTTGATAAATAATCAAAAAACTATGAATTAATATTCAACAACTAAAAACTTTTTAAAAAATGGGATTCATAAAAAAATCTGAACTTAATCGATCTCTTTGAAAAAAAGAAGTAACAACTACCATTGGAAAAAAAGTTTTTTATAATAAAACACAACAATCAAAAAATATCAAATTAAAGAAGAAAAAAAAACAAAACACAAACAGTATACTCTTTCTTTTCTTTCCTTGTTTCAATTCAACCAGTTTATTTTGGAGCTTCTTTGAAAGAAATAGCAGCTTCTTCACCCATAGCTGAAATGATGGTAACTAATAAATCTTTACCTTCATCAAAAGCAGATTGGATGTTGTCACCTAATTCACCTTCTGGGGCACGGACATCATCTTTGGTTTCACCATCTGGGGTCATCAAGTTTAAGAACCCATCATCAATATCTAATAATTGGAATTCAGTTCTTCTAACAAATGGAACTTCCATGTTATGGGTAGATGGTGATAAATCTTCCAATTTTTTTTGGGTGAAGATATCAATGGCGACTAAATGGACTTTAGCGTGACCATGCTTACCAGTCTTGGAGGTAGACATATCAACAATTTTACATGGTCTGTTTTTAATAACAACAAAACCATTTTTTCTTAAAGCAGAACATTGTTGTGGGTAAGTTAATGATGAACCGGCATCAGCGGTTTCGAAAACGTGCTAAATAGATTGTTAGTATTTCCATTCATTGGAGCAGATCATCATCATTTAGTGTTTAATGGATTGTGTGATTAATCTTGCTGTTGTTGTTGTTGATTATTGCCATCACTGAAAAAAAAATTTCATCTAGAAAAACTTCTCTATGAAGAAACCCTATGAAAATATCAACACAATCCATCAACCACTGCAAATTCCCAACTGATTTGTAAAAACCAGTCAGATGAGGTGATGCCCAGGTGCACATACATCTTCTTCAGCCATTTTGAATATAAAGAATTAAAAGAATTGGTGGATACAAATTTCAGAGAAGGATAAGTTTTTAAAGAAAAGAAATCGACTTTTTTTTTTGTCGACAATTCGAATTTTTTTTTTTTTTTAAATTTTTTTTTTTACGTTGGGACAGGCGTAAAACTGAGCACGGCGATGCGGTGAGGGAAGGGTAAATGTGGGCACTGGGCTTTAGAGAAGGTGAAGAGCAAGAGCCAATGAATAGAGGGTTAAAAGTAATGGTAGAGAATTAGGTAGAGTTATGGTGATGAGAAGGTGTGGTTATGGTATTGATTGGTGGTTGGTGTTGTCGTTGTGTTCTGTTGTGGTCAGAGTTATCGGGCTCGTGACCATCAATTGATGGATCATATAGCTAATAAACGAACATACGAGTGTCGTGAATGAGCCAATGAAATGGATTCACTTTGGAAAGAGTAGTCACAAAGTTGGTGATGGTGGTGGTAGTGATAGTGGTATTGGTTGTGATGATATTCGTTTATGCTCATGGGCCCTAATGTTATTTATGTGTCTGATTAAATAATACTCTTGGTGATGAGCTGTTGAAAAATTAAAGGCTTGTTGAAGGTTTTCATGGTGCTCCAGTTGACACATTCGGTGATCCAGGTGATGTGACAGACAAGTATAATAGAGAAGTGCAACTACTTCCAAATGGCTTTTAAGTCATAAAGTAATATTTGAGATCGTACCTTATTGTCTTGAGACCTTTGAACAGATGTCAAATTGTGGAGTTGGTGTTTCTCCATGAAGTTTGAACTATCCAAATCAACTTGAATCAATTATACAGCCTTAGATACCATTAAGATAAAGAATTACTACCATCAAATAAGAACCACCAGACTACTGAAATCTATACTATATCAACGGCTCCTTGCACTTTGATCTTTGCTCTTTATGCCTCATCAAACTCATCATGGAAAATTCTATGATCTGTTTGGTGTTTGGGTGTAAGTCAAGAGCTTCATCATCATCTTCTTCAATTTATACAAAACTACAATCACTTCATCATTATTTCATATTGTATTCAAAACTTAAACATCCAAATCATTACATGGCCATGAAATTCTAGTGAATTCATGTAAATGTTGATACAACAAGAATGTAATACCAGGTTGGAAATTAATATCAATACCATCATTTGCATCATTATTTGAAGCACCTTTGAAAACAACATTTTCTTTCAATTGTGGTAATAGAACTTTAGTAATTTGGAATCTTAGACCAGAATGTGTATATTCTAAAACATTTGGAATATTTGGTGGTAATCTTGGAACAATATCAGTTTCTTGATAAACTCTTGAATATGAAGGAATTGGTAAATCACCACCTTCTCCAACAATTTTAGCATTTGCTTCAGTTTGGAAAATTTCATCAACCCATTTATTAAAACTTGGATTACCAACTCTTAATGAAGCATATGTGATTAATAAAGGTTCATAACCTTGTAATTTAAATTCCACACCACCTAATAAAGCATACCCACCACCTAATGAATGTCCAGTAACTGTTAACTCATAACCTTTTTGTAAATAAGGATCAGCAGTTTCATAAACATCTTGAATAAACTTCATAAATGCAACATAAACACCACAATGAACTAAACAATCTTCACAAACGGTTTCATTATCAGCCTTGGACAAAATTGCAGATCTTAATTGATCATGATTTGAAATATTTGCAAATTCTTCATACTTTAAATTATTTTTCAAAATTGGTGCATATGGACATTGGAAGGCAGTTATATCAGTGACGAAATCTCCTGGTGATAAACTTCCCCTGAAAACTGCATAAACTTTCTTGGTTTCATCATTAATTGCAACATAAGAATCTCCACTAATCTCTTGTTCCAAGAAATTTGGACGAACAACTTCTGCAATTTGAGTTGATGATTGATTTGTAGCATCACAAAAATCAATATCTGGACATGCTTTACCTAAAGGACCATCTTGGAAATAAGGCTCAACTGAACAATAGGCGATTTTGGCATAATGGGCAATCTCAACAAGTTTGTTATAAACTGAATCGCTAAACCCAAAGACAGAAGTGAAGATGAATAGAAAAGTGAATAATGTTTGGACTTTCATTGTTGTTTGATGTTGGGGGAAATCATCCTAAGTTGGAAGTCAAGATTCAAGGATTCTGGCAGGATATTTATAATCTTTTGAAGAATGGATCTGTTTTGCAAATGGGGTCTTTCTGTTTATACTCCAGTGAGACATGTAGCTGATCTATGTTTGTAAAGTACGTAATATTTTGGTTGTAGTTATATTGGGTTGTACCAAATGACAGCTATTCTCAACCTAATTTAACCCAAACCACTTGGACATCTTCATAACCTGTTTACAGTGCCTAACATGACTGAATTCTGAATGATTCTCATTGGCTCTTTGGGTGCTTCTAAATAATGTAAGTTGAAGCGCCAAAATGTCTCTTCATTCTTCCCCGTTGACAGCGCGAGCTTAAAATTTCATCTTTTTTGGCAGGTGAAGAGATTCAGAAAATGGATTGATAATAACAAGATCCAGAGATTTGGAGAGAGTTGTATAGAGATGTGTTATGATGAGGATTTAATGTGGATTGTGTCAAGGATCATGGGATTCTCTGTTCAGCCCTGAAGACCATCAACGAAGATCCGTAGAACGTCACGGTTGTTTGGTTTGATCCGTAAACATTGAAATGATCTTCTATTGATGTTGACCCGTGGCTATAGGAACTGTCAATCTTGTTTACTTCAGAGTTCCAAAGGTCATACAGCTTGATGGTGTTCTCGATGTATGGCTTCTTAAATACGTGAACAATTCCAATATGTTTGAAACAAAAACAACTCAGAATGAAATGGGGTCCTACAGCTGGAATTGAATAGCACCCAAATTATATGATAGGCATATACAATTTGTACTGAGTTTAAAATGGCATTCCTCATGTCAAAAGTGACCTCAAAAACGCCAGCTACTTCTCTGTTTCTTTGAAGTCCTCCTATATCCCTGATCATTTTAGCACGTACTGTACGGCCTATAACAGCTAGACATTAAATACGCACTATTGAATTCTAAGGCATATCAGTCATGAATTCTAGAGTATCTAGTGATTGTTTTAATCTGAAGAGTCATTATTGGTACCAATTAGTTTGGTTAGTAGATGATTGAAAGGTACAATTTCATCAAGTAAACCTCAAAATCACCAAACCATACGGTCTTCTCCAGAATAAGTGCTTGGGTATTAGCTCTTGTACGTCTTGACTACACTGGTTTAATACTTTACTCAAGGTTCTTATGCAAAAAGATGAAGGTACAAATGTTCTTCAGCTGTTGGACGTTAACATTTGTCCCAAGGTAACATCATTACATTCGTTCATAATCAATGTAATATATTGAGATTCTAGATTCTAGATCTATACAAAAAGTTCAAAAGTGGATCAATTAAAAACACCACAATCAATAATCCTCACAAGGCAATGAGAAATTGATAAACATACGCTGATGTGGATACCAAATAGCATCCCATAAAGCACCACGAGAATTTCTATTAATTGAATTGATTTCATCAGTCTCATCAACATCACTTCTATATTTTTTTGGAGGTCCTTTAAACTTGACAACATTTTTAGGTTGTGGTAATTCTATTTTGGTGATTTCAAATTGTAATCCAGAATGTCCATATTCTAAAATAATTGGAATATTTGGTGGTAAATGAGGAACAAAATCAACTGTTTGGAAAACCCTTGAATAAGATGGAATTGGTAAATCACCACCTTTCTCAACAATACTAGCAGCTTTCCCAGTTTCGAAAATATCATCAACCCATTTATTAAAATTTGGATTACCAACCCTTAGTGAACCATAAGTGATTAAAAAAGAACCATACCCTTGAGCTCTAAACTCAGCACCTGTTAATAAAGCATATCCACCACCTAATGAATGTCCAGTAATTGTTAATTCATAACCTTGGTCCAAGAATGGCTTTGCAGTATCAAAGACCCTATTAATAAATTTCATAAATGCAACATATAATCCACAATGAACAAAACAATCTTTACAAACTTTTTGACCTCCACTTTTCCTCAAGATCTTTCTTGATAATTCATCATGATCTTTAATATTTTCAAAATCTTCAAATTTTAAATTATTTTGTAAAACTGGAACATAAGGACATTGGAAAGCTAAGACATCTGTAAGTTTATCACCATCAGTCATCGTACCTCTAAAGATACTATAGATCTTTTTCTTTTCATGATCAACAGTCAAATATGAATATCCACTAATCTCATTCTGTGTTTCATCAGGATTGAAAATTGCTTCAATAGTTGTTGTTGTTTGATTACGACAAAATGTTAAACCAGGACAGGCATCTTCCAGGGGACCTGGTTGGAAAGTAGATTCAACTGAACAGTATGAAGCCTTGCAATAATATGCAGTATCAACTAACTGATCATAAACCGAATCACTAAATCCTAAAACTTCAGTAATGACAAACACTAATGGGATAATAACACCAATAAACATCTTTGATGGATACTAGACTGGATTGTACAGCTTGCAAGACCATCATTTTAACCAGTATTTATAGTCAAATAGTTCAAATCAGCGGAGTTTCCCTCGTATTGGTGAATAGGACCCTTGATGAATTCTTGGTGTATACTAATCTCGTACTTTAGCGAAAAAAGAACATTTGGTCAAGTCCCTTGGTGATTGGGTTCAGCTTTGGTAAACCTTATTCAAGATGATGAGTACTAACAAGATAGCAGACAGACCAGTGGCCTCTTTGATTGAGCATTTTGGTTGTAACTTTGAAGTGATAATTAATGCTGGCTTTTGGTGTGATAATTTCGCGAAAATTGCAAACTTCTAGTGTGAGAGGTTTGAAAGACACCTTTTTATAGCACTTTACCATAACAGATTTAATTATGTAAAACAACACAGATTGGGTTTAACCTGTACTGAATATCATTTATTTGACAAAATCAAAGCTTTTAAATAAGCAGGGCGTATTATAATGGGCTCTAAACTGTGCATGCTTTGTCAGCATTCATTCAAATATTATGTAAACAGCTTTGTTTATTATGTAAGCTGTGTGGGTCAGATTTTCTCTGCCCCGTTGTTTTCATTCTACGACGCTGCTCAGATTGAACTTTGACACTTGATAAAACATGTATTGAAAGCGTTATAGATGGACCAGCAAAGCAATAAGATAGCCTAGAATTATATCTATTCATCAGAACAGGTATTGGAGAACTCAATAAACATATGAAGGTGTGGATATCCCGAATCATCATCAATATCATCATCTCTGATGGTTTCTTCATTCAATATAGCTTCATCATCTGCAGAACTTGAAGAAGGTCCACCAAATTTGACAACACTTTTTGGATGTGGCAATAAAATTTTTGTTATTTCAAATTGTAATCCTGCATGTTGATATTCAAGCAAAATTGGGATAGATGGTGGTAAAGAAGGTGCAAAATCTGCTGTTTGGAAGACTCTAGAGTATGAAGGATATGGTAAATCACCACCAGCTTGGACAATTTCAAGAGCTTGTTCATTTGCAAATATTTGATCAACCCATTTGCTAAATTTTGGATTACCAACTTTTAAAGATCCATAAGTTAAAACTAATGGGTTGTAACCTTGGGTTTTGAATTCAACACCAGTTAATAAGGCATAAATACCACCAAGTGAATAACCATCAACAATCAAATTATAGTGTTGATCTAAATATGGAGTTGCGGAATCATAAATTTCTTGAATAAACTTCATGAATTCGAGATATGTCCCACAATGAACATAACAACCTTCACAAACAGTGTCATTCCCACTTTTTTCCAAAATTGCATTTTTTAACCTAGTTGAATCATTTTTGAATTCAGCAAAATCATCATATTTAAACCCATGTTTGATAACAGATGCATAAGGACATTGCGCAAAGCCTAATAATGTTAAATAATCACCCTCGGTATGAGCACCTCTGAAAACACTGTGGACTTTTTTATCAACATCATCAACACTTAGGTATGAAAATCCACTAATTCTATCATCTGTGTCATTTGGGTTAAAGATGGATTATAATGTTGTGTCTGTTTGGTTGAGACAGAAGTCAACTAATGGACAAGCTTGATCTAATGGAGTCCCTGGCTCAAAAGTTGATTGGGATGAGCAATAGGCAAGTGTACAATAATGAGCATTTTCCACTAATAAATCATACACTGAATCACTGAATGCCGTGACATGGATAAATAAAATTGATAAGTAAATGATAATATCAGATTTCATATTGAGGTTTTAGTTGGGCGTGTCTGATATAATGAAGATGGAAGTGGGAAAGCAATATGGAGGTTTTAAGGGTCTTTATATACACAATTCAAGAGAGATCATTTGATGCTTTGGGCCCAGTACTAATTGATGGTGCTGCTTTAACTTTTAGGAGAAGGTTTTGAACCTTATTATAGTTAAAGTATCAATAAAGCATTAGTACATTGAGTCCAGCTTTCTGAGACAATTGCAATATTGAGATCAACGGTGTATAACCACAGAATTCCATGTTGTTGATGACAAGAGGCACGTTGAACTATCTGCATTCAAACTGGCAGGTTGCTTGCGTAGTAATTGGTTTGTCTTGATCAAACCCCATATTAAATATCAGATCAAAGATTTCGCTTTTGATATTCACTTTTCTTGTACGCATCATCTAAGAACAATGATCAAGTTAAAGACCAAGCATTAAAGTGCTGAGAGGCAAGGGATATAAATTGTCAAGCTACTGTGAAGGTTAGATCAATGCCTGATCGTATAATTATATTAAATATTCACACTCTAATGCTATTATAGATTATGGGCGTGTTCACCCTGTCGGTAATTGGCGGAGATAATGCGGTTTCAGACTCTATAACGTACAATGATACAAAAGTTCAAATCAAAGCAATTGTTAGAACTTACAGCTAATTATAGGGATGGGTCCTCATGGCGAAGAGTTCATTAAAAGACTTCTAAGTTGTAGTACATCTTCCGGATCCATAATGTTCGATAGACAAGTGTCAAGAGATCTCGTCCATCTCATTCTCATCATGACGACATATTAAATCAGGTTCAAGATCTGTTGCCTCAAAATTGATCAAAAACAAACACCTGAAATTTGATCCCATCACATTCAAACGTTAATTAGTAAACGAAGGCGCAACTCAGTCTACAACTATCATGTCATAAATCTCATTGATCATTCTGAGTACTATTTAGCACCAGCTCTCAATAATTTTAAATCTTCATCTATCATCTCAGACGTTAATTCATCTGGTGAAACATAATGCTTCATAATCTTATTCATAGCAGCATTATTATCTCTATACCCTTCTCTATCTCTTGCTTCTCTGACTGCTCTTGAACTGGTAGTTGTTCTACCGTTATTTCCACCATTTTGATCTTTTTTACTATCAGTATCTGAATTGACTGGCGTCGATATTGTTAAATTGATCTTTGTACGTGTTTCATCATTTGTCACTAACTGAAATTCATCATTTGTTAATATTGGAGCAAAACCTTCAATAATAGATGACATTATTGTGTTGTTTAATTTCGATTTTGCACTTTGAGGCTTCTTAATTTTCGATTTTCTTGATGGACGACCTGGACCTCTTTTAATCACCACAGCAGAGTTTGTTGACGTGAATCCAGTATCTGTTTCGGAGCTGTCTTGAGTTTGTGGATCTTGAAGTTCTTGTGGAATCGTTAGATGATCATGATCACTTTCTGTTGCTAATGCTTCATTATCAGGTTGAGGAAAGGATTCTAATTGATGTGGTTGTGGTTCTTGTCGAAATCCAGTGTAAAATTTCTCTGCACGTGTAGAGCTGATATCTGTATACTCTCTGTCAAGATTGTTTAACAGGTTTTTTTGCTTTATAAAGAATTGTTTCAACCTCTCAAGTTTATCAATTAACAACTCATTAGTTGATCTGTAGATTTCATTTGACTGCTTATAATAATTCTTCAAATTCTCATTTCTTCTATACCTTCTCCAATTTTTCAATCTTGTCAATTCAAAATCACGTTTCTCCACGAGATCTTGTTCCTGCTCAAAAAACTCATCATCATTGTATAATTCAGCAACTTCAGTATTTGGGTTCTTTGGTCTTGATAATAAGTCCAATTTTTTCTGCAGATGTAACCTCTGGTTATGATAAATAGCATCTCTATTTTGTTCTTTGAACTTGTACAATTCACTGTAATTTTCAAACATTTCCACTCGTCTCTTTTCACGATTATTACCATTAGCAAAAATTATATCAGCGTTTGAATGTTTAGTGTTTGGAGCGCCTAACACAACCTCATTTTCATTACCCAAAATTCTATGGTTATCCACGTCTCTAGGTTTTTCATCATCTTTATCATCTCTTGCATCACTCTCTATAGGAACTAGAGTTTTATCTTGATTGGTGGTAACACGGTGTATGAACACTCTTTGGAATGCTTGGGTCTTCTTCACTTGTGGTGCTGGCTGTGGTGGAGCATTCGCTTTATCTTTGAGTGTACTCAAAAGTAGAGCTCCTTGAGCTATCTCACTTTCTTGATCCTGTTGAGAAGGTGCTTGTTGAGGAAACATGCTGTTGTAATTGTAGTTATTATACTGAGGTGGATAATAGCCGTATTGTTGTTGTTGCTGCTGCTGCTGTTGTTGTTGAATATTGTTTGGAAGATAGTATGTCTGCGACATGTCATTCGAAGTACGGCTTCTTTTCTTTGGAGGCATCTTTGACGGATTGATATTGATGAGCAGTAATAACGAACCAAAAGAAGTAGTTGGTGATGTTTCGGTGTTTTTTTGAGCTCAAGATCTTCGCGAACTCGCAATATAAAAAACGCATTCGCGAACAGCCAAAGTTTCAGCATCCAGAAAATCAAAGGAGTCAAAAAAACAACAACACGTCGTTAACCAACAACAACAACAACACCGTCAACAACATCATCAACAGCAATCACAATGGCTAAGCCTAAAGCATCTCCTGCTAAAAGTGATCTTGAACATCCTTCCATTGAGTCATACAAACCAGGTCAATTGGTACTATCAAAGGCAAGAAACTATCCTCCTTGGCCAGCGGTCGTAAGTGAACTCAACAACAAACAAATAAGAAAATATTTACTAACTAACCCGTTTAGGTTATCCCTCTAGCATACTGTCCTAAAGATGTCAAAAAAAAGTTTAAAAGGGATGCCATTCTTGTCAAATATCTAAATGATCCAACTTGGTATTGGAATAGTTACAAAACAATCTCCCCTTTGACTAGAGAAATGCTTCAAGACTTTAGAGCAGAATCCAAAGCTGGGACTCATATGAGCTCTGATGACCCTGTTATGGAAAAGGCATTCAGTGATGCTGTTGCTTACCAGGCTTTGAACTCTAAAGCTTTGGAGAAATTGCTAAGGGAAAATAATCTTTTGTCCAAAGATGAAGAATATATTGAATATGAGAGTTGGCTTGAAGAAAAGAAAAAACCGGAAACTGTTAAAAAATCTGGTAGAAAGAGCTCGGTGGCAATGAGTAAAGAGTCTACAGAGGAACCACCAAGGAAGAAGAAGGTAAAGCAACCCACACCAGAGAAGAAGAAACCAACGTTCGAAGAATTAGCAAATAGAGCCGTTTGGTTCAGATCTAAACTACAAAGAGGATTAATACAAAGAAGAACAGACCCAACAGAAGCTGAATTGTCAAGTATTTCTAATGTTTTCAAAGATTTGGAGAATTTTAGTGATTCGATAAATTCAGATTTATTAAAAGTTTCAAAAATTCACAAGGTGCTGAAAGCTATAACAAGGGTAGAAACTTTGAAGAGACCTGATGATTACAAGTTCCATGATAGAAGTATTGACCTAATTCTTAAGTGGGAACCATATATTGCAGAGCTAAAGAGTGAAAAATCTAATGGTGATTTGAACGATACTCCAAATTCAACATTTGAAGTTCATGATCATAGTAGTAGTCCTAAAAAAGAAAATGGTGACAAGAAAGAGATTTTGAAAGAGGAAGGGAATGGAAATGAAGCTGAAAAAACATTACCAAAAGGTGAGGTCAAGGAGGAATCAACAGATAAGTCTAAAGAGACTAAGGAGGACTCAAAACAGCAAATAAATGAGAAGTCAAAAGAAGAAGTTAAGGAAGAATCCAATGAATTAGCTAAAGAAGCTTTGAATGAACAAGAGGAGAAGAAGGAAGGTGGTGAAGCTATTGCAGAAACAGATGGTAATGAATCTAATAAACCAGTGGAATCTGGGGCTTAGATGGAATTTTAATATTTAATGTTTTTTCCAATAGATTTTGAAGCAGACCAAACCAACTTGAATAATTTCAATAATCTACACTCTAATTTGACAACAATAGTCCCCTATAAATAGTTGGTCTCTACGTTTGTTTTATTCGTATGCCCATTTTAATTCATATTCAACCCTTGCTAGTTGAGTTTTATTGGTTTATGAAGTATATTCACTACTAATTCGTAGTTGTTGGTCAATGCTGATTATTGTCAATGTAATTAATTCAAAGCATATTCCAATTTATAGTTTCAGTATACCGTTGATTATAAGGCTTGGCTATACTGCTCCCCAGTATTAAGTACAATCATGATCTCGATTCGATTCATATCCATTCCGCAAATTATGGATGTACAGTAAGCCTATAACTCTAATCAATTAGTAAAACGTACCTCTATATGGATTTCAGCCTCCACCGTAATCAACTTTGCCCATCTGTATAACCAGCGCCAAATTACGACTTATAACTAAAGTTGCTACTTTTCCTTGCAGCATCTCAAAGTTTAGTCGATCAATATCGCTAATGTTATTGTTCATTGTTCTAGGTTTTATCAGTTAGACGTTTTTCTCTTTGACAGCCACTCAGCCTCCAAACTTCATATAATATTGGGAATATTAGAATACTGGAATCAAACACCAAACAAGCATTTAATCCGGCAACTGACTAGACACAAGATATACAAATCAGCATCTATAGTTTTCAGCCTTCTTGATGACAAATTAACAGTAGTATCTGAGATTGAGTGAGGTTGTGTTCTTGATAGTAGTTGACCTCCAATATTATTTACGAGAAGTGATCATTAATATCTGTACACCAAGCTCTTCAAAGAAGACCCATACAGTCCCTAGCTCAAGCCAGAAGCCCAAGAAAGTACCACATCAACATCAACCAGCTCCTTGCTCCAAAGTCTCTTCATCTCTAGTTTTTCAATGCTTTCTCAGCTCAACGTTTATTGTTCTTTTGAGACGTCTGTCAAACCGCCATGTGCAACAAGGTTTTGTTGTGGCCCTTGCGAAATTCCAAATTAATTTGTGGGACAAGAAACTTGAATCATGAAAAGAAATCCATCATCAATCACCACAATCTACAAAGCCCAACTCCCCCATATAAAAAGCCATCGTTTGTGCTTCCGATTTGAATATTTAAAGGGAAGTTTTCCTTGCTTCAAAGCACAAAGAACTTGTCAAGCAGATATTATTGATAGAAAGGAGAAGTCGAGACAGAAGTTCCCATATTCTTCGTTATCGCTACATTTTTTAGTGCTATTTAAATACCCGAAATCCATTCAGCTGAACATCCATCAACAAAACCAACATGTCAACGCAAAACAATAACACATCTGCCACATCCCAGCCTTCATCCATCTTATTCTTCATCGCAGTGGCGATCGGGGTCGTTATCGCTTTGGTTTTCATCTTCTTTTCAATGAGATATTATGTCCGTACAAGGTTAGGGATCTATGCCACTGCTAGATTAACAACAACCTCAAACAATGGTGGAATAGTATTGCTGACTGGTGATTTCCCCATGCACAGCTTCAATGGATATTCAGGTGATCTACCTAATCAGTTGAGAAGAAGGAATAGAAGAAGAAAATATTTGAAGAAAAGAAGATTGACTGAGGAGGAAGTTGATCATTTATTCCCTGTTAGAACTTATCAAGATTGGCTAGACGGTGGTGCTGAGAGAGATGCTGATCAGCGTGAAATCCATGTTATGTTGAAAGAGGAAAATGATGATGAAGTTGTTGAGCAACAACAAGACGAACAAACACCAGAACCTCAAAATCAAACTCAAGACGGCTCAACTGCCGATGGTAGAACAATAACAGCAACTGACACTATAGCTACTAGTGATACACCAGCTATTAAGGTCAATACCCCTGATCATGACACCGGATCAACATACCATGATGCTCTAGATCAACCAGAACAAGTGGATTTAGGAACTCCTTATGAACCTCATTATGATTCAGGAACATGTGCCATCTGTATAGATACATTTGAACCTGAAGATCCAGTTCGTGGGTTAATCTGTGGCCATGTTTTCCATCAAGAATGTTTAGATCCGTGGCTTACAAAGAGAAAAGCATGTTGTCCAATGTGTAAACGTGATTATTACCTCAAGGATGAATCTGATGAACAACAAGCTCAAGGTAATGGTGCAGAACCTGAAAATCAAATTGATGATTTAGATTCCATCAATCAATTCACTGAACTGCAATACACTACATTGAATGAACGTGTTACAGAGATCTTGAATAGACACCCAGATCTTGAACAAATCGCCACTGAAAAAATCAAAAAATATTTGAAGTTCAAATGGAGAGTATTTTGGCTTATCATGGGGATTTCCAAGTCAGATTTAGTTAATTCTGCTATTGTCAATGAAGATCAAAGATTAAGAGAAGAAGATCCGACTTATGATGTGATTAATGCTAATGAAGTTATTAATAATGGTAATAACGATGGCAATGCTAATGAAGCTAATAATAATGATGATAATAATGAAGGTAATCGTGATGGTGCTGGTGTCCAAACAGTTGAAAACTCTCAAGAAATTAGAGATCGTGTTGAAAGAATGGTTTAATGTGTATAATGGGTTAAGTTTTTTGTTGTTACTTTTGAAGTTTAGTATTGTAAGATATGAATAAAAATATGATAGCTAATAATCGACAGTCTATACACTAGCTAATGTGATCCATAATCACTGTCAGGGGAAAGGGCATCTTCAATATCTAAAAGTTTGCTATCGTCCAAAGCAAATAAATTGTTTAATTGATTGTCATGGACTTCAGAACCTTCAATAGCATTATTGAAGTCGATAATTCGAGCGTTATCATTTATATCCTCAATAATATCACACAGTGACAAATCACAATGCGCAATATTTCAGCTGTGTAGTTCCTCTATTTCATCTTGCAATTGACTCAGATGTTTTGCTTCCAAATCACCATCACTTTTTATATATTCAAAAGCGATATAGAAACCATAAAATGAGCTAAGGTATTCCCCTGAAACCATTGACCCATATGAAATCATTTTTGGAAAGTTGATTTCTCTTTTAGTCATTGTTGAATCCGAATGGACACTGTTGTTGGGAATTGATATAGTTTGGTTTATCTTCACTTCACTTTCATAATCATCTGAAAGAATGTCATCAATAAAAGCCTCATCAGTACGGAAGTAGTCACTGTATCTTTCTATGTCATTTCGCAAGAAATATACCGATTTTAGATGGTTTATGCTGTAAAGCTCCAAAAAAATATCATAGTCATCTTCAGCTTCACCTTCACCTTGAAAATTGATCGATATGTCCTTATTTCGATTCATAAGAATCTGTTCAAATGTGGTTCGCTTCAAGAGAATGATTTGTGTTAACTTTTCAAAGCTATCTTGAATGACCTTATAATCTTTGAAACCAGTTGGAAAATTTAGGGTAATATTTTCTCCCCCAGTTGATGAGCTTGCCACGGCCGAAGCAGAATTTGAACAGGTTCCATTAGTGTATTGTTTATCAATTTGTTTATTGCAGCTTTTGGTTAGTTCCATGTCATTCACTATCTTTTTCAGCTTTTCTGCCGAAGCATCTACCAATTCCTCAGCTGTATATCTGGCACCTTTACTCATGATGTGTTCCATCTTCTCTTTTCCTCCTTTTGAATTTGAGCCACATAATAACTTCTTTTTGGACAGAAATAGTAACAGGCCAAACAAGTGACTGGTAGTAATATCGTTTGGATTGAAGAGTGGTCTGTGCTTTTCATCAATCCCATTGAATGTCATAAATTTGTACACTTTTTGTTTGAAGCAGACCTTATCATGACCACAGTCTCTCTCACTATTATCTATAGCACAGTCATCAACTATGAAAAAGAAGAAGCATATTCCGTCAGTGATACATCCGTAATCCATTCCTAGAAAGTCACAATATTTCATCGACTGACGAAAAATATCACTTATTTCCATATCCTTTTCAAATTGAATTGGTTTCCCGATTGTATCTAGAAAGACAAAGGGCCTTTCGACATCTATAACAAGTTCAACTTCAGGTTCTTGTGAATTCTCATCATCTGCTAAATTTAAATTATATCCACGATATGTGCTAGGAGTAGTATTAATGAATGAAAAATCTGGAGTGATAAGTTCAACATTACTCCTCAATCTTATATCAGATGAACGCTCTGGTTTTGATATTCTTGCAAACGAAAAATGCCCACAACATTCAAGAGCATTTTTATTGCTTGTAGTGTCATAATCCCGAATCATCTCGAAGAATTCTGTTATTGGCGCAATTATTTGGCGTCTTAATAAGTCTTCTATGGCTGCTTTATTTGTTTGCCTACCAATTTTATATCCATCTTTAATATTCTTCAAAGATTCGGAAATGCAGCGTATAACTATTCTGTCTGGAATATTTTTTATCACTTCACTTATGTAGCGTTCCATATCTTCTGTTTTCTTCTGCACAAAACTTTTGGGAATATCAGTAGTAATGGGATGTATTGATTTGATATCGGCCATTGTTTTTGATTTACTTGATCTGGATGCTGTTCTGTTGTTGCGTGGTATTGATCTTGAGCTTGATATAGATGAACTATTAGAGCCACTAGCAGCGCCGGAAATTTCATTGGAATGAGAAGTCCCTGGAATTGACAAAACCGTATGTAACGGTGGCAACACAAAAAGGATCTTGTAAATGTGAGGAATCACTGATTTATACTGACTCCTCATCTCTGGATTCATTGAAAATGCTATTATAAAATTTATAAGCAGATCATATGTGTAATAATTAATTCTGACGGGCGTCACTTCACCAATTTGGAAGAATCTGTAGAATTTGATTTCATTCACCGGTTTTATAATCTCGCTTGTCATTGAAATGAAAAGAACTCTACCCTCTTCTGAACTTCTGTCGTAATCGTCAGCCTCCCTATCATCGACAAATGGCGAAAAGTCAATGGTAATTTCGTCATCTAAATTCTCATTTGGTGTGATTTGTGATTCTAGTGATTCTCTTAAAGAGAGCTCTATCTCTCCAATCAATTGAGAGCTCATTGGGAATAATGTGAGGTTTGTAGCACACAAGTAATTATTAACAAAGAAATCTATGAGAAGGCAAAAATGATCATTTTTGATTTGACCCTAGAAAAGTATTCGCGAGTATTAGCGAGAATATTAGTTAATTATTGTCACGTCGAATATGGCTGAAATAAAACTATGATTTGAGATCATTTCATTGTCGGAATACAAAGAAAACGGTACAGATAGTTGATAACTCAATTACATTTTTGATTCCATAAAAAGATCTATTTTACATAAACAAAATTATATTCGAATCCAACCTTGAGAACTCATAACTGATAGATTTCATTGTTCCAATCGTTTTGAACCTTCCGGCCTTTTTAATTCTTACCAACAACTTCCCACTCACCTTCTTCACCGCCACTAATATTCAATTTTGAGGTCGCGTTTTCCAAATCTGTGACAGCAGCTTCTTTCTTTGGTTCATCTTCTTTTTTTTCTGTAGCTTCTTCTTCATCTTCATCATCTTCATTGGCTAAAACAGAAAATGCAGATTTAACAACAGCTGGTTTACTAGAAGCTTCTTCCTCTTTAGCAGCAGCAGTTTGTTGTTGTTGTCTTCTACCACCGGTTGGTTGACCACCACGAGTCCAAACATCAACCTCATCAGCAGCAGTTTTCTTATTATATTTGTTACTCTGGCTTTGACTATTACTGTTATTTCTTGATGATCTTGAAGAATTGGTGTTTCCACTAGTTGATCTAGCAGCTCCCCAGTCTAATTCTGGTTCTTCTTTCTTTGGTCTTCTTTCTGGTCTTGGAGCAGGAGCTGCTGCACCTCTTGCTGACCCCCAATCTAAAGCTGGTTCTTCACGACGTGGTTTTCTTTCTCTTGGTTCACCTCTTGGCTCATTGCCTTCAAAACCTTTTGGTTCGCCTCTTGGGCCTGTTCTAGCTGCACCCCAATCCAAGTTTGGTTCTTCTCTTCTTGGTCTTCTTTCTGGTCTATCTGATCTTGGAGCAGCTGAGCCTCTAGCTGAACCCCAGTCTAAATCTGGGTCTTCTCTTCTTGGTCTTCTTTCACCTCTGAAGTCATCATCCCTTGGTGGTAATGGACCAGATCTAGCTGCACCCCAATCTAAGTCAGCATCACCACCGAATCCACCTCTTGATCTACCGAATCCTTCTTTTTCTGGAGCAGCAACGTTGACATAAACACGACGACCAAGCATTTCTGTACCTGATAATTCCAAAGCTTTAACTAATTGATCTCTTTCTTCGAAATTAACGAAGGCAAAACCTTTCACTCTTGAACTATCATTGAAATCTCTTGGAACAACTAATTTAGAAGTAGCACCTTGACCGACAACACCTTCTAGCCATTCGGTAACGATTTCTTCATTAGCATCCCATGGTAAGTTGTTTATTCTTGCACGATATGGTGGAGCATCAGGAACTGGATATTCAACATGATCTCTTCTTTCAGATCCACCAAATGCTGGATCATTAAAGTTTGGACCAGGGATTCCTGAATCGGTTTTATGAGATTGAACTGGAATTGAAATAGAACTGAAATCAACATCATCATCAGCCCATGAGCTTCCTCCGAATGTATCATCTGATAAGAAGGACGCTAAGTCCATTTTCTTCCCTTTTGGTGCTATTCAAATTCAATCATGTTAGTTCCTTGATCATTTTAATGGTCTATACCACTCTGTCATGAATACTTACGCATTTTTCAGTGTAATATGTTCTTTCAATCTCCTCTAGGTAATAAGACCAATGTCTAATTTAATAAAAAGCACAATTGAAAGTGTCAAACAATTAACGTAGATTTTATCTATGCCTATTCATTTTACACTAATTTTTCCAATAAAAATTTTCTGTTGTTGAGAAAAAATTAGTTCGCGAAAATATTACGTAATTTTATTGATGAGATTATGTCAGTTCAAATGTAGAGTTTTTGCTGGAAGAAGCGGTTTTAAAAAGTGTTATAAGCTTTTTGCATAGAATTTGGCATTCAACATCCTCCACAATTGACTTATATATTCAAATTCAACGTTCTGGCTACTTGGTCGATCTAAATATTCAACAAAAGAAATTATTCAGGGTCTCACCTGCTTAAAAACTGCTCTGAGCTTACATTTAATCTTCAATCGGTTGTTTACATTTGCCTACAAGCCGTGTTTTTAAAAGACAATCAGCATTCAGACAACAGCAAAGCATTGTTTTTTTTTCAGTCAATTCTTCAACTGATATATTGATGATAAACTGAGGGCTGCTATGAGGGTTGATCCTACACAAGTGGTTAAGGCAATACAGTCTTCACGTCTGATACAATTCCTTATTATTATTGTGTTTAGCGCAATACTAATCCGAGTCTTGATATGCAGCTTATTTGGTGTTTCTGTGAGGTCTATAAACCCATTCCTTTTGAAAATATCAAGGTTAGCAATCAACACAGAGAAAATCAGCGTCAAAATACGAGCTATAAGGTTCAACTTTTCAATATTTTCCAAAACAAAATTCTCTATTATTTTAGAAGATGTTGACATAAAGGTAAAGTCACATAATAGTGGTCATGAAGAACAAGACTTGGAGAATCAAATTAAAGAGCTAAAGCATCAAGACCCCAAAGATTTGGATCCTGATAATCCTTTCCACATTTTCCCCCAAAATTGGTTTTTGAAGAAAGCGCTCCAAATGTATCTATTGTACTTCAGATTTGTTGGGTTTAAGTTTATCAACCTTTCAATTGATATTGAAAGTTTAGGAATGGTGCTGAGTAATGAAAATGTCATTACTGAAGTTTCATTGAAGCATCGTCACCCAAGGTCTAAGTTTTCAGCAACTTTAAGATTTTTCCATCAAGCAATTAATGATATAGAAATCTTTGATGCGTTCACAATGGAAGTTGGAGGCCAGCTGAATTTCAATAATGGTGAAATATCTAGATTAAATCTAGGCGTTGAACTTAGAAACCTTTCATTACCTGTGCTTTCACTAATAAAGACATTACCTAAAGATTTTCATAGGAAAAAATCAACAAATCCTCCAATTCATGATCACGATTTTTATTTGGCTAGACTTAATGAAAAGCTATTTTTTTATTGTTTCTTCATAAAGTTGATTGAAAAAATTGATATTGCTTTTCACAACGTCTCGGTTAATGAGATCCCATTGGCTGATGCTGAACAAATCCAAGCTTCCAATTATGATCCTTTAGTTAAGTTTGAATTGAAGGTCAATGCCCTTGCATTCAATATCCAAAGAATGTATTTTGACTCCCCAGGTTACGGATTGAGCTATACATATGAAGATAAGCCATTTCATGTTATTTACAACTTTACTGAAATAAGTTTGGCTATGTGTTCTGTGAATCAGGAGGATTACAAACCGATTCTGACGATCCCCGTCATGAATTTTACAGGATCTTCAAACCTCCTGTTTCAAACTTTAGAAGCTTCAAAGCATCATGCTTACACAGATGGTAAGATTTTGTTAACTGGACACTTATCAGACTTGATTTTTGACACGTCAATTGAAGATATCAAAACTGTCGTTTTGAGCGCTTTGGACTTTATGAAGTGTAAGAAGAAATCACAATTGGGTAGTGAACAAGAAGTTAAAAAAACAAATCTGACTGTGCAAGTATGACGTCTTTCCCTAAACTATGGCCCAAAGTTGAATTAAAATTGAGTATTGAGAATCCCATATTTTTGGTTAAAAGTCCATTGTTACAACAATTTTACAAGATTTTGGTGTTGAAGTTCTCCTTGATCTCAGTTGAGTTCAAAACAACAAGAACTTTAGAAGATGATCAGATGTTCTATTCAACAAGTCAGGTTGTCAATTTGGCCAACACAAAACTTAAGTACATCGATACACATGATGAGCTGGATGAAACTGCTTTGTTTTGGGATGATATTGATTTGAAACAAACTGTTGACTTGGTACCTCAACTTCAAGTTTCCACCTTCTTGATCTCACAATCATCTATTCTTGATCTGTCCAATTTGAAAGTTTTACATGGTATCAACTCATTGATTGGTGAACTATACCAGATGACAAAGCCATTGTTTGACCAATATAAACATGACCTAGTCGCTTGTGGGTGTATTGAAAAAGAACAGCAAAAGGTACAAACACTTGATACTTCTAGTTCTGATGGTGAAATTTGTGATGAAAATACTGTGACAAATGATTCTTTGGCTGACTTGATCCCTCAATGGATCTCTCAAATTGTCTATGTTTCAAATAACACAAGCATAATACTGGGTTCAAGATCATTACTGATACCTAAGGATCTCGTTAAAAATATAGACCCTCTGAGTAAAAATGATTTGATCAATGGTGATTTAAGAAAGATTGCGGTCACAATTGAGAAGTGGTCAATTTCATTACTTTCCCAGGCTGGTAAAATCGAATTAGAGAACACCACATCTTCTAATTCCTCTCTTGAAGATGATGACAAAGGATTATTGGATTCGTTCTCCGATGAAGTTAGTGTTAAAGAAGGTTGGAAGTTGAAATTCGAATCAACGAAGCTTTTGGGTAAAGTTGTTTCGGAGAGTTCGAAAAAGCATGCCTTAGCTGATAAAGTTTTTCTCAAAATACCCATTTGTTCAATTCTTGTTGGTCCCATGGTAGAAGATGTTGAACAACTATCTATTGATTTCAACTTGGAGAAAATTGATATTTTTTATTCAGTGATGACACATTTCATTATTATCTCAAGCTTACATTTGTTGAGAAATACCATTTTTGAATTCTTACAGTACAGTGAAAAATCAGATGTTCCAAAAACACCATCTTCACCTGAAAAGAAAGCAGGTATTGAAGAATTACTTGATCGTGTCCACTTGAACTTTAACATCGATTACTTGGATTTGATATTTGTTGCACCAGACAGAATGAAGCTAAAGTGTGAAGTAAATCGAGCCAGTGCAATTGTTCTGCCCAAGAGTCCGATATTGCTGAACTCACATTATATGAGATTATGTGCTGAATCACCAACAACTCCTGGTTATTGGTCTCGGATTTTGACAGCTGTTAATGGTTCTACACAGGTTAACATCCAAGACATTTTGGCTAATAATGATGAAAACACCTGGTTCAACCTGGCTAATGAGTCATGCCATTTGACAATTCCACATCAATTTATCATTTATAAGGTTTTTGAAAACATATCAGTGATGGCTAAAACTTTGAGACAATTACACCACTCATTGAAATACAACACTGATGAAATTGTTATAAACCCTAAGGCCAAACCTGCTCATAAAATTCCAAGGACTAATTTAAAATCAAACAGACTGCTATTTAGTATGGATGATGATCCATTTGAGGCAGAATTGAACATGATTTTCCAAATTGGTCTTGTTGAGCAAAAGATGCGACTTGAAAAAACTAAAATGTTTGATGCAAGAATATCTGAGGAACTTCAAAACCAAAGACAAAAAGCCCCGAAGTCAGCAACTTTCCCAACTTCAAACATTGGTCATGATGTGAATAGTGATTTGCCAAATATTTCTAACAAAAGAAAGTTTCTCAAAGGTAAGCCAGCAAGATTTTCCTCGTTGCATCACTCTAGTTCAATGGATGCTTTATTTTCTGATCGTCGCGAGAAAAATTCATCAAGCAATAGTTCTGCAAAATTAGCTCCAGACTTCAACAAAATTTTTGATGTGAGACAGAATGCTTTAGAAAAGCTTCACAAAATGAGAGAAGGTTTTTCCAAATCGTGGATTGCTAGAATTAGAGCATACAAGAAAAATCAAGAAAGAGAGTTTCAACAGAATTTCAAATATTTATGGGGAAATTTGAATATGGATCATTTACCTCAAGACTTCAATAAAAAGGTACTGGATTTCGTGACTTCACCTTCGTTATTTATTCTTGCTTTAGAAGATGTTGATTTAAATATCGCTAAACCATCATTTGGCATTGAAGGCATTCCTGATTTCATATACGATGTTGGTAAAGGGAAGCCAAAAGATAGTCAATATTCAACATTGATACCACTTTTTTTTGATCTAAAATTAGGTGAATTACGATGCCATCTGAGAGACTATCCACTGCCTTTCATTTATATGCCAAGGATGACTAAAGCTCAAGATAAGAATTTGTCTGCTGTCAGGATTCATGGTGATGTTGTTATAGGGGAAAATACTATAAAGTCACACAAAGAAGTTAGAGAAGTCTATGTTCCATTAGTTCCAGGGTGTCGCGAATTTGATGAAGATAACCTCTACTCTATTGAAGTTCCAAAGACACTGACATCAATCAAATTTTACACTAAGCTTGATTGGGATTTGAACTCAGCAGATACAACAAAGGTTACATGGGGTACTTCATATCAACCATGTATCCAACAAATCATGCTAAACCTAGATAATTTCACCAAACCTCCAATTGATCCTTCAGAAAAAGTTGGGTTTTGGGATAAGCTGAGAGCAAATTTTCATGCTAGATTTTCTTTTCACTGGAAGCAGAATGGAGGCTTTGATGTTATTTTTAAAGGTTCAAAGAACCCGTATGATATATGTGGTATCGCTTCTGGTTTCTTGTTGGGGTTTAAAGACGGTGTTACATTATCAGTGAATGAAAAAGATGATCCTAGAGAATTTCTGGTTGCAAACTCCAATATTGTTATGTTTGCAGTGCCTAATCATTTAGCTGAGCCATTGCTGGTTTGGTGTAGAGAAACTGAGAAGTCAATATTTTTAGCTAATCAATCTACAAACTTTCAAGGCTCAACGTATGGCTACTACTTCAATGTTGATGAGATCCCAGATGCTGCACAGGTTGATATTATGGCGGAGCATTATCTGGAAAAAGTTGCAATTAAGTTATCAGGAGGTGTTCAATTTAATCTTGCATTCTTCTTTGAAAGAAAAACTGATGATGGTAATGAAAGAACATCCGACTTTATATCTCATGATGAAGTCCTTTTGTGCAACCCTAAGTATGTGGAAGACAGAGATAACTATGATGCCTACTATCAGTTCAGAAGTCACTATATTCATATGGGCTTAACATTGGTTTCGAAGAGTGAAGATGCTTACAATACAATACAATTGACTCCAGCAATGTTTGAACATTTCTTTAAATGGTGGCATATGTTTTCCAACACTTTTCCAGTTCGTCACGGCAAACTATTTGGTCCTGAAAAGGCTACAAAGAAATTTGCCCGACATTTATATACCATCAAGTATCAAGCCATTGCTGATCCATTGTTCATCACACATGTCTATCACGACCATGACCTAAAACGTCAAGACCAAGATAAGCTATCCAGTGTTGGTATCAAGTCCCGTGCATCAAATTTTGTGTTGGATTTACATCAACGTAAAGAGTTAACTTATGAACATAATCCAAAGCTGGATGTTACTAAGAAAATTATGAGGATGGGTTTCAACATTGGTCAAGTTAGTATGACTGATTTAGATATGAGAACTATGAATGGTTTGTTTGAATTGGATAAGGATTTGAACATGGCTAGAAAAAGAGCAACTGGTGAGAAAACCAGTCATAATCACCACGTTGAAGTTTTTGATGGAGATAAGTCATGGTTTGATATTCGTGATTTCACAGAGATCGGTACGTCAACTCTAGATGGTTACAAAAGCTCCGTTCAGATTCACCCATTGATGTTCACTCCAAGCTTTATGTATTTCAAAAGAAATGATCATGGTGATAAATTTCAAATCAATATTGATACTGGTGAACGTATCAGACCGTTTGGCAAAGAAAAATTCCATAATTGTTTATTCTCTGGTCATGATTCCAACAAGGTCCAACAAGATTCATTCACCACTAGAATTGATGAGTTGACTTCGAAGAGGAAAGAAAAACTGGCCCAAGTTGAACAAATGGAAACTACATTTCCACAAACTCCAACAGCACATCGTGATATAAGTCAATTACAGCTTGAAATTAGAAAGTTGAATCACGCTATTCAATTTGTTCGTGACTTAGCTATGGCCAATGAAGCACGTTCGCCAACCGAGGTTATTGAAAATTCCTCTTTTGACTTCAACATTAATGATGATTTTGAACAAAGTCCTTTTAGAAACAAATTTATAATTCATAATATGCTGCTGAAATGGAATGATAAGAATAGAGATGTTGTTTACAAGTATGTTTATTTGTTTGAAATGACTAGTCAATTTTCAAAGTTCATGCAACATAAATCATTGGGACAAATTGAAGATATCATTGAAGCTCAAGCTCGTCGTGCCGAACACTCAAGATTCTCAAGACAAGCAACACATGTTACACAAGCAACATATGAATCTAAAGGGTTGGCTGAAACTGAAACACATCCATATGATAAAAGCGTTAATGAGACACGCGCTTCAGAAAAATTGAAAAATTTTGAAGATGAATTATATGAAATTCCAATTGACTTTTCATACATCACTCAAGAAAATTATTTGTTGAAATTGATTTCTCCTCAAATTCAATTACAGAGTGAAAATAGCAAAGATTCAGCGGTTATGATTGTTGCACCAAATATTGAATTGAAAGTTTTGGCGTTTGATGTAAATGATACTGACAATGAGTACAATGAAAACATTGTTGAACAAAGATTTGGTGCTGTTTTAACAGATGCCAGTGCATTTGTCTTTTATGATGACGACATACAGTCAAGACATAATGTCATCTTTAGTAACTCAAATTATGGATCAACTACATCTTGGCCACCGTGGGTTGGAATTGAATTATGCTATGATGGCGCTTTCTTAAAAAATCACATGTTGATGGAGAAGACATCAGTTGTTCTTCGTTATGATAAACCTGATGAATCATATTTTGTCAATGACAAAGAGAATAGTATAAATAAGATGAGTTGTGATCTTTCACAAGCAGTGTTCAAATGTGATGCTAGACAATATTATTCATTATACACCATGATTATGAGCTTGTTGATCTATAATGAGCCAAGAAATGTTAAATTGAAAGAAAAAGAGTCAAAAATGTTGCTGAGATTAGATGTTAACGATATTTCTAGCTTGAAAGATCGTATTTTGAAATTGCAAGAATCTATAAGACAAATGAAGAAGATTGAAAACAATTTAACTGGAAGAAGAAGTATTTTGGATGATGTTGAAAGAAATGATTTATTGGTTGTATCCACCAAAAAGGAAGAAGCTATGGAGGAAGTTTATTTGTTGATGCATGTTGCATTATTAGGCGGTCGTCAAGCTAAAGCTTCAGATGATTATTTAGAATGGGACATTCGTGCAGATGATATCAAACTACACATGTTAGATGATGAAAGATTACCATTCTTGGATGTCCTCTTGACCAATTCACATTTCAAAAGAGTTGAAGGATCTGATCGTTCCAATCGTAATATTGTTGTTATTGAAACTGTTGAGGTTCTCAATTTAGAAAAAGATACACAATTACCGGTCTTATTTGCACCTTATGAAAATCATAAGAGACGTAAAGATTCAAACAAAAAATCAAAAGGTCACTATAATGTGAAACAGCAGCCACCTCCAATGATTCATGTAATCTGGAAAATGGATAACCCAGTTGGTGGAATAAGGGTCATTAGAAAATTTGAAGTTGGATTAGAACCATTACAACTGAATGTTGATCAATTTACTGGTGAAAAAATTATGAAATATGCCTTCCCCGATTCAAGTCCACTATTGGCAAAGAGTCCATTTGAAGATGACGGTGAGATAGATGATGATGGTGATGATGAGTTGGATAAAAGTGAACCAGTTACCGATAATGCAAATTTTGTGGCTAATGGTAATGGTAACCATAGTGTCGAGATAAATCCTCATGACACCAATGGACAAACTATTAATGATGACCAATCAAGTGCTTCACCAAGTCAACCATTTAACAAAAAGACACAATCAGTAAAAAGTTCCATCAATGGAAACCAGCCATCTGCAAAAAAGAGTATCTTCAGTTTTAAATCCAAAGATGGAAGTGTAAATGGGAATGGAAGTGCTTCGCACATAATTCATGGACTTGATGAAGAGGATGATGATCAAGATGATGACGAGGAAATTGAGGAAATGATTAGAAGAGCATCAAATTACCTCAGTATTGTTTCATTTAAATTCAAGAGTTGTGTCATTAGTGTTACGTTTAGAGGTCATGGCTCAAAGAGATTGGTCAATGTTACTGATTTTGCACTTACATTACCTGAAATGACATTTACAAATCAAACTTGGACGTTATTAGATTTGACTATGGAGATTAAAAAATTTGCAATCAAGGCTTTACTAAGTCACACTGGATCAATTCTTGGGAATAAAATGGTAAATCATGGTCGTAAAAGATTTGACAGACCAAATAGGGACAATATCAGACGCTCCACGTCAAGAATAAGTTCATTTAGATCATCTAATTGAAGACAATTGTTAAAAAAAAACAAAAAAGAACATTAAAAAAGCAAATTATGTATTATATTTATTAATGAGATTTCGTATGATTACAAAAGCTTGTAGCTGGTTTAAATTGTCATCAGAATTTTATCATTATTATTAGTAAACCATACACGTTTAAACATCCAATTTACGACGTTTTGTATCTTCTTCGTTTCCTTTCTTTTGTTTTCTCTTGGTTCCTTGACCAACTTCACCGCCTAATGCAAGATTAACAGGATCAAACCCAGGTATACCATCTTCAGAAGTTTTATCAAAATTTAGATAAGATCTCAAAAACTGTTCATCAATCTTTTTGATCTGTATAGGAGCACCTTCTCTTTCTGGGGCAAACACTATTGGAGATATAGTACGATCTTTCGGTAGTATAACATGTTTACCCAACAAATCGTTGATATGAGCCTTATAAGATTTCCTTAGTTTAACACCTTTTGTACCATCTTCATTTAATCTTGCCACAGAATTTGCTATTCCGGATAAATTGTATAGATCTATAAGGTTTTCAGTTGGATGAGGTTTTGATTTTGTGTATTGAACATTTGGATCCACGTAGTAATAGTATGGGTTTGTCTGATTCACGTCTGACATGTTTGAATTGGTGAAGGTTCTCTATTGTTGATGTCAATGTTGTTTAATTCTCTCTATCGTCTTTATCGAAAATTCCAGCCACCTTCTTTCAAATAAAAAAACGGATTCGCGGGAGAATCGAAGCCCTAATGAGACTACATCACATGACTTTGCTTTAGCCCTAATACTAATGCACTTCACCATTGGTGTTCTGATGTACTTCCCCAAAAAAACCCACTCAATTCTCATTTTTTTCGCACCAAAACTCCCAATCGTTCGCGAATTTCTCCCATGAATTTCGGTGGATGTTGGCCGTGTTCAAAAAACAGTCCTGTTTTTTTCGTTTTTGCTTTGGTTTCTGAAAAAAAGTATATGAAATTTTTGTGAAGTGTTTTCAATACTACAACTACTATTTTGAAGGAAGTATCAACACAGAATAGACAAGGTACGTGATCAAATAAGAGAACAGAGTGGCATGAAAGGATAAGACCAAGGAGGGAAAAGAGAGAAGAAATCAATGTTTAACGAAGAAAAGTGGACACCACAAAGAAGTTTAATAAACATTTTAAGAGAAGCCAACAATTATATGAGAAAAGTATTCAATACAGAGGAATAACGAAGATATCATGGGATGTAATGAGAATATGAATAAAAGATACAACAAAAGAGGATAGATTCACAAAGAATTCAAAACAAGTGAGGACTCGTAGTGATTTATGTCCATTTTTCAAGATGAGATATCAGAAAACCCATCAACTTTCACAACAACCCATCAAGACACAAGAAGAACACTTTTAAACTCAACAGTTTTATCCTTATATTCATCATCTACTCACTTACTATTTAATCCAGATTTACTAACAATTTTATATAGATGGCTGCTTCATTACCACACCCAAAGATTGTCAAGAAACATCAAAAAAAATTCAAACGTCATCATTCTGATCGTTACAACCGTGTTGCTGAAAACTGGAGAAAACAAAAAGGTATTGATTCATGTGTTAGACGTCGTTTCAGAGGTACCATTCCTCAACCAAACATTGGTTACGGTTCAAACAGAAGAACTAGACATTTAATGCCATCTGGTCACAAAGCTTTCTTGGTTAACAATGTTAAAGATTTAGATTTATTATTATTACACACTAAAACTTATGCTGCTGAAATTTCACACTCAGTTTCATCAAAAAACAGAATTGAAATCTTGGCTAGAGCTAAAGCCTTAGGTTTAAAAGTTACTAATCCAAAAGGTCGTCTTGCTTTAGAAGCTTAAGCAAATCTTTTTCATGTTTAAAGTAATTATAAATAAAAGGGATTGAAAATTAACGGTAAAAAAAAGATTGTTTTCGTATTATAATATTATTAGTTTTTAATGCTTATGTTTCTGGGTTTTTCAATAGTAATATTTGTATTATACTGTCTCTACAAAATCTTAAAAAGCTACATTTATCAATTGACAGATACACATGTAAAATATATAAAACAAAGGGAGGCAAAACCACAATTATAACAACAATAATAAAAGAGAAGTAAATATGATTATAAAAAAAGAAATTGTTATATAGAATCTGATTAACTGGAAAGTTTCTTCATGAATAAAAAAGCAAAGATTGTTTAATTTTAGTTTAGTCCATCAACTTTCTTTAAAAAAATAACCATCCAATGATGAAAGCAGCTAAAGCAATTAATATAACGGTAGTTAATGGAGCATTACCAATAGATTGATTTGATTTGTTTGCTAATTGAGTTGAATTTTTGGATGAACTTGCAGCAACATTTGAATCTAATTTTTCATTCAATGCATCAATCTTTGATTGATCTTTACTCAAATCTGAATCATCTTGTTCAATTTGTTTTTCAGAAATTGGAGCTGATGCTTTAGATGATCCAACTGGAACCGCTCCTGCTGCTGCACCTGATCCGCTAACTGCAGAACCTGTAGTAATAGCACCATTGGATTCTTGATTTGGTTGATCGTAAACATATTTAACTTTGATTTTCTTAGAAACTGACTGTGGTTTAAATTCAGCCTCAAGTTTTGGCCATACATCTGCAACAGTATTTTCACCTATATCATATGGAGCTGGTAAGGCAACAATCAAAAACTTGTCATTACATTTGAAGTCTGGAGATGGTTCTTCTTTCAAGCCTAACAATATGATTGAAACATCAACTGATTTACCTGGTTCTACAAGAGCAGCATTTGGTCTAACACAATATCTGAAATAATAGTTAGTAATGGTGATTGATACGAAACGGTCATTTCAACACTTACAATTTTGGAGCAGTGGTCTTAACTTTGAAGGCAGCAGTTTCATCTGACAGGTTTGTTATAGTGATTGAACGTGTAGTTGGTTGTGTAAAAGGTGCTAGTTGAAATCAATAGTTAGTCAAACGCGCTTATGAGAACCACAAAACAAAACAAACTTACAAGCAAACTCCAATGTACTTGGACCGATCTCAATACTCATGGTGACGATGGTGGGAATGTAATGATGGGTCTATTCTATTATGATGAAACGGATTCAGTTGATTCGTTTGATGTAGTTTGGTTTTAGGTCCACTTGATCTCTGATAACCAAAAAATCTCTGATCTTAATTTGATCCTTGTGTAAAAAAAGCTGTCAATTGGGAGGCGCTCTAAAGGGCTTTGGAATCCAAAAGTTATCTAATTGTGGCAATGGCTTATCGAATGATATGGCAACCTGTTTAAATGGCAAACTTGAACAAGTGTCTCGATTGATTCCAACTGGGTTTTGAGGTTGTTTTGGTGGCTTTCTTCCTTGTCAATTCACCAATTTCACATACTTTTTTTTACCGATGATTTGTCAAGTTTCTGAAATTTTTACCTAGCGAGTCGCCGAAAGGGGTAATACTCGAGGGTAAGAAAGTGTGTCATGTGACTATATTTCATATTCCGACCATATGTAAACTACAAAAGAATGTGAGATCAATCTTTTAATGAATGTATTATTGCTTGTATATACTATTTCATTCATTCCTTCCTCAATAATCCTCACCTCTACTCACAACTTCCTTTTGGGTTGGATGTAATAAAATAGTATGTTCATATTGTGCAGTGTACGAACCTCTTGAATCATTTAATGGAGGATAATCTTGAACAATACCAGCCTTGACTAAACTGTTTAATGCAAATAAATATTTATCTTCACCAATTCTATCCAAGTATCTACGACAGAATGGTAAAGTACCAAAATGTTTATCAATATTTGCCAATAATGTCTTTGCCTTGTTTAATCTTAATGGAATATGTGGAGCATCAACGTTTTTAGCATAATGAGAACATTCACCTTCAGGGATAACATAACCTCTACCAGTGGAACCAAAAGTTTCAATAGCAAACACTTCACCTTCCTCCATTTTAGTTTCATCTCCATTTTTAACAATTGGAACTGATTTACCACCATGAATATGATATGGAGCAATGTTATGACCATTCAAGTTACGTATACATTTAACTGGATATGTTTCACCATCTAACTCAACTTCATAACTTTCCATTGTTTCTTGAATAGCTTCACCAATATCAGTTAATCTAACATCAATACCAGCCTCTTTAATACCAGTATTGGTAGCTGCCTTAACGGCTTTCAATAAAGTATCATACTTTGGATCAAATGTCTTTGTAAAGGCACAATCAACGATATAACCATTAACATGAATACCATAATCAACCTTCATAACATCTTCATATTTTAAAACGGTTTTATCACCTGCATTTGGTGTATAATGTGCAGCACAATGGTTTAAAGAAACACCAGTTGGGAAACCGATACCAGCTTTTTTAGTATCTTCTTCATTCATGAATGTTCTAACTGAATTTTCAATAGTTTCTGCAATTTCAGTTGTTGTTAAACCTGGTTGTAAAACATTATTTAAATGTTTTCTAACACGACGATGAATTTCAGCACCTTTTCTGAAATCATTCCATCTTGAATCGTCTTGTCTATCCAAATACCTTTTCTCTTCATTAGTTGTTCTGAAATTATTTGTGTCTTTATATTCTTGCCATTCACCTTCTGGATATTTTTCATCTGGATAAATTTGAGTAATTGGTACAATGGTCTTCTTCTTCTTTTTATTATTCTTCTTCTTTTTTTTCTTCTTTTTTTCACCAGATGGAGCAGCACCTTCGCCATTCACTTCCTCTTCTTCACCATCATCTTCTTCATTTTCAACTAAAGAAAAAAGTTAGTTATATACTTTTAAGCTATTCTTTCTTTAAAGATACTCACCATTTAATTTTTCAATATTTTCAGCAATCTTTTCTGTTGACTCAGCAGGTTTATCACCGTTGGTGCCTTCAGCTTCAACTTTCGACATAGTGTGATTGGTCCTTTTAAAGTAATGAATGTGTCAAATAATTGTCCAACTACAATGAGTATAAAACATTTCAGCTTTCAATTGTGTAAAATTTTCGCGAAATTATGGTATGTTGTCGGGTAAAAATGAGGAGGTTTCTAGTTGATTTATTGACAATCATGGCACTAAAATAGATTTGAAAAGATCCAAAGAAGATTTGTTATTCCCAACCATTCTTCTCAACTTTTTAAATGAATTCAAAAATGCTTTTTTAAGCATTTAAACTCCTCATTATTGGAAAACTTGTTCACGTGACTATACTTCAAAATTCTGAAAAATTCACTGAAAAAAAAAACCGAAATCGATTCAAAATCACCAAAAACCAAAGGTTAAAACAACAGTTCAACGACAACTCTGTTCATTTCTAGTGTGGTTCTGTGCTTCTTTAGATCGAAAATATGTTCAGATTGAGTTCAAGAATAAAGCCAGTCTCAATCATGAGACAAGGGTTACGTTTCAATAGCACAGCATCTTCAGAGAGTCAAGTTATTTTAAATGCCTTACAAAGATCAAATAGACGAAACCCTGAAAAAAAATTAGACACAAGTTCATTATATATCATCAATGAATCATCACAAAGAAATCCACAAGTATCCAAAAGTGAAGAAATTAGAGAATTTGTGAGTAAACAAGAGGTGAAGATTAATCCAAAAGATGTAGCTGCACAATTAAGAATAACAGGTCCAAGAGCTGGTAAAATTGTTAAAGTTATTAATCATGATATCGATGGTGCATTTAGAGCTTTGAGATCTGTTGTTAATTCAAATAATATCAAAGGTGATCAAATTGATCAAAGATTTTATTTAAAACCTGGTAAAGCTAGAGAATTGAAAACTATTAGAAAGAACAAGAGAGAATTTATGAAAGGTTTCAAGAGATTGATGGAAGTTGTTAAGGATGCTAGTAGAAGAGGTTATTAGAGAATCATGGGGGAGAGAATAGGTTTGTTGTGAAGATAAATATTTTAAATTCATGTAAATAATGACAGTTTGATTGCTTTTTTGACTTGAAGAAGCCAGTGTGCTTGAAAAGTAGGTTTTTATAGAAATGACTGGACATTTCTGATGATAGAGTTGCGAGAAACATGAACTATGGATCACATTATCAGATTAAGCTATTGGATTTCATTGACATCTGTTTCTTTTCGGTATAAATCATGTCAACTTCGACTGAAATCCTGAAAACACGGTTTTCACCAAACAATAACTATCAAAGCTCAACTAAATCCACCAAGAATATCTCATTTTAATCTCTTTTAAACCGTATTTAAGCCTGTTTTAAAACCCTCCAAATCGTCCACGGACAAACACGCCCTCCCATTACATTCGCGAAATATTTTCCCACACATCACAGATCGCCAAAACTAATTTTTGTCCAGAAGAGAAATCCACAGTTGATTTCAACAATTTCATTCGTTTCTAACCACTGAAAATTTTGCTACAAAGACGCCACTAGTGTTCATATGACTTAAATTCTTGACTGAAAGCTACTCATCTAATTTTGCAAAGAAAAGAAGAAGAAACTGAAAACCCTCGTTTGTTTTGTTGTTTACTGATAAGAGAATAATACATAATAATGGCAACAACAACAACAGCTGCAAAAGCTTCACCCCAGTCAGCTGCTATAAACTTACTAAACACAATCATTGGTATGTATTTTTGATCCTCATGTCAATTCCTCGGTGGCTCTCTGCTAACTTTTCACCTCAAAGGAGCAGGGATGCTTGCAATGCCATATGCTATAAGGTCCGATGGTATAATACTTGGTGTTATTGTTATTATAGTCTCAGCTTGTACCTCATCATTCGGGTTATACTTACAGGGGAAATGTTCAAAATATGTTAAAAGTGGTGATGCCTCATTTTTCGCCCTTGCTCAGTTAACTTACCCACAACTTAGTGTTGTTTTCGATTTAGCTATTGCAATTAAATGTTTTGGTGTTGGGATTTCATATCTTGTTGTTATTGGTGATTTAGTTCCAAAAATTTGTCAATCTTTGATGAATGATTCATTTTTAGATCAACATGAAGTATTATTAGAACGTAATTTTTGGATTACTTTTTTCATGATATTGATTGTTGTTCCTTTATCTTTTTTGAAAAAATTGGATTCTTTGAAATATGCTTCAATGGTTGCATTATCATCTGTTGTTTATTTAGTTATCTTGGTGTTCATTCATTTTTTAAAGAATGATATAGAGGATAAAGGTCCAGTACGAGTTTTCAAACCTTACACTATATCTTCAATCTTTGCAAGTTTCCCAATTTTCGTGTTTGCATATACATGTCATCAAAATATGTTTTCATTAGTTAATGAATTAGAAGATAAATCATCTAGAAATATTAATAAAGTTATTGGATCTGCCATAGGTATTGCAATGTCACTTTACATAGTGGTTGGTCTTACAGGATACCTTTCATTTGGGGATAATGTTGAACCAAATGTCATTGTTGGTTATTCACATGCTATTTCCTCTACAATTGGAAGAATTGCAATTGTTATATTAGTCATGTTGTCTTATCCTTTACAATGTCACCCTGCAAGAGCTTCAATCAATCATATCATTCATTATTTCTATCAAGTTAAAAAGCAAATTCAATCAGATGCTTCAATACTGAATGGTCAACATCAACCACAATCACATCAAAGTGATGAAAGTGATCAATTAATTGATAGTGATCTACAAGATGGATTAACAGAAGAAGGTAACATTACAGCTGTTTCACCATTGAAAGGTTCTAAATTCATAATAATCACATCAATCATTTTGATTTTAAGTTATTTGATTGCCATCAGTGTGACATCATTAGCACATGTGTTGGCTTTTGTCGGTTCCACGGGCTCAACTTCAATTTCATTCATCTTGCCAGGGATTTTTGGTTATAAATTGATTGGATCTGAATATGTTGATGAAACTACAGGTTCATTCGAACATATTCCAAGAGGAACCAAGATTGTCAAATACCTAGGATTTGCCCTCTCTGTCTGGGGACTGCTAGTGATGATTGTGTGTCTCTCTGCCACGATATTCCTTGGAGCTACTCATTAAATAAAAGATCCAGTTTCTGTCATTTGAGCAGTGTAAAATCTTCATAATTGTATTTTCGCGAATTTCAACATTATTGTTTCGCGAATGCGTTCTCCGTTTTTTTTGGGCCTCAGAAGAAAAAAAAATCATCTTCACGATTCAAACTGATCAACAAACTTCAGAATCAGCACCAATTTCCTAAAAACAGGCCAAAGCCAGACAAAGATCATTCCAAGATCCATTCAATTCTGCTCAGTACTATTTAAAGAGCCTTCCATTCAGCTTAACCTTGACATACCCATTCCTCAGCTCCTTCCTGTTTCAATAATAAATTTGCGTTCCTGTTATTGTTTCCCAGATCGCGTCTTGAATCTAGACTTTACAATTTTTGTTGGTACAACTTTTCAAGTGTGAACCATTAATGACAATATACCCATAAGTATCAAAAGAATATCAAGCAATATCAAGATAACAAAATGGGTGCCTTCCAAAAACCTCAATCTTCAAGATCAAATTTTCAATTTTCAAACATCTCAACAGATCCATTTGCAATTTCCACAATATCAATAGCTTTAATATCATGGATCATAGCATTTGGTGGGGCAATAGCTGCTTCGTTGGTTAAAGATCCAAATAACTCCTTCCCAAATTTCTCTTGGTGGGGGATAGTGTTTGAACTTGTATTGTTAATCATGCTGTTTTGTTTTTATACATTTGACTTAATTGATCAATATAAAATTTTCTTAACTTCAGCATTTGGTATTGCATTTGTTTACACCACAAACTCTGCTACAAGTTTAGTCTATTCATCTGGTTCAGGAAAAGCGGCTGCATCTGCTGGTGTTATTTTATTATCTATGGTTAATTTGATCTGGGTTTTCTATTATGGTGGTGATAATACATCTCCTGTTAATCAATGGATTGATTCATTTTCATTAAGAGGTCCAAGAAGTTCAAATAACCCTTTTGCTCATCATAATCAATTACATGGGAATTATAATGGATTTGGTGTTTCAAATAATAATGTTGATGATTATAGAGGTTCAACAGTTTCAAATCAAAGATTTGTATCTTCAACAAGATTAAATGGGTTAGAAAACTTGAGTGAAAGAAACACAGATACAAATAATACTCCAATGTATGAAAATATCATCCCTGAGAATCATGATGATAATAATGATAATATCAACACAAATATAAGTAATGAACAATTTGATACCAATTTAATGATTGATGATTTCCCATATACTGCTAGAGCTTTATATTCTTATGAGTCAAGTCCAGAAGATGAAAATGAAATATCTTTTGAAAAAGGTGAAATTTTAAAAGTTAATGATATTCATAGTAGATGGTGGCAGGCCAAGAGATCAAATGGTGAAATCGGTATTTGCCCAAGTAATTATGTTGAATTGATTGAATAAACTACAATAGGGGGAGTTCTGTATCATAAAAAATGTTTTCATTAAAATTGGTTTAGTTTTATCATGCCATAAAAGGTGGAAAAAAATTCATCAATATTATTATTATTATTATTTTGCGTTTCAATGTGTGTGTTTTTTTTTGTTCATTATTTTAATAGACGGTTGTTGGTATTTTATTCATGAGTACTCGTAAAGAAATTTTGATAATCAGCCCAGCTGACTCTATGATGTTCATGCAAAATTTGACTTGATCAAATATTTGAATCACGAATTAAAAACCTAGCTGCTAACAAAGTACAACAAACTGGAATTAAAACAGAAGCTCTTTGACCAGCACGTATCAAAGTAACTCCGTGACCACTCATGTTTTGGTTTTTACTTGTTTTAATCAACTTAATATCTTGATTAACCTCTGATGAATTGGGTAATAAAACTGAGTCTTTGAATTTCATCATAGTGGATGAGATGAATGAATTTAATGAACAAATTAAGAAAACCATCACCAAGATAGTTTGGGCACTGTGGAATAAACAGAATTTAGCCATGATTATATGTTGTGTAAATGTGTAGTTGAGTATTAATTAATTGGTGAAGTGATGAAGTGATGAGATTTCACTTCGTTTATATAATTTTCGAAATATTCCTATTGACACAAACATGGACATGATTATTTTCTCCAGCACTGCTAAATTTTAATTTTAAACTCCTCTGTTATCTTTTTTACGGGGCTGTACAATTTCGTTCCACTATGATCATGTTGTTCATGTCACAATACATAATAATCCGCAATCTCATCGTCACAGCTCACCAAAACATAGCAACATAAAAAGTGAAATATATCCCAATGGAATTCATGAAATCTGCCAGCCTGAAATTAAAACATGAGCCTTCTTTGTCATAGCCTTTCATAAATTCATCATCATCCCTCTTTTAACTGTCGATATTGCTGAGTGTATTTCTTTTTTCGATGGGAAATTATCATGCAACAAATTTCAGATGCTCGTTTAAAGTGTCACAACCAGACTTTGACACCAAAGAACCAGTTCGCGAACATTTTCCACGTGACTGGTTATTGAAATGTGTTCAATTAATTGATATAATTGAACTTATCAAAACTTTTTATTATAATACTTGGAAAGTGTAAAGCTATTATTTTTGGTGTAATAAGTAAGTCACATTAATATACTGTAGTCCTTCTCTCAGACCTATTTGTACTTAGTAGTCGAATGAGGAGTGTCTCTACCGAGTGTTCATTATGTTAAATTTATTTCAAAGCATGAAATAAAGATTAATTTGAGTTCTAAGTGATACTAAAACTATCATTGGGATTATCTCAATTAAATGAGCTAAAAATTAGACAATTTTTAAAAATTCAAAATTATAATATTTTAATTTTTGTGATTAAATAATTTAGTACTAAGAGCATATTTTTTATAATTTGGATTTTATTATATTAATTTGATATTTTTTAATTATAATATTTATATCATGATCTACTTCTCTTTCATGATTCTTTTTAAAATATAGACGTCATAAGTAACGGGCCATTTTTTTATTATAACCCCTGTATACTTCTATTATTGGGACTAATAATATTTTAATTTCGTACTAGTACAGGTACATAATAATGTTGAATCTCGATCATATTGCAGATAATTATAAGCTACATTACAATACTAGAACTCTGGCCATTAAGCTTACACTGTTAACGCAATAATAGATATAAATACATATATTTGGCCTCAATAATAATATTATTGCAAATTATCGTCCTTCGCTTTTGGTGTTTTAATTGGTCTGTCAAAACGAGACGTGCCTCCTCGCCGGTTAAATGAAATTAATTTAGCAACTCGCTACAGGATCGTTCAACTTTTAGCCGTACTAGCGACGGCTCGTCAAATTATACTATCATTGTTTTGTTTAAGATATACCAACCAAGCTACTTTTAATAGAAAGGTGTCCATCCTAAGTAGATCACTCCCAAGTTTTTATAATCAGTGGCTTCTTGAATCAATTCTTGAACAGAGGCTTCATCACTCAACCCATTAGCATTTAATTTGGCTTCAACTCCCTGAACAGCTCTAACAGCATCTGAACCATCATCTTCAACATTTGATTTGGATGAAACATTGTCATTTTCAATCTCTTGTAATCTTTTTTTACGAACTGGTGATATAGCCCATGAATATAATGGATCATATTTCAAAACATTCAAAATACCCAAAATTTTTTCAACATTTAATCTCAACACTCTGTAAACATGTTCTGAACCTTTTTTAAAACTTCCTTCAACACCCGTTATACCCAAACCATCAACAATATCTCTTGTTAGTCTAAATGGAACCAGCTCAGGAACTGGAAGCAGTTTACCTTGGTCAAACGCAACCCCGAGATCAATATGAATTGGTTCACCTGTTCTTTTATCTATCAAAACATTATTCAAATGACGGTCACCTAATCCTAATATAAAGCCAACTATGGAATTAGTAGCAATACCTCTAGTATAGACTTGTCTTGACCTATACCATTCATCAATGTTTGGGAAAGTATCATAAAAGAACACTCTGAAAACCGGTGGTGTAGCTTTTGCAATTTTCAAGTAAACATTCAACCTTTCTTTATTATTCAAAGATTGAGCACCTCTCATCATTTCTCTAGCCTCACTGAAGGAAATTGAATCTTCACTGTGCAACGGCCTCAAGATATCACTTAAGGCAATGGAATTCGCAACAAATTCAATCATACCAGCCTGTGGACCCAATGGAACAACTTTATAGGTTCTTATTTTCAAATTTCTCTTCCTTGTTTCTTTGTCATTTCTCAAAATTGTGTTGACCTTTTCGAAAACTTGCTCCATAATTGCATCTTGTCTTAGATCATCAGAAGAACCTTTTAATAACATTTTATGTCTTGAACCATCCGTTAAAAAAACTTTCATTATTTTTGGTAAACTGATTCCAGATGAAGAAATTTGAATAACTGGGTCAACTGAAATTATTCTTGGGACAGATGAGTAGTTGCCATCTAATGAAATTTTCAATTGATTTATGGTTGGCAAGGGAATTCGTAAATCCCCAACTTGATTTATCCAAAAATCCCCAATTTTCAAGTTCTCAAGATTCATTTTTCTAACATTATTATTTGGAACCTTTTCAGTAGCTAAACTTAAAGCATTTCTACTCAAAGTATCAATCGGCTTCATGACTGTTCTGGCGAAATTTTCACCTTGTGAAGTTAGACTCAACCAGAGTTTTTCTGCAGCAGCACTTCTTGAATTGATTGTTGCATCTGTTCTAGCAAATTGATAAAGCTTATGAACCCGAAGGTTCATCACAAAATATAAAGAATGGAAAGGATGCCTCAAACATATAGCCACCAAAATATTTAGTAAGATATGTTGGAAAGGAGTTGAATCATCTGACAAACGTGACATTAACTGATTTATCCAGGGAATAAACTTGTGACTTGAAATACTTGATATTTCTTTCCTTGTAATCTTATTAATGCTATCATCATCAGAATACTCCAACCATAGAGCACAAATTTTGTCAATGTCTTCATCATCATAGAAGTCGTCAATTGAAGCAGCTTTCATAAAGAACTCTAAAGCCTTTTCAATACACGTGGACTTATTACCACACAAAATGTTGTAAGCCTCTTTGTCAGATTCGTATTGCAGTTGAACTCTTTGAAAATATCTTTTAGCATTTTTTTTTTCATCAGCAGGTGTTGATTTGTTTTGAATAATCACTTTCAAATCTTTCAATTCAGCTTGTTTAGATTTGAGTCTCATCTCCTGTCTCTCAATTTCTTCCCCTGCACCTGGTAATTTAGTTTGCTTATAGCAGAAATATCCGAGAATATGATATACTCCAGCCTTTTCTCTAGCAGAAGACACCTTCTCGATATCTTTAAGAGAGGCCTTCACATATGTTTGCATAATTGTTTCAAATTTCTCTTGTCTTGATTCTGAAGTCCATTTAACTAAATGCGCATTCAAAACTGAATCATGGATTTCCAAACTGGCAAGGGTGATTTCCGGAGGTGTTGGATATTGTTTTGATAAGTTATCTTTCAACATTGCAATGGAAATAGCAGCCTCGCCTTGATTCCATAGAGTACAAGCAGATTCGAAATTGGATATTTTAGTCAAATATCTTTTTAGATCTTCCTCTGACACAACTTGAATTCTCTTATCAATCCACATTGAAGCATTAGTAGCTCGTTGTACCTCCCCATGAAGCCTAGCATAATAGCCATATCTTTTCATCTCCAATATTTCAGCAACTAAACCATCAGAAACACCAATCTTTCCAGATAATCCACAAATACCATATGAAGATCTTCTTGATAACATGATATTTTCAATCTCTGTGAATGATACTAACGGAAACCATGCTTCAGTGCAATCCGTGAAATTTCCAGCCTCCTCGAATATTGTGAAAGAATTTAAAGATTGAACAATCTCAATTGAATATAATGAGCTCAAAGTTTTAAAGAGCGGTAAACTTTTCACCTTTCCATTCACCTCTAACGAGTCAACAAGTAAGCTATTGCAAATAGCTTGTCCCTTCTTATTATTATCATAAATGGTTTTCAAAGCTTTATAAATTGCTTCATTTTCAGTTGAAGGCGATTCAGGGACTGGTAGATCCCACTGATTTAGTTTCCAGCACCATTCATAACTATTTCTCAGCCTTTTTTGGGGATCCATAGTGTCATTCAATAGTTCTGACACACCATGTAGACTGTTACCAACTAATGATCTTAACATCATATTCCTTGAAGAAGATACATCAAAGTTTGAATACTCTTTTAACGCAATCGAGGAGTCTAGATTAGCACTATTAAAAATAACACTTTTCCAGTCACTATCATTTCCTCGAGAGAAAGAGTCCATAGCATAACCAAGAGTTGGGTCAACTGGGAGCCCGTGAAGAAGATCTGCATCATCAAAGTTATTGTATATCTTTCTCAAAGTCTTCGTATCATCAGTCCACTTAACTGCTTTGTTAGATGACAAATCTGTATAATGAAGCTCGAAAAAAAGTAATGCCACTTTGCTGAGACCGATGTGACATGCCAACTTAAAAAGCCTTTCCAAATTCAAATTTCGAAAAACATTATTGAAGGGTTTTATATCATCCCTATTTATCCTCAAAAAGTAACAAATCTTCACAATTATTTCAATTTTTTCATTTGATAATTGATACACGTCTTCACGCTCAATTATTCCATTAATAAAATTTAATGCCAATTTTTCAGCAGCAGACCGACCACAGCGAATATAGAAGAGCAAAACCTCAAAGATCAGTGACTTGGAAATTTCTGGAAAACGATAAACGTAAGTCATCAAAGCAGGGATTATAGGTGAATGGTCAACAAATGTTCCCAGAAGTCCCAAGGTGACATCTCTGCACCATATACCTGTCGGCTTCACATCTACCTCCGAATCTTTTGCAAGTTGCGCCCAGCTATAAAACGCTGGATGGTTCCCACTGATGAGTTTAAACGTAAACAAGTCCAAAGCAGGAAGCACCTTTACTTGGTCCTTCAAATGTTGGTCAAATGAGACCAGTGGAGAATCCTTTAGAGCGCCACGATTGTGCTCAAAAAAAGCAACACCAAAAACACTGTCAATCAATTGAATTTCCTTGAGATCCTCACTAGCTTTTCTAATTTTAAGAAGCTCATCAAAAATGCCAAATAAAGTTTCAGTTTTGAGATCAAGATCATACTCGATAGTGACTGGGATTTCTCTCTCAAGATCAGACAAGGTTTCACCCGTTAATAAATAGTGCCTTCCAAGATATCTCGCTTTGAACAAATTGAATTCCTTAGACTCACCATCTTTGAAGTCAAGTAATAAAATTGCGACATCTCTTGCAGTTTTTATTCTCCAATCAATCTCGCTCAAAAAAGGAACTTCATTGAAAATGTCTGACAAAACATTGAATATGAGTTTTTTCATTTTCTGAGATTTCTCTATTGCCCCATACTTCAAAATATCATGAATTATTATGTATTCAGAGCGTGGATACTCGAGGTTGGCTTGAGAGTCGTAGTCCATGATCAAAGAACCTTCTAACGATGATGAATCTTGAGTTAAAATATGAGTCAAAGGCAAAAACAACATTTTCCAAATGCCCTTGAAATCAATACCAGCATTCTCCTCAATCAAATAGCTCTCTAGCAAATGAAATAATGAGGACCCCTTTATTTTGTATCTAACAGACTCATGAAGAACCATCAGCAACACAGCAAAGTAGTGCTCTGTATTTGTTACCGCTTTTTTTGAAAGCTTAAGCAGAACCACCAGAATAGAGCAAACATCAATATGAATTGAGGAATCCGAGATGTATGGATACAGAAACTCTATGACTGCAAACGCCACATCCTGATTTTGGAAGCCTTGGAAACCAAGTGTGACAATTAGCTTGAGCCTTCTCAGAAGTACAAACCTGCCACCTTCACTAATTGCAGAAGACAATGATTTGATAACATTTCTTGATAGATAAAGTACTGCAGCAGGCGTCCAAAAGTCAGCTGAAGATGCTGTTATTTGTGTTATTTGATGGATGACAACAGAGAATGGGACACTAATATTAACTCTTGAATAGCTTGAGTTTTCATTATCAACTGACGAGGAATGGTTGAACAACAATGAAAGTGTCTGATCTTTCTCAATAGAACCAATATATTTCTCAAAATCCGACTCCTTGGAAAAGTCACAACATTCCATAAATTTCTCCACAATCAACAGAGTTTGATGTTCAATCAAGCTATAGTCATAAGTCTCATTGATAATTTTCAACAACTCACTTCTTCTACCATTCTTTGTATACGACAATGGTATAGATAACGAAAGAGTTTCGAGCAGCAAATCTGACTCATCAATGGACATACCCATAATTCCGTTATTCAATATCAACTGAGATGGTGTTCCTTTGTGAGAAATGAGAATGGGGTAGATCAAACCCTTATATGTATCATAAAACTCTAGCTGATTCTTAAGCCCAAATAGTTGAGCAGGAAAAGTGGTTAAATCTGACCGACTTTCATACCAAAATTTCAAAAGTTCTAGCAAAATAAACTTTTGCTGAAGAATATCAAGGTCAATTTCCAAAAACAAACTTTCAATATAAGGGGCAAAGTGAAGATAACCATAGTTCAACAAAAGTTGAGAGATACCACCAATAAATAAAGGATAAGAGACAGTTATCAACTGACCTATACAATAGGTGTACGTAGCAGCACTGTCATCCAGAACCTGAGGATTGATGAATCCTGAGTAAATCGCCTCGAGGCATTTTGTTTGTTCCGATGGGGGTAAGATAACAATGAACTTTTTGATTCCTTCACAAAGCTTAACCTTGTTGAGGTTTGAACATTTATGAAAAAGGCTAATAGCCACATCTAATGAAGCAGAATCCATTTCAAAACCAAGCTTAGCAAAAATAGATTCTATGAAGTAATACAACGAAACCTCTTCTGCAATGAGTCCCTTTTCAGCCAGACTGACTATCCACTTGAACATATCCGAATAATCAACCGCCCATTTTTCAGTGATTTTCAGCAACCAAGCTTTGGTGAAAACAGTGAAAAGTCTTGATGCCAATATTATCGTTGTTGGAGACCTTTCTGTCTGATAGGATGATAGCAACTTGTGACCCAGTAGCCTCAAAAGTTTGCTGATGGAGACTGTCTGAATTTTCATAACATCAACCTTTTCCAAGTACTCCAATAATGTGAACAGCCCACTGGAGAATGCATTATGATCAAGTTTTTCCAGCACTCTTAGGGCCTGATCAAGCGTAGTATTCAAATTTTTCGAGCTTGAAAACTGTGAATTTAGGAGTATTAAAAGCTTAAAGACCTTTTGTTCAAATGTAGAGTATAGTTCCAAGTCCAAGTATGTTGTTGAAGCTTGAAAATAAGAATCTTTTGTTTCCTTTCGAACTTGACCAAAATCACCAAAATCACTCATAATTATACTAGAGTCAGGTCCATTACCACCAGTAATCATGCTTTCATGAAGTTTTTCATTGTTTGAAAGGGCATTGAACGCAATCTCTTGAGCATCCAAAGACTCAAATATAAAAGCACCAGATCCGTTAACAACTTTGAATTCAGAGATTTGGAAAACCGCATCGTTATAGTCATCAAATTTATCTATTTCCAAATTTTCCAAAAATCTCCTAATGTCATACTTCAGTCTTTCAACTGTGCTTTCTAGCCTCGATAAGGTTTGAATGTTCTGATAAATTAAAAATCCATATCTGACAAGTCTCAAAAGTTCATACCCTTTACTTTTAGCATCGAAACTCTCCATATCAAGTAGCAATTGGTCAATAACTGGGGTCAAACTATCAACTTTAATCATGATTTTCGGCTTTTGCAACTTTTGTGAGGAAACATTTATGGGCACAGGGGAGTCACTTCTTAGAATGAATTTTGCTAAAGACGACTTTTGACCCCATTTAGCACAAAAAGTATTGAAAATATTTTCATAGATAACTTCATCGTCCTCAGCAGTGAAATCTGTACCAGCTAACCAACTTATGAAGTAAGGAAATGAAGATACCTCAACCACAGATTCTCTATCCCATTTAGTCAAAAGCCAATCAACAATTCTATCACCAACCTTCTTATTCGCTGACTTGAATCCCTTTCCATGTTGTGAAAATGCTACCCAAAATCTCAAAGAGTCATTTGTGACTGAAGCTGGACCGTTTATTTCTGAGATTTCAAAGACGGATTGCATTTGTAAATACAATGAATTTTCACCGACGGTATATTTGGGATAGTTTAAAACCTGGATGATTGTCTGTGATGCAACGTTTACAAGGTTTCTATCTTTCAATAACTGAAGGTTGATTCTTAAGAGCTGTGAAAGCTCTGTATTATCTAGCTCCCAACCAGCTTCAATTAAAGCTTTTGTCAATAAGGAAGTGAACCCAGCCAATTCCGGCTTATCATGATAGCTTTTTATTTCATCAAACACGACCGCAGTTAAAACAGGTTTGTAATTGTAAACATAAAATGTTAGCAGTTGTAGTCCAAGCTTTTGCATTGATACATCTGTACTTTGGATGAAGCGGTGAAACAACTGAAAAGGACTCTCTGATGTGTCAATAGTAGTAACATATGATTCCGATCCCAATTTTTGTCTTTTAGCAGGCCCTTCTGGATTTTTCACAAGTGGTCTTTTCAAATAGTACAGGGAATTGACAAGCTTTGTTAATGCAAGAGTTGAGAGCCAAGGCTTTGGAGGAGATGAGTTTTCAAGTCTAATTGGACCAAAATTAAACCACGAGTTCTCAGTTTTTGAGTTGAGAAATTCAATATGTTGCAAACTTAGTATGTCAGTGGGAGTTCTTAAAACATGTTGAATCCATTGATCTATCCAAAATATCAAATCATCCCTCAAACCGTCATCATCATCAAACGACGGACCTTGTGAACTTTCAACTTCAATTAGCTTTGGTAGGTTTTCACATATAAAGTCACTAGAAAGTAGTCCAAATATCAAAATTTGTTCCCTCAGTGCCTCATAATTAGTATTAACCAAAGAGCCAGCAATTTTGAGCACGGATTTCACTAACTTGATAGAATACCTCACTTTGCTTGTACTTAGTGTAATAATCAAATTGTTGGTGATGTCCAATACAACAGAGGTTAACGAGCTTTCTTTTTTCATTGTTTTGAAGTACTTCACTAAAAAATCAGAAAGGTCAAATCCTAAATCTTCAATTGCAATTAGTGGATTTACAACCAGCACCTTCAAAGCACCCAATAACTCAGAGACAAACTTTTCAGTCATATTATGCTTGATCTGTTCGTTTAGAACCTTCAAAATAGCATCCATTTGCCTCACCCAATCTTCACTTGAGATATGATCACGGTGTTGATCAATTGAAACAAGTATATTTAAGATTTTTGAAATGTCCAATGCCAATGGTTTCACAATTTCATTTTCATAACCAAATATGATTTCTTTGCAAAAATTTAACAATTGTTTCACCAGTTTGAACTTCATCTGCTTAGCATGTTGAACAACCAACCTTCTCAACATATAACTTGAAGATTGTAACCTTGATTCAGCAGCGACAGCCTGGTTTTTTGAATAAGCAACCTTCTCATTCTCAATAAAGGCAAAGAGGGCCTCACATACTGAGCTTAGATCCTTATTAGAGAAGCTGTGATTTGATTCAACCAATTCTTCAAGACTTGTGAGGGCGTCATTTCTATCTTTGATTTTACTAGACTCAAGTTTCACTTTCTGTGTTAACAAATAGAGCTGGATGAATTGATCCAATTGCACTTACCTAGTAGATTGAATAGATTCGAACTGGACATAATCCCATATCCTCTTTGTGGTTGTTTGTGTTTTGTGTTTGTGTCGTGTTGTACAAAAACCACATTCAGATCAAAATGTAGTGGCCCAAATCAAAAATTTCTACAAAATTTACATAGGGTGAAAAAAGTGTCCTACAACTTCATAGTGTAAATGAACCCGTATTTTACATATTTTTGTATTAACTCTCCCCATGGTAACTGCAGTAAATGACATTATTAAAAGCGTAACAAAATTTAAACAACGACACCAGAGTTTGAGGCAATACGTGGCCATAAATCGGCACATTCTTTACCAACTGGACCAGTGATAGCTGAACCTTTCATTTCACCTTTTGGATTGACAATGACACCAGCGTTATCTTCGAAGTATAAGAAGATACCATCTTTTCTTCTCCATGATTTAGATTGACGGACAACAATAGCTGGCATAACTTTCTTTCTTAATTCTGGTTTACCTTTTTTAACAGTGGCCATAACCATATCACCAACAGAAGCAGCTGGCAATCTGTTTAATCTAGCACCAGCACCTTTGACGGCTAAGATGTATAAGTTTCTAGCACCAGTGTTATCAGCACAGTTGATAACAGCACCAGTTGGTAAACCTAACTAAAGTAAAAATTGTTAGTAATGAACGTTTTTGAATAAAAAAAAGAGAATGAATATGATGGTATAAGAGTGAAGTTTCTAGGAGTGCCTTGATATGGTGTTTGTTTGAGCTTCTTTGCTTTAACTATACTCTTCTTTACTTTGTATCTTTTTGAATGGTTTCTCTTGTACTCTGACTAGTTTTCTCCATTTAACATTTGAAAGGTCATGAATCTCATTGTATCCTCTTTTTTCACTCAATAAAGAACTATAATCTTCACTACGTAGTTCTCTCTGGTATACTTTTGATTACTTTATTCTCTTTTCCACATAAATCTTCCATCAAATTTGGCACTCTTTGAAAACACTCTTAAAATAACTATTTCATTCTCTTTGATTCTCTCTTTGAATATAGACGTACTGAAACTCTGTATTTGTTACCTGAAGCACCACTTGCGGACATTTTGACGTTATTATTTGGTTATTACGTTTCAAGTAAGCTATGTTGTAGTTAGATATAAAATCGTTTTAATTTTTCACCAAGGTGAAGTTCCCACTGCAGGCTCTTGACAAAAAAAAATTGTGACTGTTACCCTCAACGTTGTCATTGGCGATTTTTACGCGAATTTTGGATTTTTGTATGGCACATTTTGTGAGTGGTGTGGCACTTAACAATCAAGTAATACTGTGATGTTGGGATGTAAGCTCTGAAATGATCACGTGGATTCTTGAAGTGATGACCTAGCCGTAGTCACATGATATGTTATTTCTTTTTCCGCTCCACGATGGAGCCCTGGTTTTGTTTTGATTTTGGCTGTAGAGGCGAATATTTAACCTTCAAGGAACCATTCTTGACCAAACCAAGTACACAATTTAGCCCCCAACCACGTAACATTTATTCCTATAGATATCTGAAAATCGAAGGCACATATAGAGGATGGTGCAGGAGACCCATGGAAATAAGAGAAGTCGCTCTCCAGATGAAGGACGTACTCAAAATGATCAACAGGTCAAAAATAAGCGCACCAAACCATCAAATCAAGTGAATGAAGAGGCGAATGTTATAATACCCGACGAAGATGAAGAAGACATACCATATACACATAACAATTCAAGATCAACAACACCACTAAGTGACCTCAGCAGTGAGAATGAAGATGAAATCCAGATAATGCGTGAAGCCACTGTTGAGAATAACAATACCCCAGCCCAAGAGCTCGATATAGTGGATTTAGATGATGACGATTTGAAGGAATATTTTGTGATATCAGAAGACGAAGACAATAAGGAACAAGAGATTGAAAATTCCCAAAGAACAGTTCAAGAGCAATTGAAAGATACTTCACGCCAAAACACATCCAATTTGAAGAATGCACATTGTGCTGTTTGTTTTGATAGTCCCGAACATACTTACATTTTACCATGTGGTCATATTTATTGTGGCGATTGTGTTTTCAAAGCTTTGAGCTCTACAAAGCAAAGCAATAGAACTGGTGGACCATGCAGTTTATGTCGTACTTTTACATCTTACAGAAAGGTTACTGTCGGAATCTTCAAGAAAAAGAGAAAAGTATTGGTGTAAAGAGATTACTAAGGAATATTATTAGTTGTTTTATTTATTTGCATAATGTGTTATGGATGGCATCGGTTTAGAATGGTTATAGGATTTGTTAATTGGACGTTTGTTTTCATTATAGAGTGTTTTTTTTTGTTTGTGGTTTTTGTGTTGTGTACTCCACACATTGTAGCGGATAGTAAGATGGCAAGGATATGTAGAAAAAATCGTTGAAGAAAAACATGAGTTTATAGAAATACGTTTATCAAGTCAAGTCGTTCGCTTTATTTGCTATTTTTATTGTTTGCACTACTGCTCATTATTGAAGGAAAGCCAATTTTAAAGTAGGTTACTACAAAGAAACATGTTTCAGTCAAACTTCAACAGTAATGATGCAAAAGATGATTGGATTAATGAAATAGATGAGGATGATGATGATGATGACACGTTTGAATACCTTTACCCAACTTCAGCTAGATCTCAAAGTGGTCCTTCAAAAACCTCAACATCGATAAAAAAGGGAGCTCAAAAAGTTGACAATGTGCCTAATAAATCACTATCCAAACCACCAGCAGAAACACCGACTTCATCATCTCAGTCTCCCAAACTTCTCAGGGTTTATCCACCGCGTCAACAAAGTTCATATGCTACTAACTGTGGATATCCGTTTATCAAAAGAGGAAAGTTCAAAGGATTCTATGATGATAGAAGATACAGATGTGCTTTCAGCAACTTTGATATCAACAGGTGCAACCATTCCAATTGCTATTGTCTTCATACCCCCATTGTGCCGTCCCCTTTGAAGTACCAACGCTTAGACTTTATGAGTACCATTGATGAAGCCGATGGTGATATTGATGAAGAACACACAGATAATAATGGTGACGATGCTAGACAGGATGAACAAAATTCAAATGATAGCAGATCCTTGAGTTCTCAATTTAAAAAGAATAGGTATAAGTTGTCACGAGTGAAACATAGGTCTGATGATCCAAAAAGTAATCATGAAAAAAGCCCCTTTAATGCAAGTGATGCTGGCTCTGTATCTGAAAAGCTTTCCAAACGTATGAGAAGATATCATTCTGTCAATAACTTGTCAAAAAGAGCATCAATTAGACATCATCATTTGATTGAAAAAGATGAGGAACAAGAAGCACCAACTTTAGTGCGGAGTAATGATTCTTCTTCTTCGAGAAATCACAAGCATAACTATTTGAGGTCTCTCAAATCAATTGATATAGGATTTTATAAGCCATTAACCACAACTGTTTGAATAAGCCCCTTATGGAAGAATGTGACTAATATACCAACTTTTCAAATCTTCCCTCACTTCTGATTCTTTTAGCAAAGATTTTGTAGCAGCATCGCCATTGGCGTCATTGACTTGGTATAATGTATGATGTGTTCGATTAGCTTTGATATCCAAGTCTATCAAGTTAACACCATCTTCATTTTTAGCCCAACCATCACCACCATTGAAAATATCATCAATGCACTCACCAGCTGTTAACTCACCAGGTCTTGGGTCCCATGAAATTTCAAAGGTTTTTTCATATAGCTTAGAAACAACAGGATCAGAAGTAATTGCAATTGTCCTATGTAATTTATCACTAGAGCTCATTTGAGAACCACTTCCAGTTCTATGATGTGATGTACCTGTTGAACTCTGCATAGTGGAACTATCATGGATAGATTCATTCAATACATTTGCAATACCCTTGAAAATGTTTGAAGATTTCATCGAAGGTGCAATAAATTCTGATTTGTCACCTTTTAACAACTCCATTCCTATCTTAACTGTCATGATACAATTTACTTTTGACCTTTGAAGTAAATATCTATTTGATGTTGGTTCTTCATAATTGACATATTCAGCTAGATTGATTTCCACTTTCCCCAATACAGTTTTCTTTTCAACTTTTGGAAGTTGGTGCTCGAAATTTTCAATTTGGTGCTCTAACTGCTGAAGGTGATTTTCAGGATGTAGTTCATCATTAATCGAAACATGTTGATGAGCGTGATGATGTTCAGGAACTCCAATGTAAACGGTCAAAACTAGTATTTTTTCTTGTAAAACTTTGTTACCATTCACTGCTAGCCTCAATAATGTTTCAAAGTTATAGTCCCATGTTGCTCTATGATCCTTGATATGAACTTTTGATGTACGACCTTTGAGCTGTTGTGACGTTAATGAACTATCTTTGATGTGCCATTTTACATAACAAGCACCATGGATCTTGGGTATATTGGCCAACTCTTGTATTTGAAGAGCGAGTAAAAACTTGGGCCTTTTGGACTGAGATAGAAACGACATAGACTATAGCATGCGTTGAGTAGAAGCTGTTGTTTTGTTGATGTTGTCTTGATGATTTCAATTGTTGATGTTGCCATACGTGCCAATTGTATTCCGTAATCTCCAGCAATTTTTATGAGTATTTGAGCAAAACACGCGTTTTAACAACGAATTGTGTACCAACTTTTCACAGAAAACAGCTAAAAGTAAAGCTGACATATCAGGGTTGTATCTAGTCAGCTTAATTTGCCTTTATAGCTTGCTTTAGTGTCTGTTAATTGTGTTTTAGAATTTGTTCTGAGTTTGCTCACGTGACATATGTTCCATTTTGGGGGATTTTCCTCTTAGGGAAATAATCAAGATTATTTTCGTGTACCTGAATTTAGTCGAAATCTCAAAAACCGTTTAATGTTCAGATCTCTCACAAAGAGTTTGTTTGAGGTGTTGATTTACTTGCACCATACCGCAGAATATAAGAGCTCCAATTCTCAATTTCCAAACAGAAGAACGTGATTGGTTTTCAAGAAGGTTGATTAAAAAAGCGGACATAGACCTCAAGTTACATTCCCTAAAAGTAGGCTCAGAGAAAGGGAACCTTTTACAAACGCACATTTTGAACATCTTCAAACATTGGAACCAGGCGCTACAAATTCCGTATCAACTGAACTATTATTAAACTGCTTGAAGTTTGTGCTCAATACTTATGAAAGGGAAATAAATTGCTCTAAATTTCAAGAAAACATATATCTCTAGATCTTGATCAGAGACCATGCCGATATGAACCAAAAGGAACATATAACACCTCCAAAGAGATTCAGACCGACATCCATCATATCCAACCCTTCTACAACATCAAGTCACTCCAATTTAAATAATTATCCAGTTGGCTTAATCAAAGTTTATCAATCTGATGAAGAATTTTCCAATGATAGTTTTTCCATAACATCTAGAAAGCTAAATGATGCAAGAAGCATAATTTCACAAGTTGATCCGACCCATGCTCATAATTTCAGCACTACATCATCACTTTCAGAAACAAATGATGTTAGTTATGATACTGCACCTACTATAGATGATGATTCTTTGTTCAATCTATGGTTTCAAACACCGGAAAAAGAACGTGAAAGTCTAGTGATACCTAGTGGTGGTCTTGAAAGACCAAGGTATGTTCTTGATAAAGTTGTTGAGTCATTTAGGTCAGAAAAAGGAGCCTTTCTAACCAGTGATATTTTTTTAAACCAAAAAATATATCAACAACCGGAAACTATCATCAATGGTTCAGTCAAGATCAGCATCATTCAAGAAATCAACACACTGTTGAGGAAGTTTCATGGCGAATTCCACGATCTTTCAAAATTCAATACCCTTGAGCCAACTTTAGCTTACTACAAAAAATTAATGGATGCCTTTGATGTCCTTCATGTTGAAACCTCTCATTCGCCAGCAGGTACAAATGATTCATTGTCAAGCACTTCAAGCATAAACAACCAGGATGTTAAACCTTACAAAACAGTTTCAAAAGAATCAACAATCTCTTCAAAAAAGTCTAATCAAAGTCTAGCTGAGATTGAAAAACCCAAGAAAAGAAACTCATTACTACTGGATAAGTTCAAAGGTAAGATGAAGACTAGAAAAAGACATTCATTAAATAATTGGGAAAATCATACTTCATCAGATCACCTAACTCCTCCAAATCATGACATTCGTACACATTCTCGTTCAATTTCAGTGTCATCCACTCAAACTCAAGCATCATCAAGGTCAGCAAAAGACCAAGCCACCATTCAAGAATACCTTGAGTCTATCGAATCTCTACATTTGACATTGAATATGATTTATGATCAGCATATTTCTGAACAGTCTGAAACCTATTCGAAGCTATCACTAGTGATTGAATTCCTTTCACAGTACATAGTCAAGTTTTTGATAAGCGATATAACGTCCTTATCACTCAAATATATTCAGCAAGTAGTGAAGGATTTGGTTTGATTTGTGGTTGGTTTCAATTTTTGTATAGCATTCCATTTTTAGTGTATGTTCATGGCTGGGGATTATGTCAGGTGTAGATTTTTTTACGGCTTGTGAAATTCATAGCAAAAAACTCAAAATATAATATCAAGCTTTTGATAACTGAAAACAAAGTCAAAAGACAGTTTCAAACTAAATATTGAGATCATCCTTCAAGTTCCAACTATCAAAAAGTCCTCAGTCGTCGTCATATTCATCGTATAGATTATTACTGTATCAATTGGAAGTCTCGGAGGTTAAACGTTCAAGTTTTCCGTATTCAAAAATCATAAGCAACTCATATACCACAAGAAGTGAAATGTGTTTATAATGGTTTCAGCTTGTGAGGTTAAGATAGAGGTACAAGATCTCAGGGCTTCCAACATCTTCACAAATCTTGATACCATAAGAGGAAAAGTTTATGTAAATGTGAGATCTGAAATTTCATTAAGTTGCATACAGATTAAACTTGAAGGTGTATCTCAATCAATCATCAGAAAGAAAGAATGGGTCAAGAAGAAGGAAAAAACAGTGACAAAAGTTGAGAATCATACTTTGTTATATGAAGCTAAAACCATTTTCCCACCGAAGAATATACGAAAAGTCAGTTCAGCTAAAGATTTCACATTGACACCTGGTGAATATGAATATGATTTTGAGTTCAAGCTTCCCTATAATTCTACTTGCGAAACTAATATTGCACCAAAGAATGGCATTACAAATAAATTTCAAATTGTGAGGACCAATTTAGAGTATGTTAACAAAGCTGATCTTCACGTCCAGGGTATGCTGCCTCCATCCTTGACAGACCTTGGTGATTTGGCACAGATCAATTATTTTCTAAAAGTTACCGTCAAGAGAGCTTCACTTATCAAACCAAACATAAGAAAGATATCACCATTCAGGTTTGTCCCCTTTGATTCAGTTGACCACATTAACAGATCAAACCGTGAGTTGAATTTTCTTCGAAGGGAATATGTATTTAAAGATAAAATTCCAGAGATAATTGCATTGTTCAATAAGCCTGCTGGAATAAACTCTCCTGTTCCAAAACAAAGTCCCCCATCTCCACAAAGAAGGTCGTCTAGTTTCTTGAAAACACTATTTTTTGGAAGCTGGGACGATGTCAGTCAACAACAACAGCCACAACCTCCACCAACGCCTCCGAAAGATGAACCACCAACTATAACGTCTTACGATGTTCCATTTTATTTCGAGGCTAGATTTCATGGATTGTTTCAAACAGTTGGGAAACCTCCAAGTTATAGATTATATGTTTTATCAAAAGCCAATCCAAAGAAATATCTGGGAATAGATGGTGAAAGCTCTGGACTTGGGGCTATTTATTTGAAATCGCTAAAGATTGACCTCTTCATAATATCAAATATTGTATCACAAGAGTTTAAAAAGCAAGATATGAAATTGATAACATTGTGTCAAGTTTCTGTTAGTGGGAAGTTAGATCTTGCATATGCTAGAAAGTCAAAAGCCATCAATGAGCAGACTGGATCTGCACTTCATGAGCTCGAAATACCACAGTCTGTCTTTTCCAATGCAATCATCCCATATTCTGTTGTACCAAGTTTCAAGACTTGTAATGTTCAACGGAAATACAAGCTGAAAATAACTGCTGGCTTCACAGATACAAAATCCTCGAAAAAAATCCAAGAGGTTGAATTGGAAACATGGCTAGACGTACTGGGAGGAATACCGCCACCAATGGCCAATGAAACCATACCAGCACAGGCCAACTTACCTTCATATGCTGATGTTATGGCTTCTCCTTCTTGATTGCGCGTATAGACCAGACGGTTAAATAAAACACAGTTTCGCGAAAAAGTGTATAAAAAAATGGCTTAAAATTTAACTATTTTCAGCTTTTTGTATTGAAGACAGGATGGCACCTTGTGATATTTCGATTAAACTAGACAAGCAGAACCACTGCTTCGATAATAGTGCTTATTCAATTAGTGGTCAGATAATAATCAGCGCCCATGCAAAATTCAATTTCAAGAGCATAGAGGCAAAACTTGTTGGTTATGCAAATTCAACTCTTCGCTTTGCCATCCCTCAACCTCAACTAACGCTTCAGTTCTTGAACAACTCAGAGACTAGAGGAGATGATTACATTGAAAGAAATAGAGGGATCTCGCCTCTTGAACCCCAGATGTTTAGAAGCGAACGGCATCAATTAGTTAAGGAGGTTGTACAGGTATTTCCACTTGGTGACTCAACGCCAAATGTGGATTTTGTGATGCTTCCTGGAAAATATGAATATGACTTTGAAATACCTCTCCCACAGGTTAATTATTGCTCAAAATCTAAAGACAATGCTTTTGTGAGGACACCTAAACATGATGAATACCCATTACCTCCAACTGTCGATGACATAAATCAGCTTGCCAATGTTGCGTATGAAGTTACTGCCATACTCAATTCATCAAAGTTTTTCTCTATGAATGCAAAAACATCCCTCACGGTGAGGCTTGGTACTCCAATGTCTGATTTATTGGTTCGAAAGAGCAAGAGTATCTCGTATTGGAGAGATAGTGTTAGTTTTGAGAAGAAATTACCCAGTGGTGAAGTTTTGAACATTCCTGTCTTTTTAGAAATCAGATCCAATGGGTTTTGTGAGACTGTTGGTGAAATGCCAACTTTCAAGTTATTTGTTCTTTCAGAGATACAGCCAGAAAATTATCGATCAATGGAGTTAGAGGATGCTGGTTGTGTATACCTAAGGTCAATTGAAGTGCTGATAAAGAAGCATACCAAAGTACGGGCATATGAGGCTACAGAAGAGGAGATTAAAGAGTACAATATATGTTCCGTTGAAGGGTTGAGCCATAGACTAGATTTGTCACATGCACATAGGTCAAATGCAGTTGAGAAAAACGATGGTAGTTCTTTATACGAACTGGAAATTCCTAGCTCTATTTACCAAAATGTTGCAATACCCAAATCATTTACACCAACATTTGAGTTTTGTAACATAAAGAGAGATTATGAGATTACAATTAAAGTAGGATTATCAGGAACTGCAAAAGCTTGGGAGCCAGAAGTGTTTGAGTTACAAAGAGAGTTGACTCTTTTGAGTGGAGTGTGTGATCAAATTGACAAATCAGAGAAAGAACTTCTTATGGAGCAACAGAGAAATCCTCAACTAATGGAGGAGCTCCCACCTCCTTCATATGAAAAGATAGAACTATAGTATTTTAGCCATCTCTACCAATTTAGGATTTGTAGGCTGTAGCAAGCCGAGAAAGCGCTAAGTACGACAATTTGATTCAAGCTTTTGGGGCTTCTTGGAAGTCTGGGTGGATTTTACATCATGCTGATTTAATGCACTTTTGGAAACTATGATGTATGTTGGGTAGCAGCCAATAGGATGAGCCCACTACAGTTAGCCAATAAATTCACCCATCCATCATGAAATTTACCTACCTACTCAATGAGAGCCTCACCTGCCTATCATCAATGGAAACTCAAGTCATAATCTTTGGCCATAATAATAAGCCTCCTTATGCCTTCTGTCATTTTTGGGCGGTGCAAAATCTCGTAAATTTGTAAAGCAGCATAAAGATTTAAATACAAGCGATAAAACCATATCTTGATCAAGGACTTCAACCTAGTTTAGGTACACAAGAGATATCTTTCAATTCAAAATGGGTGCTTGTGATGTCAAATTAACCCTTAAAAATGAAAGGGCAAACTATATCACCAGTTTGGATACACTCCGCGGTAAAGTTGAGCTCAACGTAAACAGTGAAATAACGGTGGAAAACGTTCAGATCAAGTTTGAAGGTTTTGCAAAGACCAAAATTGAAGTCAAGGAAAGAGTTCATAATGGTAACAGCTCCCAAACCAGAACACAAATCAAGAGAGAGTCACACACCTTGGTGTATAACGCAGTAACTTTATTCCCACCCTCCAATGTTCGTGAAGTTAGTGATAATAAAAAATTCACATTGACACCAGGAAAATATGAGTATGATTTTGAAATCAAAGTTCCATTATTGAATCAATGTGCTGACGGTGGTGCATATGGTAGTCATCAATTGAGTGTTCTCCCTCCAACTTCCTCCTTATCTGATTTGTTCAATATACACTATCTCCTTAAAGTCACAGTGAGAAGGACAACATGGTACAAAGCAAATATTAGAGAGATCAAACCAGTCAATTTAAGGCCATTTGACCCAATTGATGAAATTATAGCTTTTAGTCAACCATTGTTTCTAAGAAAAGATGAAGTTTTCAAAGGAATGATCCCTAAAAGGATCGCACTAACTGAAAAGCCTACTGGACCAGAATCTTACAAAATTCCTGAAAAAAAGTCACTTGGTGGTAAATCTTCAAGATTCCTAAAATCTGTCTTTGGTGGACAAGTTGATGAGCCAAATTATGTTGATTCAACAATTGTTCCATTCTCATTAGAAATCAGAATTAACGGTCCTTATCTGTCTATGGGTCAAACACCAAATCTGTCACTTTTCATAACTTCCAAATATGGCCCTGAAAGATATAAAGGCATAGATAACCAAACTTCTGGCCTTGGTTCATTTTACTTACATCATTTAAAGATTGATTTAGCAAGTTCCATATGCCTAGTTGCCCAAAGTGCTAGAAAGCTATTATTACCTGAATATTCTATATTCCATCAAAAAGATTTAAATTATCCAATAGATCTTGCAAACTTACAACCAAATCCATTATCAAATGAAACTTCAAACTCCCTCCCATATGAATTAGAGCTAGATCGCTCAATGTTTGAAGGCGATGCTGTAGTGAGAGCAGATATACCACCAACATGCAGAACATGCAATATAGAAATCTCATACAAGTTGAAAGTAACTGCAACATTTGTGGAGAATATAGATTCATGGAGTTCAAAGAAAATCGAAGTACAAGCCCCAGTGACAATCCTTAGTGGTATTCCTGCACCTGAAGAGTATATTGAAATGAGACAAATACCTCCTCATATTGCCCAACAAGTGTTGAGAAATTATCCTCCAGAGATGTTTGCAGGTGGGAATAATATGGGTGTTGAAGCTATTTTCTCAAATGATGCAGAAATCTCACCAAAGATATTGACTGGTGAGAAAGTTGATGGGAATCAATTACCTTCTTATCAATCAGCTACTCAAAGTTAAATATAATGTGTTAACGGAGGTTCAAAATGTAGTTCTACAAATCAAATTATCGTCACATCGTCCATTTATTGAATGTTCAACCATTTGTCAATCCTTCTAAAGCATCCTTAACTAAATGACTTCCCTTTGGATCTAAATTCAAGGCTATAGTAAACTGTTTAATAGCATCGTTCTTTCTATCACACATCTTGTAAAGTTGTCCCAATAAGAAATGAACACTAGCTTCATCTGGAGCAAGTGTTGTCAAATGTTCAAACGCAACTAATGAGTCATGGTACTGTTCCATTGCAAATAATAATTGTGCCTTTTTGAATAACGCCAGAGCACTTAGGGGTTGAATCTTACATGCCAATTCATATTGTTTCAATGCAAAATCTCTTCTACCTTGTTTCTCTAGCATCATACCAACACAACATATCAAAATTACATTGACTGGATTAATATCAACAGCTTTTCTGAAATGAAATTCAGCTTTACTGAAATCACCGAGTTTCAAATAAACCATACCTATACCATACAGGGCATTGTAATGTCTTGGATCCAACAATAGAGCTGAACGGAAACTTTCTAGTGCACTTTCATAAGCATCATTTGAAACGTATTCATGACCTTGTAATGTAAAAGCATATGCAAAGTTTGGATCTAATTGAGTTGCTCTTTGGAAACATTTGATAGCTTCATCTGGTTCTCTTTTCAAGGAAAATAGATTACCTATAGCAACCCATGTTTGTGGAGAATTTCTTTCAATATTTTGTAACTCATGTGCCAAATAACACAATTCGAGGTCTTCATGCAGATGCCATAATAAAGTGGAGTAATATTCCATATCCTCTATTCTCGTATTATCCAAGTTTCTTAATTTAGTGAAGTAATTCTTTGACTCTTCATAGTTGACAATTTCAAAATGCAATCTTCCTAATTTACTCAAAACCCATGGTGTGTTCAAATGATGTTTTGGTAGAGCACTTAATATCCTTATGGCTTTGAAACAATCATAGCGACACATTGCTTTGTAACCTTTAGCATATGAGGCATATAAATTCAGCACATATTGTTCACCAAATTCTTCATTTGAAAGATAATGATTTCTTTTCAAAGCAGACCCAGGTTCATTCGAAGACCCAAGAGCAAATATTTTACCTCTTTTCATTGCACTTGCTTCAGCCAGTGATGATTTTCTTGAAGTGGAACCTGATGAGATATTACCAGAATTTTTGGTTGCACTTCCTAAAGGTTGTGATATGAGTCTAGAACCTACTTTAGTAGCAGCTGCCATTCTTGATGTTCTTTTGATACTTTCACTTCCGTTCCCACTATTACTACCAGTACCACCACTACCCAAAGCTGGTGGAGGTTTAAACATTTCCCTTGAAACAGAGGATCTTGTCTTTCTTGATGGGGCATTGGGCAGTGTAGATTGTTTAACTCTTGGTGTTGTGAATTCTGGACTTTCCTCCCGTATGGCTTTTGTTAAATCAAAACTATTTGTATATGAGCTAGGATAACCGTTACCCATATCTGATTTCAAAGATGATTTTGGTGGATTCAAATTAGAAGTATCACCAAATGGGTCTCTGCTGAAAGATGAAGTATCATTAGCTCCATTACTAGTCACCAGGTCATTACCCAGTAGAAATTGGGAGCTTTGCGATACTTTATAAATTGCCTTAACTCTAACGTTAGCACCCATTTTGTTTAATTCTTCAAATGATTCCCATAAATATGGATTTCTTTTCAAAGCTTTGGAATGATTAATGGCACTCTCTTTTGTATCACCAACTAATAGATATAGTCTCCCCAATAAGCTATAGAAAACAGCTGGATCAGGTAATAATTTTCTTTCAAATTCATAATTCACTTGCAGAGAGTCCTCAATATTTTCCCATAATGACTGAGTGCTCAACAAAGCAACAACCCCTTCTTGACCTTTCCCCAAATTGAAAGCAGCTTTTGCAAATACAAAAGCACATCCAGCATGTATCTTATTAGCAGTGAGATTATAAGCTGCCTTGTATCTATTTTTCTTCAACAACACCAACCCATAAAGATGAATAGAGTTCAAATCCTGTCCACTGGTTTCAGCAATCAATCTCTCTGCTGCAAATTCAGCAGACGGTATGAGGTCGTTATCAAGTCCATACAGCACAGTGGAACGAAGCTGCTGTATTGTGTACTCTTTATGGTTCATGACTTGTATAGTTTCTTTATTTCAACGCGAAATGAAGTGTTGGAGTGGATGGTTGTAGTTAATCCGCCACACAAAAGATCACTAGCAACAACACAACAGACAATGGTTTTCTTCCTTCAAAAATATTCAATATGGACAGTCGCTACAACTTGATTAGCAGCCAGCAAATAAACGTCTCAGAGACCAGCTTCTCTTTTCTCTTCCCTGATAACTTGTTCGAGTATCTCAACCAGCGCAGTTTTTTGTGGAAAACTGTCAGGTATTACATAACCAGAATAACCAATTATGCACAATTCATCAATACTCAACATTTCACATCAACTATAAGAAGAATCAAGAATCCACTAATTGTAACATTATATGTATATTAATAGAACATCGGAATTACCTTATATACACACAGTAGAGGATATTCTGTCAGGTTAAAACCACGAATAAAATAAAACAAGTGATCATTAAATCAACATCAACTAGAAACAATGGCTGTCACAAGAAACTCCAATAGAAGAAACACCTCTTCAACCTCTTCAACCTCTTCAACCTCTTCAACAACTAGAGTAACCAAAACCAGAAAACCAGCCAGAAAAACCAAGGCTAATCCTCGTGTTACAGCAATTGAAAACAATATTTCTGCATCACATGCTGCATCAACATCTGAAAACACACCAAACTCAACCACTTCA